CCCTTGCATTCTCTCAATATCTGTCGTCGTGAGAGTTAGATTGAAATTCAGACTGTACAGAAAAATATGAAGTCAGAAGCAAGTGCAAAATATTTACAGTCGAAGACATGCAAAAACAATATTGGAAATTCATATGGTTGGCACCAAGCTAAGTGCCTTTTCTTCGATCATGTGGTTTGGAGACTTTGCACTATGTGGTTATCAACTTGTTTTTTCTGCAGTCATACCTTGTCACCACATAAATTTGCGTAGGATGGCTGTGTTCACAGAAAAAACGCAGCAGTTGCAGGCTTTGTGGCCTCCAACGCAATATTTCTACGTTCTTAAAAATTTAAACAAGTGACTTCAGGGATTCTGTTTGACTAGCAACTTTTTAATGAGAGGATGATCCTGTCGTTAGGTTATGCAGATCAGCACAAACCTCGCCTGTGTAACAAACCTCATTTCTATGCAATCATTATCAGTATCCAGAGAATGGCCATTCATTTTATATGCAGTGATATAAAAATATATTGTGACCAGATATAGCATGAGACGAATTGTTTTTGCTGGAAAGTAGTCTGCTGAACAGATCTACTGCGCTTGCGCCCAAAAAAGTTCTCTAATATGCAATCCGACTTCAGTAAAAGAGCAGTGTTTAATCTAAACCCGCATTCTCATTGACGTCGCTTGACTGTCCAGACTTGGGGGCTGGAGGGTCATCAATAGAGAAATTTACCGACGAAGACGTAGATTAAGAAGAGTTTTGGTACCATTTCGCCTACTGACATTTTACCGACAAACTAAGGGTTTTGTGGACAAACTGAAGACTTACACGTTTTTTTGAGAAACCAGTTTATAAGAAACCTAGTACTAGAGCCCCAAAAATTTAAGAAACTTTAAGAGCTAAATCAATGCTTTTAAGAAACTCCGAAAAAGATAAGATGACTTTCTGAGCCGGAAAATGATACGCCAAACAATCCATTTTTGCTTGATTTGAATTTGCTAACACATGGTTCAATTCAAAGCTAAAAGAATACCGTGTCCTGTTTTAAGACCAAGGCAAAGACTAGAAGGTTAAATGACATAAATGGAGTAGACATGATTTTGCTCAATAATTGACGCTTATTCTTGGGCCTAGAGGCACAAAATTTTAAGTATTACTATCGCTTTATAGGCTATTCCCGTATTACAACAATTTTAGCACACTGTACCGGGTATCTCGATGAAAAGTACCCCTGTTTCCATGAGAATGATTAACAAGAGATACGATATTAAATCTTACTGTTGTGTTATAAACTTTAATACAATTAATATGCGAGGGAAAGCGCAAAATTTGATGTTAAATGCTTATCTAAAAGTAAGAAACTTTAAGTACTAGAAACTGGTGAAAAATTAGAAACCTTTAGTGCTAGGACCCAAGCTAGGTTTCTTATAAAAAAGACGTGTACCGACGATTCCATGAAGTATTGTGGGTTGCTGAAACCTCCTACAACCACCCCTCCCCCCTTCCCCCTGTAGCTACGCACCTGCGCACTCTTGCCACTTGCCACTGCCAGATTATGTAAGCTTGAGCTAAATCTAAAATTTGGTTTACACGTAGCTCTTTAGCAGACCTTAGATAAGCAATTCTGTTTAACATGTTCTACGATTACCACCCATGTTAGACTTGTGTCTTTGACCTATATATAAAGCGTTAATGACAAAAGTGGATTTGAATTTTTTCTTTTTTTGCTGTTTCCGCTAAAGGAATTCATCTCTTGATTACGTCACACATTTTTTATGATTATCTCTAAGATGTATTGACATACAGAATATGGACTTCGTAGAAGAAACAATTTCTGCTGCAATTCTGTGACAATGTTTCAGACAAACCCAAGTACATGTCTAAAGTTGACAAGGATTTAAATCTTTCGAATCTGTTTTTCAGGCTAGATTTCAAGGGTCTTAGCTTTGATTTAAAAAGCAATCCAAGATTGTACAGTTATGCTCAATAATCTTGTATGTAGCCTTTGAAAAGATTTGTCTTCTTGTGACCTTCTGCTGCCATGCATTGTTTACTAGCTATAAAACATTTTAAGCATTAGAAATCATGTCAGTCCTGTTCCTGGCTTAAATATTTCACTGAATTCTATCAGAAGTTACATTTTCAGCACGTTCCCGCCATCGAAATTTTACATTTTCACAAACTAATGATGGGAAACGCTAAAATGCCTTGCATGTGACCTTTTTCGATGTTTAGTTTCAGAAATTTTAGGTTCTAGAAAAGGTGGTGAACAGGCATCTTTTGATATGTCGGCTTTAACTGTAGCTAGGTCCAACTGGTAAAACTGAAACCTCTTCAAAAATTAGTCTCGCATCAGTTCGTTTACCACTAGACCCAAACAGATAAAGCACAGGCAAACTGGGCGATGTTTTCATTACTCAAATCACTTTTCAAAGTTTAAACGTCAGAACATATTTGGCCTATTTTGATCCACAACTGGGTATATATATTTCCTAGCGTAGAGTTTTCCGATCTATGTTCTGAAGCTTGAAACTCTGAAGGGTGTCAGACGAAAAGCTTTAGTTTACTCAAATGTTTGCTCTTTTCAAAGCTATTTTCAAGTTTTGTACCACCAAATGACTGTTTATACTAAACGTATCGAATTATAACACCATGATACTTAACATAGCTCCATGTATTTCTTGAGTTAGCTCCATGTTTTTCTTGATCAGTATAACGTGCCTAATCAAAGCATTTAGTTGAAATTGCAAATCACTTGAAATATCGGCAAACAAGGAATGGAGATCCATTGCTAATTATAACCCACATGAAAGCCCTTACGATCTCAAGGTTAAAGACTGTGAGAGAATAGAATGAAAATAAGAGGACCTAATATGCAACCTTGTCTCACCCCACACGTAAAAAGGGAATATTTTAGCTGAAAAACTGTACTAGTACCTTCAACCCCCGTTCATTGCCGAGCCTTTCTAATACGTGTGACGCTAAAGCTGTCTGCTAAGAAAAAGCTTTTTATGTTCAATAGTTTCCCAAAAACTTAAAGTAGAATGATGTTTCTCTAACAAACCAGGCTTAATTTTATCCCACCTTTAAAAAGAAAAAATTTGCAATGATAAGTGTACAATTTAAGTTGGCGAACTCTGAACCAAAAATTTTCAAATATTCTGCTTTAAGTCCGATTCTATTGCATTGAACAAGACAATAAGCCAATTAAAATAGTTTTATGGAGACATCCCAAACAAACTGTAACTTGGCAAGGAACATCAATTCGTATTATTTGCTTCTTGAAGCGACTTACTCAATAATTGTTTTAAATGGGGTATTGTCTTTTTTCTGGTCTTGTTATTTCTTCATCTAATCTAATTATCGGAATTATGTTAACACTAATCTTCCTTACATTTAATGCGAATTTTCAGAGAAGAAATTTAAAACTATATCCGCAATCATTCTTAAGCCCCATTTAGTCACCGTCATTAAAACGATCTGAGCCATTTTTATGTGAGGTGCTAAATCAGTGAATCGTGTTTACTTTTTAATTATGTCTTCCTCGTCATTCTTTTAAATGACAATATTCAATGCATAGCAAGTCATTGAACATCAGCAAAAAATAGAATCTCTATTCTGTTATATGGACCAGAGAAGAAGGGCAAAACCAACAGCAACAATAAGAGAAATATTATCAATAGGAAATGCAAAAAAACTTATGTACAATAATTCTCCCACCTCAGCATAGAGCATTTAACTCTATGATTTCACAGACACTCAGCGTGGCTCTGAATTATTATTCAGACCCTAGAAATGAAAATTCTACGTTGCAGTTTGTAATACTGAATCTAGAATCTTACTGTCTAAAAAATTAACTAAATAGCAAGCGAATAAACTTACTAACTATCAAACTAACCAACTAACTAGCTAACTAACGAACTAACTAACTAACTAACTAACTAAGTAACTAACTAACTAACTAACTAACTAACTAACTTACTAACTAACTAACTAACTAACTAACTAACTAACTAACTAACTAACTAACTAACTAACTAACTAACTAACTAACTAACTAACTAACTAACTAACTAACTAACTAGCTAACTAACTAACTAACTAACTAACTAGCAAATTAACTAACTAACTAACTAACTAACTAACTAACTAGCTAACTAGCTCTCTAACTGAATAGGGAACTAACTAACTAAGTAAGCAACTAACTAACTAAATAAGCAACTGAATAAGTAGCTAATTGAGTAACTAATCAACAAATTATCTGACTGAATGCCGAATCGCTGACTGACTAAAAAACTGAGAAAATAACTGACAGAGAATAAGAACCAAGAATGACTACCATTCTAAATTCCCTACAAACGGTTAGGCCGAATTAAATCTTCAGATCCCCATATGTATACGTATATTGCCAATATATCAAAAGTTTGACTAGATTTATCCAACTATCGATTCTAAAATCTTTCGTTTTGGATTATTTCAACTATAGTATCCTTTTTATATTTGAAACATTAAAGGTACAGAAAGATGGCAATGAATGTGTCTGAGAGAGCTCTCAAAATGTAATTGGTGCCTTCTTTTTCAAAACCATGACCACATTCTGACAAATATTTTCAAAAAATACTCAATAAAGAAAAACCCAAGGTGAACAAAATATTGTAGTTAAACAGTTTGTAATGATTTTGTAGATAAACAGTTAGTAACAAATTTCATTTAGTTGGTAGACAAGTGTAACCTTTCAAAATGAATTGTTTCGGTTGACATGCCCCCACATTCAAATTAACAGACATTAATGCAGTTAAAAGATAAACTCTTCAATGTAATAAACGGGACCACAGTCGCTGTCTAGTCAAAGGTTTTGATTAAATTTTTACATCATACATCCTTCCCTGAATTAAGTGTTGAAAAAGACAAGGTCTTCACTGTCTTCTCGCTCATATTCAATGGAGATATTGTACTGAAAACGAACGAAGCTTTCGTTCCATTGCCTCGCATTCCAATCCCAATGTACGGTTGTGCTGTTGAAATTAAGTGTCAATCTTGAAATGACGTCATGAAATGGTCAATCGATACACCACTATTTCAAATTCTTATAACTTGGCTTAACATTAACTGCGGTTTTTAGTCATTGCTATTTGCTAACGCATCGTAATTGCAAATTTCCGGTGAGAAAATTTCCGAGTACTAAGATTTTGCAGGCGACAAATTGAATGAAGGTACAATATTCGATAAAACCCTTAAACCTTCCTGGACTCCACCCTGCGAACAGAAGCGATGAATCTATGAATTACCTTGATGGCCATGGTATCCTTATCCTCTCATTTCAGTTGAACTTGAAAGCATGCCGCTGCTGATAAAGTGGATAAAACGACCAGCAGATCAATTCGCCTCAGATGGAGTGTAGATCACGGTGAAGAAGGTTCGCACCCACAGTCTGTAGTATTGGTTGTATAGAAAAAGCTGTCACATGGAGACGCCGTATATTGCTATGTTGAAATTCTGGTTTCTAGCAAGCCTGTTTCTTATCGAAGCAAATAATTCACTGAAAAACAATCGATTTCATTTCAAATGCAACAACGACTGTAGCAGATACAATTGCAGAAAAGCTAAAGACGTCCGCGATGATTGTCCGGGTGGTATTGTATATGGTGTGTGTGGTTGCTGTCTGTACTGTGCCAGGTTAGAAGGCCAAGAGTGTGGCGCCTACAAAAATGCCAAAGGAGTGTGTGATGTTGGTTTGTACTGTGATGTTGGGCGTATAAGAAGGAAAAAACTTCATAAATATGCATCTGGCAGATGCAAGAGTGAGTATTATCTTATCTTGATTTCTTCTTTGCGGCTTTGGTTCGCTGTTTTAGAGCAGTGGACGCCCCGCCATTTAGAAAAAACTAAGTCATAATGAATAAGATGTTGAGTTGGACCCTTCGAAGTGGACACTGAGTATCTCATTCGAAGTCTTAGTTTGCTCTCCAAACGGAATCCGATATTTGAAATAAAGAAAACGTCCTTTAAATGTTTTCAAAATATCAATGAAACGTAATTGTTCCAATTTTTCATTGAAAATGTTTTCATGGACTTCTGTCACTAAGTTTAGCAAAAACTGTGAGACACTTTTGATGTGTAGATGCTTTTCGTTTACATATCAACATGCTTAAAAACATTTATCTCAGCTTTAACATTAAAAAATTTGAGAAAAGCCACGTTTTAACAACCTCGATTACCTCAAACCCAAGGTTAATTACAATTGTACCAATCATATTGATTTCTCTCCTTAAGCAAGTCATTTTTAACTGTGTCGAAGAGATAGGAGAAAAAAGGGTTGGAGGGCTACTGACCCCCTAACCAGGCAAACTTCATCACATTTCAGGCTCTTTTCGGACAGTTCTATCTCAATTAAGCAATAATATTCAGGCAAAACCCACACTAACCCCCCTGTAAACGTTTAGCTTCCACGACACCCAACATTACGTTTAGCTGCAACATCGAGATGAAGTCCAATGAGAAAGACCCTTGGAATTTTCAATTGTTCTTTGTTTGCGCTATGCAGAATTTTCTTTGTGTATCTTCTGCTCTTTTTTCTTGAAATCGGCTGCAAAATCGTAGAACTTGAAAGAATGGAAGTTTTTGGCGGGTAAACGCAATGTTTGAAAAAGGTGAAAATGTATTTTCTTTCCTTAAAGGTTAAGATTAATAGTGCTAAGGAACCTCTTTTATCGAGGTTTCTTTGCAAATTGTTTCAACACACTTTGGTTAACTCAGAGATACGGAAATCCAATTAAAAACAGTTATACTTAACGTATTTGAATTACCGTTTGTTATTCAACTCTCAATGAAATTATTGTTTTGACGCTGATTAAAAAGTGTTCGACTGACGAAGAACGAACTGAATTGTAAAACCTACAAAATCCGGTATCTCGCCCAGAAGCCATCCTTCGACATTGAAATGACATGGCTAGAGACGACGGTTTAGTCGTTCGTGAAAGTATGGTTCATTTTTGTGCGCCAGTCGCCATAAGCTGTCGCTTCTACAAAGTGAATGGTTAGAAACTTACAAAATTAGAGGATCCTCCCCTGTGCTGGGTTCTGTCATTTTTCGAATGAATTCTTTTCTACATTTAAGATCCTATTACATACGGCATTGTTTCATGGCTGTCTAAAATCGTAAGCTGTATAAAGTTAATTCAAAATCTTTTACAGTTATTAGAATTGAGTGCCACATAAACAAGCAGCTAGCGGTGCTGGTTGCAGCTCCAATGCAAAAAGGAGGGGGGTTTTCTAGTATTTCCCTCTAAAGTTTGTTTACAACTGTGCAGCCTGGGTAAGTTCTATTGAAACTTGTTATACCGGTTCATACGAGAAAGATCAAGGACACTGTTACAATCTTTTAGTGGCTTCTTCAAAACTTGCATATTACTTTTACGCCCATTGGCTTGGAATGTACTGATACTTTTACCTAAAGTTGGAGACAGTTCTGAAAAATAAACGTATATAGACATTGCAGACAAATGCTTGTAAAAACACTACATGAATTCAAGTTTGGGTAGAATACAAAATAGAAGGACAGACACATTTCGTTATAACATTACCCAAACCGAGATTGATTAAATCATAGGTATTTCTTAAAATGAAACAGTAGCAGGCGATTAGCTTCTGAGTGACAATGTCCGATGTCCAAGATATGCACTCTTTTGATATTTTATTGAAAAGCCCCCACTCCCTTCTTATTAAGGGGATGTAGCGTCATCACAGTTCCAATCTACGGTAATCAGTCTTCTTCATACGTATTATTATTTTGTCACCGACCCGAATCCGTTAACCGGTTGAGAATACCATGTTTATGAATTTCATTTAAAAACTGGTGCCATAGAAGGGGACTCGGGGCTCAGCCCCCCATTGTAGAGATTAATGAGATTTTTTGGGGCTCAGCCCCCTCTACAGCCCAGTGAATTAGACTTAAAATCCCAATTTTCTCTACGAGGCTAATATTAAGCAAGCTTTTATACATGTTTAACAATACAATCATGCTAGATGAGGTAACATCCGGAAGAGAATGCTTCTCCATCTTCTTTAAGACCGAACTAGGTTCAGTATCGTGGTCGCCAACGTCCATAACTGACATGGTACTTTAAAAAGATCAAAACAATAAACAAGCGTGAGGAATTGCCATGTGATCAGCATGTGAATTCTGCTGTATTGCTCTTTCCATAATGCCACCCCCTAGCTCACACTGTAAATTAAAAAATTAAAATACGCTGCGATTTTTGCATCGATCAAGCTGACTTGAAAAAACTAACACTGGGCCTTTTATGATCTTTAACGTTTTATTAATGATGAAAACAAATTCCCAGGAAATCATGTTTGTACAAAATATCCTAGTGCACGAAAACAATTATGGAAATGTATTTTTTAGACTGCAGAACAAATCGTTTTTGTTTATCAAAATACTAGATATTTACATTCGTCAAATTTTCAAGGAGAAAATTATAGATAATACAACTTTGACTTTTAACATTCATGTGATGTTAACTTATTTAAAGGTTGTTACGTTACGGTTGCTAATTAATTTTCCTGCAGACAATTTCTCATTTATGTGGTCTTCAGTCTCCTGTTTTTGTGGTTTTAGACCAGTTTCACGTCTCCTTCTTAACTTCATTATTTGTGCTTGGAAATGTTAAATATGCCATGTTGAAAGCAAACCAAAGTTAGAGTTGTCATAGCTTGTTACGCTTAACAACTTAAGTAGCACCTTAGGACAAAGAAGTTGTATCGCGTCTTATGGTGTTGTATCATATTATATCGTATCGTACCGTATCGCATCATATCGTGTCGTATTTTCACGTGTCGTACCGTGTCGTTTCGTGTAGTGTAGTGTCGTTTCCTATCGTACCCTGTCGTATCGACTAGAGCAATATATACTTTGAAGAATTCACCAGATTTCTAAGTAACTTCTGATCTACACAACCCTAGACAACTTCACGGCTACAAGTATAAAAATTAATTGTACATTTTCATTCTTAACGAAAATTTTTAGACATGTATCCAGTTTGCGTGCTTCGTTTGAAAATATTGATAAGATTTGGGTTTCAAATCTTTGTAAATATGAGAATTCATACACATTTGGCCATGGAACCACGTCTTTTCTCAGATCTCTGTCCAAAGGGATCCTATTAACGTCTTTTTGGTGTAACTTCATACGTCATCTTGCAAATGGGTCGATGAAATCGAAATGCCTAGGGATGCAATTTTCTAGAAACTAAAGGAAAGCAAATGTGTAAAATAGTCTAGGAATGTCAAACGAAATAAATGTTATTAATTCCTCTACACCTTTCTACAGTTAAACCAAGAGAACTACGGCCTAAAACTAAGTGAAACATCCTCTAGTTGTGCCTCTGTGCACCTTTGACGTCCTTTGCTTCAAAATATGGAGACGTTGCCTTTTGAAATAAACGTGTATTTGCTGGTTTTGAATCATGATGAGATGGAGACCTATGAGTTTTGAGGCGAGCATCTTTCACTAAAAGATTGACTTTTTCCACAGCTTTGGTGTTAAGGCAAGAGATAAGCTGGTGAGATTAATAACAATAATAGATCATGAAGGAATTAGACCACCTACTCAATATTTTTAAGTGTTAAACCAATATCATTAGCAACAGTTTAACAACAATGTTTTTTACTAGTGAGATGGTAAGCGAGAATCATTGTGGCTGACACTAGCGTGATGTCATGCAAAATATTGTAGGAGCTGTCAGCGAATGCTAAGGGCGTGTGTTCTCCATGCTTCTTATGTGTTTCTAGGCGTGTGTTCACATATGACTTGTTCTTTGCTTTCTTTACAAAATAATCAGTTTGGGAAAAACTGCAGTTTCAATTTTCGAAAAATCTGGAATTGATGGGCAATACAGCATGGCTTTGTCTGCATACACGGATTTTTTGCTTGTTTTGCCAAAATCTATGGTTAGTTGTCTTCAATAGATTAAGAATTGAAAATAAAGAGTTAAGCAACTCGATAAAAAATTCTTGCAAGAAAAAGATACAAATTCTTTATGATTTCATATAAATGAATCGTTTGATTCAAAGAAGATGTAACTAGGGTTTATGGAATAATTTCCATCCATGGAGAAAATACAGATATTATCAGATATTATAACTTAAGACATCTGAAGCAAATTCCAAATTAAACATATCAGACTTTTTTGAATTATCTTTGGAGTTTGAAAATCACTTTTCATCAGCATTCGTAATATCTAGAAGAGGGCTGGGTTGCGGCCTGCTTGTGTATACTCAAATTAAAAACCAAGAGTTTCATACCGTAACAGATATACGAAGCGAACAAGCTTAGCACTTCTCTGTTAAACTGATAAACAACTTTTTAAATTCAGTCCCAATCCCGCCATTATAAAAGAAGCACGAGTCTCTGCATAAATTTTTGTTGTATACTTCTTGTGTTTGTTTAATTATAACTTAAGCTATAAAATTTTAGCAAAACATGAATTTTATTTCAATCCACATGACTTTCAAAAAGAGCTTAAATCAAATTTCGGACTAATAGGAGACTGAAAAAGTAGTAACAACAGTGGTTGTGTTTTCAAGTATTGCATCTTCAGTTACACGTCCCTTGACGGCTAACCGATCATGCAGCTGGTTCTTGTTCAACAATACCTGATCTGAAATTTGAGCTAACCTTTGGCCATGAAACTGCAACCTAATTAATGCACTGTTGTTTTCTTCGTTCTTTATTTAAGTTAGGAACAAAAGTTCAGAGCTGTAAATCTTGACATTCAATAAAGCCTAACAGGTCTCAAGGCGTCAGATGTTCGTGTCAAGGGTGTCTTGTAATCAGATCAGCGGAACATTCTTAGGTATCACCGCACTAAGCCTCGTCCACCAGGCCAAATATTATCGAATGACAAGATAGGAAAGTATAGCTCATCAAGATGTCGACTCATATTATGTTTTAAAACAAGTCGAAGTCTTGATTAATTAGGAAGAAGGGGCTTTGCTGTAGGGAACGTGTAGAAGCCACATTCAATACCACACTCATGGTCACCCCCTTTTTACTTGGCATGACCTTTTTACATGACCTTTAGAAAATGCGTCCACTATTACCTTACTGTACTGCAATACAGCATGGTACCAGTAGAATTGGGACCAATTTTGGGTGTGATAGACAGAAATACTAAGCACAGGGCTAGATCGGGACCGACTTTATCGCCATCAAATTTAAATTGGGACCGGGTGGTGAAATTATTGGGCGGTGTCGCACCCCCTCCCCCTCCCCCACGCCCCCTCATTTGCACCCCTGGTCACCCCCTTTTTACTTGCATTTGTTTTAAAGGTTTTCTGTTTTGTTTATGAAATCATCCAAACTGTTCATTGACTTTAAAAGGCTAATAGATATTGCTCATTTGTGGAATACCTAGAGTAAATTCACATTGTCAAGTAACGAACTGGCCTAACAAAACATACAACACTTGGCTGTAGAGAGGCTTAGCCCTCAGACACCTCTATTTAATTTTACAAGGGGGGGGCTGTGCCCCGATTGTGCTCCATGGCACTATTTTTAAATGAAATTCATGAATATGGTATTCTCAACCGGATAATGGAGTTTGCACGAATATTTCTCACACGACAATTTTTTAATCTGAGGCCAAGGTCTAATGGCAAAAGAGTTGTGCCAAGCTGCATGCTGCATGGCATAAGAGAGGCACTATAAAACAGGACAGTCAAAATTGGGTGACTGGGAGCTTCCCAGCTCTAATAATTTCCTCAACAATGTCCCATTATCTCCATAACATAGGTTATCTGCACCATCGGTTTTTTCGCTACTCTCTTAGCTTAGCTTGAATTAATAAATTTATATCGTCATCTCTTGAAGAATTCCTTGCTTTATACCAAGTACAACGCGCCAACCCTTTTTGCATCACAACTACCGACAAACATCCCACCAAGCATCGTTTGTCTATAGCTCTCTAATTTGTTAGGAAACGTGACGTTAATCGTGTTTTAAAAATATCACCATGATAACTCCCTGTATTTTTCATGCATGTGGTCTCTCTAGGGGAAAAGTATCTTTTGTTACTTTTGTATAGCCTACTTCTTATCATATTTCTCTCTTAGGTTGATGGCAATTTGTAAAACAATCTGTATAAAACTGAGTAGACACTTTATCAAATGTAGTTTAAGGCAGCAGTTAAGACTAACACAAGATTTGTTTATCAACTATACAAATTTTAGCTGCTATGGCTAAGAACTTAGTGAGATCCTCGAAATATCGCTCTATCAAAGTACCTTAATTTACGCGTGAGGTTTAGGTAATGTCATATCATACTTTTTTATTTCGATGTAATATTATCGTGTCGAAGAGATCGATTACTTAACAGCCAATCAATATTCTTGTGTCAATATGCCAATAATTTTTGCTTGAACTTAGCTTTTCTCTGTCTACAGCAAAGGCTTTTGGCAGCTTTGTGCAAATTAATATTGCCAATAGCAAGTGGCTTATATAAAACCTCATTCCAATATTCAAGGTTCAATGTCCCGTTTTCAGGACAACCATGGGCATAGGGCGGGGCTTAGTGGATCTCGCCCCAATTTAATGGCTTCATCAAGATAGAATTGCCAAAAAGAAGCCTGAAATGCGACAATCTTTTCTGATTATGGGGCTGCAGCTCCTTCTCCCTCCAGGCCCTATGTAGTAGGATCTAATTACTGATAACAGTGGTGGTTTTAAAGGGGTCCAGGGGGGCCATGGCCCAAGGCCCTGTGCTTTTGGTAATCAAAAGGGGCCCAACACCTAAGAAAAAAGAGACAAAAAGGCCCCGCAGATGTTTTTGGCCCCGCAGTCCCTAAAACCGCTGCTTTTTGATTACGATAATTACTATGCCCCCTACACCTTTGAAGACAACAAGAAATCTGAGACTGAAACTTCAAAACATTTCAAGGCACATTCTACAGTAGCGTTTTTATGCAACTAAATGACTTGTTAATTTCCATTTGGCACAAAATTTTGATTTTTGCATTAAGATTGAAAAGAAAGGACATATAAGTTTTTCATTAGCAGCTTCTTGGAGATTTTCAAAACTTGCATAATTTAATGTGGTATTTTTTTCATAGAAATTCCCAAGCAAAAGGAGCGCCTTTACAAACCTTTCTCGTTGATACTTGAAAATCGGATACCAAACTGTAGACCAGAATGCACGCCAGAGTTTTGTTCCATGTGGCCAGATGCCATTTGCTCTGCATCGTAAGTATCATCTAGTTTCTAAACCAATTCAAAAACAGTTATCAGTGTACCTCCCAGGTAAAGAAAATATACAGCTTCAATATATTTACATTTTTAGAAAATATTTCCGTCAGCTTAAAGAACATGGATAGCGTAAAGAATATACTGAGAATGTGGATGGCGTCCAGCTTTAATGTTTAATTTTCAAAGCAAACGTAGTTAAAAGTGCTTTTATAAAGCCGTGCCTGTACGTTTTACAACGCTTTCCACGTCCCAAATTATGGCACGCTGTGCAAACATGAGACGAAGAAGGGGCGGCCTCAAGGCGAATATATGACGTCAGTGAAATTTGTCACCAGCCCTCCGGCGAATATTGCTAAGTTTTGCCCCTACTTCTAGGCCCCTCCTACACTCAAAGTTACAATCCACGTAGTGCCAACTCCGCCCTTGAAAGCGTTACAACAAGCTGTGGTATTCGTCAAAGAGCCTTCTCCACTGAAATTATGGTTTGATGATCCGACGATGATGGTTATTGCTATTGATTTTTCTTTATATCAGCTGAATGTGTCTGCAAATTTTTCTTGCTCAAATTTTCGAGATGTGGATTATTCTAATACGAAGTTAGTTACTGGAATCTTTATCTAAATTTCATTCATAAGCTGTGTCAGTTATACAAGGGAGGGTAGAACAAGGTATAACTGACACTGCTTATGAATGAAATTTAGATAATTTATAGTTTCATGTTCTAATGACTCCATTCAACTTGAACATCTTAGCAAAAACCACGAAAAGCACAGACCATGTCAAGCCCCATGTCAGCACACTACATGTCAAGCGTGTTATTTTGAACAAAAAGACGAGCCTCCGTGCCGAAAGTGTGCGAAAAATGACTTCGATTGTCTAAGAAGATTTGGTAGATGTGTCAAGCGAGAAATCTGCACCAGAGCTAAATACCCCTGTTTGTCAAAAGCGAGGGTATGTACCAGTTGGCTCTTTATTCTATAGCTAAGAATGAGTAAGAAGACGTCGTAAGAGGAGAAAATGGGATCATATAATCGTTCTTTCTGAAACTTTCGGTGTTGTTGATTGAGACGCTAGTCCCTAAAAGGCTCACTTTACCAGATGAATCACTTTGGATTTTCTTCATATTTTCTTTGACAATAGCAGCTTCAGCTGTGTAAATAATATTTGAAGCTGAGTCAGTGGTGTAGTGCTATCAAAATGACAAAGAGGCTCCTGCACAAAATGCTGCAAAAAACAATAGCAAAAGTAGAAATTTGCCAATTTTTGGCATTAGCAAGGGGAGCTCAGCCCCCCCGAGCCCCCCTAGCTCTACACCCCTGAGCTGAATTGACATTTTACAAAAAATTTTGTGTCCATTGCAAACAAATATTTGGGGCATCAGGATTCTCTTTCTACCAACCATAGTAAACCGATAGCATATATTTTCTTAAGATATGCTTGTTTCATCAAATTGTATGAAATGTCGTTTTTACTGCTTTGAACAATGTAACAAGTGAAACTCATATCAATCTAGGATCCTTATCTAATAATCAAGATACTTGAGGGTCTTTTTAACATACTAATTGGGGGGCAATTTCCACCCAGTCCTTCTGACTCTTCTTCAAACCCAAAGCATCTTTTCTATTCAAAAACAGACACATTCCTCTTATCCAATTTTTTCTATAATTTTAGCGGCAAGTCGATGGAAAATTCAAGTGCAAAGTTCCAGCATGTGAGAGATAGAGAATCCTTCCTTCATTGCTGAGATCTGCCATATTTTATTTTGGTAAGAAAGTAAAGATCTCACCATCGAGGCATGAATTAGCTTGCTCGCGTAGGAAAGTTGGCACGACGGAGTGAGAAAGGCCAGTAGATCATGTACAGTTCGAGGCTACATCGATACATTATTACTAAAGACAATTTATATGATAGCAAGGTTAGATTTATATAATTTATTATAAGATTCCTTTCTCAAATAAGAAAATTCGACCAACAATAAATTTCAGCAATGCCTGTCAAAAAGAATTCTACTTGAAATGTTTATTATGCTTGAAAATATCTTTATACTTGAATTGTTTTATCACGAGCACAAATGCATTGCAAAAACTCTTTCGACGAGGTTAAAAGTTTACCTAGCAATAAATGTGAAACTTATTCAACCAATGCAATGGATTCTCGACAGATATGACAAGCAACCATATTCAGCTTCTGACAAATGGATATTGCGTTCGTCAAAGGCAGACAGTAAGACATAGTTTAGAGAACGGTTTATATTCTTTTACTTTTGATGTAAATTCGAAAATTTAGGAATCGTGTTCGTACTTACGCAGTAATAAAGGTATTAATTTGCAACATAGCATTAAGTATACAAACACAAATAAATCGTTTCAATTCACTGCTCTTACAACGGTGCGTGGCACAATCTGATCTTTCCACAGTTCAATATAAAGGCCCAACTGAGGCTATCATATGGTTCCTGCCAAAACATGTTCGAGTGTTTACCTAGTGATATGGTGTGTCTGTCGCAAGCTGTTTCACGTGAATTCAATATTGGGCTGCTGAGTAGCACGAATAAGACGCACAATAAATAAAATTACTTAATTTTTATTCTATTTCTCACCAGTAGCAAACCGACCTTAGCATATATGCCTAGCAATCTATGACAGTCAAGGACATCTTGTAACTAAACATTTGCTATTTCATTAGCAACTAACTGAAATAAGCTGCCTATAAAAGTAGACAACGTTTACTGAATTAGAATTGGCCCAGTACAGCTTTTAATACCGAATTACCGCTTTAGCAGCTCCTTCTAAAAAGGCATATAAATTTAGAAGCAAACGTTTTAAACCTGTTCCTAGGCTACTGGAAAACACAGTTTCACAAACTGACTCTTGACGCTTAGTGTCTATCTCTTGTTTGGGGGCTAATGGCGTCATTACACAACACAAACTATCTAGCGACAAACAGCTCTTCCAACCATCTGCTAGCATCCCGGAGGTTCCATGGTTTTTTGTGGTTGCACTTGTGTGAAGCCATGTAGTTCCAGGGCTCTAGAATATCAGCTTCTTTGCTAACGGGCCTAAAACGTAAAAAGATTATTTTTCTGTAACAACTAAGCTGTTACGATGTGACAGATTCAGACTAACAGTGCAAGTAATAGCTGAATATTAAACTAAAGTAACATTCATTCAAAAATTCTCTTTCAAAAATCAAACCAAAAACGTTTCTAAAAATACCAAATAAGACATCAAATCTTAAGGTTTTCTAGAAATTATCGAAATATCTGGGGAATGTTTACCCTGTTCCAATTTGAACGAATCAAACTTGGTGAACTGCTTATGAGAAGACAAACTACAGAATATACAAAAAGTTCAATTAAAGAATTTCACAATAGCCTAACAACATACCAAAATCGCCGTTTTCTTCCAGCTTTCTTTTGAGGTTTGACGAAACTGATGTATTCTGGTCATCATTCTCTGACTTAGTCGAGGAACAATTTGGTAATAGCTCGCCTGGTGTTGGTGCAGGCTTGTTGCTAAAGTATTTATGCTGCAAAGCCTTGAAAAATATGACAAACACAACGTGTAAGATTGTCAAATTCAACTGTGTAGTAAGAATTATTATTTGATACATATAAAAGAGGATCTGCTGAAGCAGGAATTTCAGGATTACTCACTATTATCTTAAAAGAGATGTAAAAATGTAAAAATTGTCGTTTTTATAATGAATGATAATGTTATAACGATGGGTGATATCCATATATGGCTGGAAATTTTGAATAGCAAAATAAGATAAAGTCGATTACTAATACCTCGATAACATTACCTTTAGAGATAGCTAATTTAAAAACAAATCATAGTTTGCCGTTAAGTAAACTTTGCAGGGATGCCTTGCATTATCGCAAATTGTATATTGTTTTTATGCTTAAACAAAATCATAAAAAGCCCGACAGCACTGAAGAGGACCCCAACTGTTTTGACTAAAGTTCTTACATATAACTCTTTTTTGTCTGATAACACAGTGGATAAAATAGGATTGCGATTTATCATTTAACATGTCGCTGAGACGTGCTTTGCTCGAATTGACAGAAAAGTAGGACAATATTGGAAACCATATTTGCTTTAAAGTTTCAATAGCAAAGTCTGATTTCATGAACAAAAATTTAATCATTTTTTATGACAGCTTTTACTCTCGTGTTACCAAAATTGTAAAGCTAAACAAAAATGGAAATTTTCTGTTTGAAGACTTGCAGTATCACTCGTGCTGGCAATGCGTTGCGCCTAGATCTAATCGCAGTGCACTCACTGTTAAAGCTTAAGACCAACTCGGCACTAGAAGAAATGAGGTCGATATGTTTATATCACAAAACATACATTCACATCTATAACAGATAAATCAGCACATAAGTTCATACCTTCGTGGCAGTTATACGCTCTGGTGGAAAGTACCTAAACAGCCTGTACAGCAAATCCAATAAATCATCCCCAGCAGCCGAGAATATGTCGTGTAATGGAATAGCCGGAAATTTATTAAATGATATATAATCTGGCAGATCCTTTATCCCCTGTGAAGAAAAAAGAGTCAATAAATAACAAAGATTTATTATTGCAAAATGATTCCCATGTACCAATGCTACCAGCTTATTAGCACCTTTCCTTAAACGTTAAGCGCATCGGTTAAAATAAGGCTGATATCATAATCTCAAAAAAGGCAGGTCACTAGAAATTTATTCTGTTATCAACTAATTTTCCCGTTAACTTGTTTTCTTTGTCCAGCCTTGGGTCCCAGCTTTAAAATTACTTAAGCATTAGATAACAACAAGAAACAAAGCAATAAAACGCAAAAGAGTAGCATGGGATAAAACATGTCGTTTTTTGATGACATATATGGACAATAATATAAACTAAAGCCTGAGGGTGGCAACTGATTTAAAAATTTTAGCGGTAGAATTACATCTCAAAGTGACTGAAGGAACTTTTGCAGATTTTTAAAATAAATGTTTAATATTCACTTACCGGCCATTCTTTGTCAGTTGGAGTTCCAAGAGTTTGAAATATGCGGCTAAGCTGGTCGAGGTCTGAGTCGCCAGGAAGAAAAGGGGCCTGGAAGTACAAAGAAACCGTCTCAGTGTGTTTCAAACACTCCTTCCCATACAAAAATCTATCACCCTACTTGTCCTATTTCAACCTACTTTTGGTATTCAACACAGTTTTTATCTTTTTCCCCAGTGAAAAATAAGAAATGATAAAAAGTTGTAAACTTACTTAATTTTATAAAAATAAAGCCGAACCCAGAGTTAATCTACCTTTTTATCTAAAGGAGAGAAGTTAAAGGAGTTCTACTGCTTTTTCAGTTCCTGCAGGGTTACAATTTCTATGATCTATATAAAAAATACTGGTTAACTTTTAGCAAAATATTTGTTATGCAACGGTATGTAGAGTAGTGAAGCCAACAACAACAAAACCGATTTTAAATTTTCTAAAGTCATCTAAATGTATTCAAGAACGTTACCCGAAGTAGAAGCTCAGCTAGGATGCAACCAACTGCCCACATATCGATTCCAACACCATAATTTTTTGCACCAAACAAAAGTTCAGGACATCGATACCACCTACGAAAAAATCATTAAACAGTGATCAATCATTAAACAATCATTAAACAATCATAAACAAACTGTGAAACAATCATTAAACAGTGATCAATCATCGAAGGTATGTTCCTAAGGTTTGCCAAAAACCAGAGAACTTTCATAACTGTACCATTGCAAAACCATAGTTAGTTAATCAACAAACAGACTACCTACCTAGTTACGACTTGGTGGGAATATATCCTATTAGGCGAACCAAAAGATCTTGCTAAACCAAAATCGGCTATTTTTAGTACACCCTTTTCATCGACCAGTAAATTGTTAGGTTTCAGATCCTGAAAAAAATGACCAATTAAAATGATTATAATTTTATAACTTGAATAACCAGATAAATAAGATTGAAGCTATCTTCACACGATGCTCGATATATAGTTACAAATGATCATCACGTTGATAAGTGGTGGATGAACCAGGATAGGTGAAATTTGCCTTTACTTACTCTATGAAGAATCCAGTTTGCATGTAGGTATTCCAAGCCTTTCACAGTCATCAGCATGTAGCTCTTGATATGAGCTGGCGTGAGTACTATCTTTGAATCCTTTATTATGACCTTGAAATTACATCACACATTTTTTACTTAACCAATATAAAGCAAAAAAGTATTCTACAATATACAACTTCGATGACTGTTTGTAGATTTTAAAATTACCTCCCAGAAAGTTTGAATAAAGAATGAGAGCTGTTCATAAACTGAATCAGTGAAGACAAGCAAAATAGACAACATATAATTTATGCTGAAGTTTAGTGTGTCAAACTTACAAGAAGCAAGAATAAAAAAGCAGAAAGATAGCATACTAAAGTACTTTTCATTTAACACTTTTCAGAGTATAAACTCTAGATGGTTACTGAAAGGAAGCCGAAAATTTATAGACTGAAAGAAATGTGAGAACAAGAATGTCAGGTTTGACTGGTTACTTCTTTTTAACTGCTTGGTAGCCAATAACATCCACCCAAGTTGAAGAATTGAAGAAAGAAAAAAAATACATTCCTTCTAACACAAGCCAGGATCCTTACATTACGTTTCACTTCAAAATACTCAGAATTCTATTAACCTGGGTTGCTCAACCTACGCAAAATTAGCCATACAGTGTGCCTAACAGTTTATTTTGACAAAAAAGACAAAAATGCAACCTTATTAACTGGAGTTGGCTTTATTTTCTAATAAACTTTAATTTAATACAACAATACAAGCTCTATTCCTATACCCTGTAACATGAAGAAGAAAGCTCTAAGGCACATGACAGTACAGCAAAAAAAGATACAGTGTATATGAAAATTACCTCTAAATCAGTTTCCATGAAATCAAAAACAAGGCTGATATTCGATTTATGTCCAAATACATCAAGAAGCTAAACAAAACATAGCTCAGCTTAAAAACAGAAAAGTTAAAGGTCAGTGCCCAAGTCCTCTATGGAAAGAGGCAAACAGTGCTAAATAAATTTTGCAAGGACAGCAGTTTAATATGTGTTTCAGGAATCGCAACATTTGAGCAGGAATTGTGTTCTATTTCACTCAGTTGCAATTACAACGATATACATATAATATAATTGTCTTCTTAAAATATCTAACAAAATCATTCAAATTATCAAAATAGGTTTTTTGTGTATATTAAGAAATGCTTAATGCAAATATTAGGCAACTTTTGAACAATTGACTCAATGATCACAATAAGTGTGAGACTTGGAGTTACTAATTAGAACAGTCTTCTTCAACACATGACTTGTAACAGAAAAGGAACTGATATTTTTAGAAATCAAAATAAGATCTTTTGATCAATACAATTTAAACCAAATTCAACAATAAAGTAATATTTTGCTCCACTTTATTTTATAGCTTTATAAACTTATTCAATTATGAAACATAGCTCATAGAACACAGAATTAAATACCTTAATTTAAACATTAAAACATCAAAGTAGAATTATGAAACATGTTACTAACCCCAACTATATTGGGATGAGAAAGTTCTTGAAGCAGTTTGATCTCTCGTAAAGCTGTTCTGTTAACACCTTTTGTAAAAGATTGTAGCAATTTTTCAACATTATTGAAAACTTTGAATACCAGAGAGTCAACTTCAATGAACTAGATGGATGAATTGTGCCATTTCTCACAAATTTCTCAATTTGATTGAAAATAATACAATGAATCCCTATATGCAACAGAAATACATGTAAAGATTAATGTAAATATCATCTCTCTGATTGATTAATAAGCAGCAGTTTGTGATAAAATTGTTCAGGTTGATGTGTAGAATAATATGTATAACTGATCCTAGTCAAAGACAAAAAGACATTGAAAACAATTCATTGCCAAAAAAATTTCAGTTTGGATAAAATTAGTGTAAATTAAACTAATTGGTATACCATCCACTGCCTCTGCCCTGTGACCCAGTTTTATCTAGGATGATATAAAATAACCATTTTTAAGCCACCATTATAGATTTTTAAATTAAAAAATGGTAAATTTCTAATCCTAATCTTTAGTTCAGAACTTGGCAAATTCCAGTGCATTCAAATTAAGTGAAAACTTACATAAAATGATCCCTTTCTATAAAATGATGTTTAATTTGGTGATAATTTATGTCATCTTTGAAGAAAAAAGCAATCTCAAGCTCTTGCGCTGTGCAAAAAAGCCAGCAAACAGTGATATTAAAAAATGGTAACAATCCACTTCCCTTAAAAAGCAAGACATGACTTTCAAAGGTAGCTTAAAAAGAAACTGATGTAACTACCAAATGTCCTGTAACAATTCTAACCCAATTGAACAGCATCAGTTCCAGGCTACTGTGCTTTGTATACGAATCAGCAAAAAATATTGACCCTCTATATTTTCATGATCTCTTCTGCATCATATATTTTTGAACATGAACGTTGAGATGTCACAAAGCAATACAGACAAAGACCGAGATACAGCTTTTTGTTTGGGGAGGGCAGCCCTGATGAATAAGTGCAACAACAGCCATATTTACAAAATTAAAGTATTTTACTTATGCTACTTAAGTTTTGGGGGGGGGGGGCAAAGGACCCCCTGGCCCCCAGGTATCTCCAACCTTGAATACAGGCTTGGTGACACATTGGTAACATATTAAAAAAGTTTTCAATATGGTTTGAGGTCAGTTTGATTTTTGGGTTTAAAAATATGGAATGATATTCCTGATAATTAAGAAAATGTCTATCAATACACTCCTTTAAAAGATATCTTAAGCAATTCATCAAAAATTCCTCATGATTAATAATTATTGGTATCAGGTTACAACACTCTGCAGATAACTACATCGCTGATATCAAATGTTATAGCACACTGCAAACAAATAGCATTTGTCTTCAGTATAAGTCAAATCAAAGTAAAATCTTGTAATAACTTGAACTCATTTCTTTGACTGAAATTGTAAGTGTAATTGTAGTTGTGGAATTTTAAAATTAAACAAAAACTGAAACTGAAACAGATCTCAGTTCATATCTGAGAAAAATTTAGCTACCTTCTTTACTGCAACAATTCTGTTAGAATTTTCAGTGTCTTCTGCTTTATATACTGTGGCAAACTGCAAGAAAAGATTTATGTAAAACAACTATGAGTGTCAGTTTCAAAATTCTTCCTGAAAACAGAAAACAAGCTATCACAGAACAAATTGCACAAAAATTATTAAGATTTCAGCTAATCTAAAAATATGGTTTGTGTGACAACTAGCGATTTATACATTAATATAGAAAATCATCTATTTTTCAAAAGTAACGTGCTGCAGTCTCTTCTCTCAAGAAGCGAAACATTGGCATCCACATCCTCTTTTCATAAATGATTATATCTCTGCAGACATCTTAGGCCAAGAAGTTGCAAACCGGTAAACGCTATACGCCAAATATTTTACCTTTTTTCTGTTAATTCTTTTCTATCTGATCAAAAATATGATAAATGTAAAATTTTTAAATCATAAATTTTTCTTAACGCAATCCTACACTTCTAAGTAACTTTCAACCGATTATAATGAATTTGAATTTTGAATTTGAAATTTGCTTCGTTTGTGTTAACCATTTTTTTTATACACCAAATAATAATTATTATGCCATAATTTTCATACAGTTCTGCTCTGACAAAGGAACAAACGTTTCTTTAGATAAGAATATTATCAAATTTTCGTAAAAAACATTCTTAATAATTTTCACCTGTCCTTCACCAAGAAAACATATCTTGTGATATCTTTTGGTTCGATCTTTGAGATCCTCCATCTTGAAATAATTTTTTTAAATTGTTGCTGCTGCTGCAAGAACTCAAGAACCCTCGTTTTCAAGACAAGGCTCGATATACGTGAGTTATTTTAGCGCACAAGTTTGCAATTGTACATTGTTTTTTATATATATATTTAACTAAAAAAGCTTAAAAATGGAATTGTTTTGCTGGGAAGGAGAATGGGGACTTCCGTCGATCGACATCGAATGCTTAGAAGTGCTGGTAAGTGTATTCACATTAGCAGAGGCCTGTCTATTTTGCACATAAAAACAACAATCAAAGGGCAAAAAGATACAGAGGTTGATGTAATTATCTGATGTCGGCCTGCAAGTTGAACTCATACTTTATATCTGAATGTCAGCTAAATTAACCAAACTGTTGTCTTTTGATGCTTTTCTGCGGTAAAACAAAAAAGCACTGGAAAGCACCTTTTCAGCGCGCAAGACAGCTTCCAAGCCCAGTTTGCAGCCCGCCACCTCGTGGCGGGTGTACAAAAATCATACGAAAGTGCTAGGTGCGCCAGAACTAGCACTGTTTCCTGATTGGAGTCGATTGTATCTAGTTTTTAGGTGTACCCTTACTGATGCCATGTCTGCACCCTGGGTGCTCCACAACCATGCATATCAGGCATGATTTTCAGCTACTAATTTAATTCAAGCAAGCTAAAATAAAGTTCATATCTTTTTAACATTAGTCATTCTATATATGTAAAGCACTTAAGTACAGCCAATCTTGTTACGTCATTTCTTTGAAGGTGAACATGTCCTGAACCCTGTATGGAAGTGTCCATTATTATTCGTACTTTTCTACTTTGCATACATTTTTCACCGCTCGCTTTATAGAATGTTAGCGTTTTGGTCTTACATCTTTGCCTCTCGCACCAACCCTGATTTAAAAGAGTAACTACTAGCTTTGATGATTGAACTACCAGCTTTGATGATACAAAAGAACAGCAAACAGAAACCCAGAGCACGATGTAGGATACATCAATACTTATAAAGTTTCTAGTTTGCTAGAACTGATATGAAATCTAATCAAAGTTATTTATAGATTTAAGAACTACTAACTTTAACCTTGAAAACAAACTATTAGTATTGTGCTTGGTCAGGTTCTTCTTGATCTTCTAATACAGTATAAACAAAATTATTGCTGTTCGAAAAGCTATTATCAAAAATCGAACAACCAGCAATGAGTTCTTTTTTAGTATGGCAGTTTATTTTTTGGACAAATGTTTAAACAAATCAAGCAACTTAAAATGTTACTATCAGTGGCTGGAAACTTTGTCAAAGCTTCCCAGGAAATCTTGAATTTTCATTTTGCTGCCAGGAAGAAAAATCTTTTTTCATAGCCTATCTGTGCAATGACAGCCTATATCATCAAGATTTGTAAATTTCTCTGTAGCCTAAGCAAGATCCATTGTAAATCAACAAAATTCACAATTTTTTTAATTCTGAAAGCATTTTTATCTATTCTTAAGAAGCTTCATGGCCAAAAAAAGAAAAGCATGAAACTTTTACTGGTTTACCCCCACCTGAGGGATTGGAACTTACCTATAGAACAATAAAACCCCATCATCTATAGATGGTCTATTTAACAATCTATTCTATACTCTGACCGGTTTTCAGTTACCTCATACCAGATTGGTATGTTAGCAAAGAGATCTGCAGATATGCTATTGATCCTTTTCATAATATGCCAAATTTTGTTGTGAATCTTAAATCACTTTTGAACTGGTGTATAATTTTATAGTTTTAGTTACAGGGTTGTTGTTATTTAGATAACATACAGGAACAAAGCAAAACGGCAATGAGAACCAAATGAAAGAAATTTTCACAATAAATTAAATAGAACATTCTGTTTGATATTTTTTGAAAATTTCTCTCATTGGATTCTCGTCACTGTTTTGCTTTGTTCCTGAGTTTTATCTTTGTATTTAAACTCATAACAAGATTCACAGAATCTGGCAGACAGCGTATCCTCTTATTCTTCCTTCTAACACATTGTTTTTGTTACTCTTGCATGCTCATACTTTTTAGGCTCATTTAAAATTTGCTGAGACTCCTGCTGCAATCAAATTTTCCAGGACACCAACACTAAATAAATCAAGTATGGATTATAAGTTATTATTTTCTGTATCGTCTTACTTAGAATTACTTTGTTGCTACTCAGCAGCATATATTTCCATTATGATTATGCTCAAATCTTCAGGTATGATCTTTTAGCCAAAGCTTGTAAGATATTTTCTCAAAAATCTGCTAATTCTCTCCACACAAAACATTGCCTGTGGTATGTTTTTCAGTAGTTGAGTCCTTATATTTGCAACCTGAATTTGTTTTTGCAAGTTTTTATTGTGATATCACTAAACACTTAAGATCATAACTGATTGCTTTTTCCAGTAAAAAGCTTTCCAATTCTGAAGAAGAGAGATGGCACATTTATCTCTGGAGCTGATGATATATTGAATCACCTCCGAGACAATGTAGGTTATCTTTGTGGTGAATGCATCCTAATCTTTGCATGTTGGTGGCACTACCTCTTTGTGTTAGTTTTTTATTACAATTTGTATCCAATTGTGTGAAATATTCCCACATCACATTGAAACATAATCAAGTGCATTAAGCCCGAGTCTGTTATTTTAAGGTTGCATATATGAAACTATGTTTTCATAAATGGGTTTGCAGCAATGATCAACAACACTTTGATATTCTTTTTTTATCTTAGTACTGTTATAGATCTTGCTGCAAAGATTTTATCTAAAATAAATAATGTGCAAATTGCATGTTGTATAATGTTTTATACCAACTATTGTAACTGATCATTAAGTTTCAGTATTAATGCTTTGTTTTTTACCATAGGGTACCATGTCTTTTGAAGTATGGATGATAATTTCAGATTATTGATACAAATATCTGATGTCTGCTTTTTTATAATTTCTCTTGTTCTTATAATTACTAATTTAATTTATTTCATATAATTATTTTGTAGGACCAACACCCAGATATTGGATTAAGCCCCCAACAGTATGCAGACATTGTTTCACTAAAGGCTTTAGTTAAAGATAGGATCCATCCATATATTGTGAGTTTTGATTTTATTATACTTTAATACATTCATTTTTAGAGTTTATATGTTATTTGCCAGGCAAATGTATTATGAATCAAGTCAATACTAAAAGTACTGGAGTAAAAAATTGAAATTGAAAGGAAACTATTGAATTAATTGAATCTCTGTGACTCCAACGCAGTGGCTGCCTCACTCAACTTTTTCTTCCTCATCTCCCCAGCAAGTCTGCCCCTAAGTAATCTCTCTATCAGTTGCATGCTCTTCTTAGTAGCAGTGCCTTATGCATTGTAACTGCAGCAATAACATAAAGACTTGTTTTTAAGACCTCAAGTTCATACTGCCCAAGCCTTTTCTTTAGGTGATAAAACAACAGCCCACGGATTGTAACTACAGCCTTCATTTAACCATTAGAATAAGTAACTTGACTATATTGCGATCTTGTTTAAAGGGCCTCTCCAGCCAAAAAAAAAAAATTTTTAATGACTAAAAAGTTAGCATCTGGTGCGTGTATTATGGCAAAGTTGTTGTTTTTGCAAAGTTTCAATTAGTTTAGAAGTTATAAGGCTTTAAGTTGCACCTTTTCGAGAAAAAAACGACAAAAGCCGAATGAGTTTTGTGACATTCTGACGTCACAGTGTGCGGCTCTCGTTCGTCATGAATTTCGTATATCTTCCACCGAGTCGTGAAGGAGTCATGGTCACGCGTTGATAGCTGCATCTAGATCTACAACAGGTGCTTTTTAGGATCGAAAAATATTAAATGTTTACAATTATTCTAAGTTTGCGGGTCGGAATGTGTCCATGCTGTGTCACGACTTTGTTATGATCAGCTGTGTAGGCCCACAAAGCTACGGCTTCCTGTTCCAGCTCTTCCCTCGCGTATAATTAATCGAAATTGACACTTCAGTTGTTTTTCAGAAACGATGAACAACTAAAAGCTTCAGAATTTATATCTGAAATGCTCAAACTAAAAGCCGATGGAACAGAACTGAGGGTACCAACAATTGCAGTGTTCAATTTGCGAATCGCCGACGTTCGATTCGGTTTGAGGCGAGACTAACGAAATACACTGTGACGTCAAAATTGCGTCACAGTGTCACCAAACCGAAAATTTTTTGTCGGTTAATTCAATTCAATTATCGAAATGCAAGAGCTTATATCTCACAAACTGTAAAAAATATCGAAAAACAAATAACGAATTCGTAATCAGCAGGTTCAACTCCTTTAGATTAGCCAATAAAATGCAATTGCAAATTTTGGCTGGAGAGGCCCTTTAATTATGATTTATATCTGATAACCCTGTTAAGCCTGCAACCCAAAGGTCAATCTGTCTTTTAACTAATTTGAAAAGATATTTTTATTAAGATTTAAAACTGGTCTTTTTTAAATGCTATACAAGCCATTTTGATGTCTGGTGATTAGAGATACAAAAATAAAGAAAATGTCATTTTTTGCCAATTTTTGCAAACTTCAATCAATCACTACCTGAGAAATTTCTTTTCATATATTTTTTCGTTTTTTTCCTCTGGAGTCAAATTAGTTACTGCTTTGCTAAAAACACCAGTAACCCTTCTTGCATTTTCGAAGGCCATTGTTGATTTTTTTAATCATTTGCAAGATCCATTGAAAACATTTGTTCAAGATCCGGTGATTTTTCAGAAAGATTTCTGTTTTTTTTAGACATTCTGTTTGTGGCTGGATGGCAAAAATTTTACAGAGTTTTCAAGGCCGTTATATGCCAAAAAATGTGTGTTTCCTTTGAATTTCATTATTCCTGGAAAACTATACAACAATGCTCAGGACTTCATAAATAGCACCAAAGCACATGTAAACACAACTCAAGATCAACTGGCAGACGAGGTAATTCTTTAATTTCATCTCATATACTTTTGGCCTTTTGAACTAGAGAGAAAGAATAGTGCGTTACTTTTGATCCCCTTCTAGATGTAAGCCTTCTGCTTACCTTTGGACATTAGCCGATGTTTATACGCGGACAAAAAAGTACTTTAGTTAACATGTTTCTGCTTTTCCGTGCTATTTTTAAATTTGTGCAGTACAAAAGGCTGTTTTGGTTGAATCACATTTTCCATCTTTCGCTACATTACTCACTAGAAAATAAAACTTTGCAACCTGACCAACCCATTTATCTGCGGTGTGCAGTACATATTGTGGATTTTCTATTTTTGCTCATAACTATGCACACTTTAATCTTGCAATTGATTTTTTATTCTTTATGCTTCTTCCTGCCTTGTTTTCAAGCAACAACATAACTCGAGATTGTATTTTTATAATGAAATTGTACGTAGGAAGAAAAAAACGAAATTTCTTATTAAATTTTTCTTGCATTGCCCGTTGTCACGTGAGTACTGAAAGCGATAACAGAATTTGAAATGCATATAGAAGATAGGTTACGACAGGTAGGAATAAGGCAAGAAAAAAGGGGAACTAACTTTTGCAGTTTGGTTAATTGCTGGTTTAGTTTAGAAGAATATAAGGCCCCGCGTTTTTAAGATGAAAAAGGCGTTTTTGCATTTTTTTCTGCCTTTTCTTGTTACATATATCTTTTCCATCTTTTCTCTTAATTTTATGCGTATGGTTTTCATACAGCTCTTATATTATTTTCTTCATCTTTCCTTTCCCATGCTGCATTGTCTGTCATTCTATTTTTATCTGTTGCATCCTATCTTCCTTCTACGTTCAACGTCTTTATTGCTTTCTATCTTCACTTGACAACAGGCCATGCTTGAAACATCGTTAATATCGTTTTCTCATTCTTCCTACGTACAGTTCTATTTCAATTTAAAAGCTCTATTGTTAAAGATATTGAACGACACTCTTTTTAGTAATTTATGGAACTTTTCCACGTTGTAACTTACCTTATGAATCTAAAGTTAGAATTGTGTCTGCATAACGCAATTTGTTCTTCTTGTGACCTGTAATCACAAAGCCTTGTATGCTTTTTAGTTCTCTAAAGCTTTTTTTTAAATCAGGCTTTGCTAAGCAGGGTTAAGAATTAACTCCTTTCTATCACAGGGTTAAAAGTGATGTTTTCATTTAGTTAATAAAATGTAAATGAAGTGATTTGGAAATCATTTTGACAAAGCCAGTCTAACAAAAAAGCACGTTTAATGGCAAGGCATATCTCACACATTTACCCTGCGTAACTGTGTCTAGTTTTAAGCTGATCTCAGTTCTTTTCTAAAGTAACTTTTGTCTCTCTTAGTTGTACTTAGAGGCAGTTGACAGTATCAACCTTCTTGAAACCTACCTTGCAGACAAAGAATTTTTCTTTGGCAGCAAGTAAGTAATTTTAAAAACCTGAATAATATTATTTGGATTTTGTATTGAAATGTAATGAAGTTATATTCTAAAGAACATTTCAGTAATTGACATATCTAATTGGATGGTGCAAGTAACTGTGGTTGCATAGTGCAAACCTGTGATTATAAATGACACAAGTAAATGGCATGTAAAAAGTTAGTATAACAGTGACTAATTTGCTCTTTAGTTTGAATATTTCTCCGAATTCTTTTTCAAAATATTTTACCAATGATATTTAATAATGTTGTGCCCTGTGGTATAAAAATTTGATACTCATATCTAATTTAACCATTGAACAAGAATCATCACATTGCTCAAAAATTTGAAATTCTTTGACTTGCAATTTTAAGAATTTAAGGTTTTGGGAATGTTTCAGTTGTTGATTCTGATTGTAGTTGCAAACGTAACTGATTTCGCTGAACCTGAAACCTATTGTTGATACGAACATGCTATTAATTTTTTTACCATCCTCTCAAAGTTTTCTTTCTCTGCAAAAAAGTAATGCAATGTTTTCTTCGTTAACTCTTTTACAGGCCAACAAGTTTTGATGCTTTGATATTCGCATACTTGGCTCCTTTAGTCAAGGCAAAGCTTGCAAGCACAAAGTTGCAAAATCACGTGAGGGCTTGTGATAATCTCACCAAATTCGTTAGTAGAATACTGACTCGGTTCTTCCCAACTGAAGATGGCAGCAAAGACAAAACAAGTAAGAACCCTTTTATCAATATTCAGACCAGGTCAACAGCACGTTTTACGTTTTTGGGGCTGAGAATAGAAAAGGTGTGACTTAGTATTCAGTGCTATAATGATACCAACCTATTCATCTGCTTCTCTTGGTGCACTTCTGTACAATTCTTGCTATCATTTTTTATGCAAACATTCCATTCCAGTCCTTGTTTTCTGCATACAAAACCCTCTATATTCTTTGAGTGTTTGTCATTTCTGTTTCTTTCGATGGCTAATAATTTTTGTGATAAACTATTGATTTTGCAAATTGCTCCCTACTAGGTTTTCAGCTACTGCAGCTCAAACTTTTAGTTTTCTCCTATTTTTTTAAATTTATCACTGTATACATAGTAAGCAAATATCAAGTGATTATTGAATTACGTGATTTATTGCTCTCATTCATTTGCATTTTATTTTAAATTGGTAAAATGTGTGAGACAAATCAATCTGCAAGTGAAATTACATGCTTGTTAAACAGGCCTTATACAATGGTATTCTCGTTTGCTTGTCAGATTCAAATGTTTTTTTTTCATTCTCAACCATGTCTTTTAAGAGGAAATTATTTCAAATCATCACAAATTATTTCTCAGCAGCACCAAAACACGATGGCCAAAGTGAGAGAAGTTATGACTGGATTCTATCTGTTGCAATTGGCTCACTTGTAATGACAATGTACGCAGCTAATATTGGACTCCTTGCAAAGCTACGGTGGTAACCTTTGCTTGTTCTTTACTGAATATTTCTAGGAAGTTATCTTCTTTCTTGGATTATATTTCAAGCCAGTTTATGTTTCGAACGAAATATCTTTATCGAAAAAGCTTAAAATGAAAATATAGTTCAGTACTAACAATATCCATGGATGATTTTCGTCTATCCAAGGAAAGGTTTTATAAATGTCTATAGAAGGTGTTTTTTAGTGTGTAGAGTTTTTTGATTGAGCATAAAATCTCATTTCGTTTATTTGCATTGCTTTTTTGGTGTTTACAAAATTATCCACCAGATAATGCTGTCAAAGAAATGAACAGATCTTCTTCACGCCTCAAGTACAATTTGGCCCTTCTCGTCTTCACATTAATGTATCACGTAATGACTAGAAGCTAAAAATTTACAACTCTGTCGTTTAAACGTAAGCAAGATTTTGCTTGCTGTGCTTTGTTATTTCTACAGCCAAGGAAACATTACAACGTTCATCGCTCATCGTTCTGTTAAACTGTTTTGGAAACCATTCTGTATTATTGTGCATGTTGTATCATATCATATTCTTCTTCTTCTTTTCAAAAATAATGTATGACTTTTGCTAAAAGTGTTGAAAATTTTCCAATTTTCTTCCTGACAAAGCCTTGCTTTTTCACACGATTTTTATCGACTTTAGTTCTGATATTTTATTTCGCTAGACGGCATATACCAATCTCTCTCTCTCTCTCTTTTTAAATTGGAACTTTCCTTTTTTAAAAGTGTTTTCAAAAAAATTTCTTCGTTCTTGTAAGGTTATAGTTTTACTGTTCCACAAAATTTTGTCTGTTTTCAAACACCCATTTATTGACCTTAGCAATCCTTTTATGCCATAGGCAACATTTACTAGTCCCTCTTTCCCTTTCCAACAAGAAAATATTGCTGTTATCCAAAATATTTCGAGAAAATTCACCATTTTTTAAACTAATAGCCTTACCTTTTCAGTAAATTTTGCTTTGCTAAAAACACCTTTTTTCTTACCTTAGCAGTCCTTCTATTTGCCCTAGACAACATTCAACAGTCCTCTCTTTCTCTATCCAACCAGAAAAAATAGGTTTTTTTGAAAAATATTTTCGAAAAAATTCACAATTTTTCTAAGCCTATAGCCTTTACTTTTTCAGTGAATTTGGTTTTTCTAAATACACGTCTTTTCTTACTTTAGCAGTCCTTTCACGTACCTTAGACAACATTCAATGGTCCTCTCTTTCTCTTTACAACCAGGAGATGTTGCTTTTATCCAAAAAATATTTTCAAAAAAATTCACCATTTGTCTAAGCCTATAGCTTTACTTTTTCAGTAAATTTTGATCCTCTAAGAACACATTTTTTCATGCCTAAGCAGTCCTTTCATGTGCCCTAGACAACATTCAATGGTCCTCTCTTTCTCTTTACAACCAAAAATTATTGCTTTTATCCCTAAATATTTTCGAAAAATTTCACCATTTTTCTAAGCCTATAGCCTTACTTTTTCAGTAAATTTTTTGATTCTCTAAGAACACCTTTTTTCGTGCCTTAGCAGTCCTTTCATGTGCGCTAGACAACATTCAATGGTCCTCTCTTTCTATTTACAACCAGGAATTGTTGCTTTTATCCCTAAATATTTTCGAAAAAACTCACCATTCTTCTAAGCCTATAGCCTTACTTTTTCAGTAACTTTTGCTTCTTCAAAAACACTTTTTTCTGGCCTTAGCAGTCCTTTCATGTGCCCTAGACAACATTCAATGGTCCTCTCTTTCTATTTACAACCAGGAATTATTGCTTTTATCCATAAATATTTTTGAAAAATTTCACCATTTTTCTAAGCCTATAGCCTTACTTTTTCAGTAAATTTTTTGATTCTCTAAGAACACCTTTTTTCATGCCTTAGCAGTCCTTTCATGTGCCCTAGACAAAATTCAATGGTCCTCTCTTTCTCTTTACAACCAGGAAATGTTGCTTTTATCCAAAAACATTTTCGAAAGATTTCACCATTTTGCTAAGCCTATAGCCTTACTTTTTCAGTAAATTTTGCTTCTTCAAAAACACCTTTTTTCTTGCCTTAGCAGTCCTTTCATGTGCCCTAGACAACATTCAATGGTCCTCTCTTTCTATTTACAACCAGGAATTATTGCTTTTATCCAAAAACATTTTCGAAAAAAGTCATCATTTTTCTAAGACTATAGCCTTACTTTTTCAGTAAGTTTTGCTTCTTCAAAAACACCTTTTTCTGGCCTTAGCAGTCCTTTCATGTGCCCTAGACAACATTCAATGGTCCTCTCTTTCTATTTACAACCAGGAATTATTGCTTTTATCCAAAAATATTTTTTAAAAATTTCACCATTTTTCTAAGCCTATAGCCTTACTTTTTCAGTAAATTTTTTGATTCTCTAAGAACACCTTTTTTCATGCCTTAGCAGTCCTTTCATGTGCCCTAGACAAAATTCAATGGTCCTCTCTTTCTCTTTACAACCAGGAAATGTTGCTTTTATCCAAAAACATTTTCGAAAGATTTCACCATTTTTCTAAGCCTATAGCCTTACTTTTTCAGTAAATTTTGCTTCTTCAAAAACACCTTTTTTCTTGCCTTAGCAGTCCTTTCATGTGCCCTAGACAACATTCAATGGTCCTCTCTTTCTATTTACAACCAGGAATTATTGCTTTTATCCAAAAACATTTTCGAAAAAAGTCATCATTTTTCTAAGCCTATAGCCTTACTTTTTCAGTAAGTTTTGCTTCTTCAAAAACACCTTTTTCTGGCCTTAGCAGTCCTTTCATTTGCCCTAGACAATATTCAATGGTCCTCTATTTCTCTTTACGACCAGGAAATGTTGCTTTTATCCAAAAATATTTTCGAAAAATTTCACCATTTTTCTAAGCCTATAGCCTTACTTTTTCAGTAAATTTTAATTCTCTAAGAACACCTTTTTTCTTGCCTTAGCTGTCCGTTCATGTGCCCTAGACAACATTCAATGGTCCTCTCTTTCTCTTTACAACCAGAAAATGTTGCTTTTATCCATAATTTTTTTCGAAAAAATTCACCATTCATCTAAGCCTTTAGCCTTACTTTGTCAGTAAATTTTCATTCTCTAAGAACACCTTTTTTCTTGCCTTAGCAGTCCTTTCATGTGGCCTAGACAACATTCAATGGTCCTCTCTTTCTCTTTACAACCAGGAAATGTTGCTTTTATCCATAAATATTTTCGAAAAATTTCACCATTTTTCTAAGCCTATAGCCTTACTCTTTCAGTATATTTTGATTCTCTAAGAACACCTTTTTTCATGTCTAAGCAGTCCTTTAATGTGCCCTAGACAACATTCAATGGTCCTTTCTTTCTCTTTACAACCAGGAAATGTTGCTTTTATCCATAAATATTTTCGAAAAATTTCACCATTTTTCAAAGCCTATAGCCTTACTTTTTCAGTAAATTTTGATTCTCTAAGAACACCTTCTTTCATGCCTTAGCAGTCCTTTCATGTGCCCTGGACAACATTCAATGGTCCTCTCTTTCTATTTTTAACCAGGAATTATTGCTTTTATCCAAAAATATTTTCGAAAAAAGTCATCATTTTTCTAAGCCTATAGCCTTACTTTTTCAGTAAATTTTAATTCTCTAAGAACACCTTTTTTCATGCCTTAGCAGTCCTTTCATGTGCCCTAGACAACATTCAATGGTCCTCTCTTTCTATTTACAACCAGGAATTATTGCTTTTATCCAAAAATATTTTCGAAAAAACTCACCATTTTTCTAAGCCTATAGCCTTACTTTTTCAGTAACTTTTGCTTCTTCAAAAACACCTTTTTTCTGGCCTTAGCAGTCCTTTCATGTACCCTAGACAACATTCAATGGTCCTCTCTTTCTCTTTACAACCAGGAAATGTTGCTTTTATCCAAAAATGTTTTCGAAAAATTTCACTATTTTTCTAAGCCTATAGCCTTACTTTTTCAGTAAATTTTGATTCTCTAAGAACACCTTTTTTCTGGCCTTAGCAGTCCTTTCATGTACCCTAGACATAATTTAATGGTCCTTTCTTTCTCTTTTTAACCAGAAAATGTTGCTTTTATCCAAAATATTTTCGAAAAAATTCGCCATTTTTCTAAGCCTATAGCCTTACTTTTTCAGTAACTTTTGTTTCTTCAAAAACACCTTTTTTCTGGCCTTAGCAGTCCTTTCATGTACCCTAGACAACATTCAATGGTCCTCTCTTTCTCTTTTTAACTAGAAAATGTTGCTTTTATCGAAAAATATTTTCGAAAAAATTCACCATTTTTCTAAGCCTATAGCCTTACTTTTTCAGTAACTTTTGCTTCTTCAAAAACACCTTTTTTCTGGCCTTAGCAGTCCTTTCATGTACCCTAGACAACATTCAATGGTCCTCTCTTTATCTTTACAACCAGGAAATGTTGCTTTTATCCAAAAATATTTTCGAAAAATTTCACTATTTTTCTAAGCCTATAGCCTTACTTTTTCAGTAACTTTTGCTTCTTCAAAAATGACCTTTTTCATGTCTAAGCAGTCCTTTCATGTGCCCTAAACAACATTTAATGGTCCTCTATTTCTCTTTACGACCAGGAAATGTTGCTTTTATCCAAAAATATTTTCGAAAAATTTCACCATTTTTCTAAGCCTATAGCCTTACTTTTTCAGTAAATTTTAATTCTCTAAGAACACCTTTTTCTTGCCTTAGATGTACTTTCATGTGCCCTAGACAACATTCAATGGTCCTCTCTTTCTCTTTACAACCAGGAAATGTTGCTTTTATCCATGATTATTTTCGAAAAAATTCACTATTTTTCTAAGCCTTTAGCCTTACTTTTTCAGTAAATTTTGATTCTCTAAGAACACCTTTTTTCTTGCCTTAGCAGTCCTTTCATGTGCCCTAGACAACATTCAATGGTCCTTTTTTTCTATTTACAACCAGGAATTATTGCTTTTATCCAAAAATATTTTCGAAAAATTTCACCATTTTTCTAAGCCTATAGCCTTACTTTTTCAGTAGATTTTGCTTCTTCAAAAACACCTTTTTCTGGCGTTAGCAGTCCTTTCATGTGCCCTAGACAACATTCAATGGTCCTCTATTTCTCTTTACGACCTGGAAATGTTGCTTTTATCCAAAAATATTTTCGAAAAATTTCACCATTTTTCTAAGCCTATAGCTTTACTTTTTCAGTAAATTTTAATTCCCTAAGAACACCTTTTTCTTGCCTTAGCTGTACTTTCATGTGCCCTAGACAACATTCAATGGTCCTCTCTTTCTCTTTACAACCAGGAAATGTTGCTTTTATCCAAAAATATTTTCGAAAAATTTCACCATTTTTCTAAGCCTATAGCTTTACTTTTTCAGTAAATTTTAATTCCCTAAGAACACCTTTTTCTTGCCTTAGCTGTACTTTCATGTGCCCTAGACAACATTCAATGGTCCTCTCTTTCTCTTTACAACCAGGAAATGTTGCTTTTATCCAAAAATATTTTCGAAAAATTTCACCATTTTTCTAAGCCTATAGCTTTACTTTTTCAGTAAATTTTAATTCCCTAAGAACACCTTTTTCTTGCCTTAGCTGTACTTTCATGTGCCCTAGACAACATTCAATGGTCCTCTCTTTCTCTTTACAACCAGGAAATGTTGCTTTTATCCATGATTATTTTCGAAAAAACTTCACTATTTTTCTAAGCCTTTAGCCTTACTTTTTCAGTAAATTTTGATTCTCCGAGAACACCTTTTTTCTTGCCTTAGCAGTCCTTTCATGTGCCCTAGACAACATTCAATGGTCCTCTCTTTCTCTTCACAACCAGGAAATGCTGCTTATATCCAAAAATATTTTCGAAAAATTTCACCATTTTTCTAAGCCTATAGCCTTACTTTTTCAGTAAATTTTGCTTCTCCAAAAACACCTTTTTTCTGGCCTTAGCAGTCCTTTCATGTGCCCTAGACAACATTCAATGGTCCTCTCTTTCTCTTTACAACCAGGAAATGCTGCTTTTATCCAAAAATATTTTCGAAAAATTTCACTATTTTTCTAAGCCTTTAGCCTTACTTTTTCAGTAAATTTTGATTCTCCGAGAACACCCTTTTTCTTGCCTTAGCAGTCCTTTCATGTGCCCTAGACAACATTCAATGGTCCTCTCTTTCTCTTTACAACCAGGAAATGCTGCTTATATCCAAAAATATTTTCGAAAAATTTCAACATTTTTCTAAGCCTATAGCCTTACTTTTTCAGTAAATTTTGCTTCTCTTAAAACTCCTTTTTTGTCACCCTAGCTGTTCTTCTATTTGCCCTAGACAATATTTACTGGTCCTCTCTTTCTCTTTTCAACGAGGAAACGTTGCTCTTATGTAAAAAATATTTTTTAAAAATCTCACCCTTTTTGAAAATTAATAAATGGCCTTACTTTTTCAGTAAATTTTTTCGTCTCTATAGATACCTTTTCTTGACTTTAGCAGTCGTTTTATTTGTTCTTAACCTTATTAACCGGTCCTTTCCATTCTTGCCGTTATAAAAATTATTGTCTTGAACTAAAAATTTTTGAATAAATCTCCTATTTTGTAAGCGAATAGTCTTGCTTTTTGATTGAGCGGAGTACCTCTGAAAATTGAGTGGATTGCCTCTTTGTCTCCTGTGCAAAAAAATGTTTTTTGCAAAAATTGACCATTGGGTAAGAATATGTCCTTTTTCTTTTGACCAAAATCTAGGTTTTTTGGTAACACGATTTTTTCGATCTTGATTGCCTTGTTGCATGAAAACACTTACCCGTCGCTTTTCGGTTACAAAATACGGTCCAAGTATGTATATTTGAGAGAGAGTAGAAAGGACAACAGAAAAAATGGGGCTTCACTGAGTAGAACAATAGAACTCGGATATACACGTAACAGAAGAGGTTTAAACCACAAGAGTGCATCGTGGGTCTTGTTGTCGAATGTGTCAAAGTCTTTCTGGCTGTTATTTCATTTCATTTCATTTTATCTACACGAAACGCCCTTCGGGCAGAGAAAACTGTTTTTTCAGAGAGCCCTCATGAACTGTATAATAAACAGAGGTGCTGATTTGAAATAGTGTCGAGATTAAGTTGTCTTGTTACTGGCCCATTGATAACTCTAGTTCGAATTTATGAATGCAATTTCAAAAAATTGATGAAAAGAGCAAACGCTCCATTCCCTGTTCCGATATTGAATGAAATTAAGCATTCAATGGACAAAGTATTTTACCATATCTAATAAATAAAACTTCTATTATTTCACATTGCTAATACACAAAATCAACACGATTTAGTATTACTTTAGCTAATATCAGCAACTTGATTTATCTTAGCGAGCATATAAGAGCTTTTTATCGTTGGAATCAAAAATTCTAACTATAGCTGAGAGCATTCGACAAACATGAATTCAGTTTAATTTGCAATTTTGTATTTTTAATCTTCCAATTTCCACCCGTCAACGGATCTTGAATCAAACCAAATGTTTGCTCGTATAAACCAACGACAGAAGAGCTCTTGTGAATTGTTCCAGCACTTTTAACTGCTAATAAGCCATGATGACTCATCTCACTGCGGACTCCTTCTGAGCTCATATTTGGATTGAAAAGACCCTTGAAATTTGACACGAACAACGCTAGGGTACGGCTTACCTCATCAGCCCCTACAACTTCATCGCAAGACGTTCCATCTGGTCTGTCTATTGTAAATTCTAGTTTGGCATCATTCCAGAAATGCTGAGGTCCCCAGTTTTTACTATCTGGTAATGCTTGTGTAGAGTTCAAAATATTGTAAAACCAATTGACAAATGAGGTAGCGATTTTTTGTGATTCTTTTTCGTCTTCTCGATACGTTGATTCTTCTTTCTTTTCCACGGTCTTTTGGAGAAAATAAATAGCATTATCGAACAAGCTAAAGGATTGTTTAACCCTAATTCTAATACACCAATTTCAAATAAAAATTTTTTCTTGAGGTCTCTTAAATTTGGAAACAATTTTTGTGGTGGCAGTTTCCTGCAAAATTTCATCTTAACACATGCTGCAGTAAATCATCTAAATAAGAGTGGTAGAACTAATTTGTTAAAAACCATCAACAGCCACAAAAAATGTTATATAGAAGAAATAATTTTCAGTTCAAGTAATATATAGAAAGAGTAATTCAAGTTGACTTTTGATTTATAATGACAGCTTCTTATGAAGGATTTTTACCAAACAGTATGAATGTATATCAACTACTATTTTGTGAATATTTTTAACAACAAGCATTGGTAACCGTCGCATTTAGTTATGTCTTATTCTTCGTTTGGTGATAAAGTTGGCGATAGACTGAAAAAATGTGTCTAAACAAAGACATTATTATTATCATCAAATGGAGTTTGCAAATTAATTTTATTCATGTTACAGTGACACCAAACTTTGAAAAATCGATAAAAAATAGCTGCTAATGGAAAGTGTACTTAAAATGACAGACCACTGAGGTATATTCATCCATTATGGATTAAAATAAAGGAACAAGAAGATGGGCTTAACTGATTTTGCTCACTATTGATTGCTAGTGTCATTGTAGCCAAATTAGAATGGTTGCTTTTATGTCAAAATTTAAGTGAACCAACAGAGTCAAGAAAAGAAAGTGATAATGTTCACCTAGAAATCAAAATAGTACCTGATCTGGAGGATATTTCCATGAATCAGTCAGCAGCTTAACAATAGTTGCTTTGTCTGACTTTACGATTAACGGCCCCCATGACTGTTCACCATACTTGACTGCGTATGCTTTTAAGTGATCCTTTTTCAACTTTTGTCGATGAAGCAACTCATGTGCTGATTCTGAATACTGAAGGATAGCCTCTATAGCTTCTAAGAGGCAATAAGAGCAAAATCAATGTACAAGAAGTTTTGTTTCAAAAAAGATGAGCATAAAAGGCACAATGTTAGGAAGAATTACCCACAATTAAAGATAAATGTGTTGATTAATACTTCATATCAACAAATAAAAGAAATATTAAAGCTGCTTAGTGGCCTTTGTTGAACTGACTTTAATTAGAATTCCAATTAATCTCAGCTGTAAAATCTTTTTTGCAGTTTTAACTACACAAGGTAAGTTTACAGTTATATATTTACAGTTTCATTGCAAGATATTATAAACCTAGCAAAAAGCCGATTTGGCATTTCTTTCATTTGGCTTATCATTTTCTAATGGGATTATGGGATTACAATACAATCCTCAAGAAGGAAGCCAAAATGCTAGCATAGCACCTTCAGATAGCATCAAATGGGTGGCAGCAAAAAAAGGAAATTCTTCTGTCCTTACAGAAATTACTTCAAACACAATCATGAAAATGAAGTCTTATATTTAGCCTGTATGTATAGAGAATAAGTTAAACAGAGCAAGACAGACCCTCTACCTCATAGATATTTTGCACTAAATTATGCCACTCTGGCCTTGATGGCACACTGTTGATAACAAGGAGTCTGGTTAACATAAGAATATGCAAATATAAATCCACTCTTGAGACACTTGCGTCAACTAATTTTCATACTTTTCTTTTTCAAAAAATTTTGATAAAAATATAGTGTAGTTCTATCCATCAATTGTATTTTATTTTGGACTATAATTGGCATTCAAAAATTACAGTGTGTAAATCAACATTATCAATTACGTCTTTATTGATCAATACTTTTGAGAATAACCAAGCTTCAAAATTCCAACCAATCTAAGTATACTTCTCCACTGATTTCAATAACAAAAATTTATTTACATCCTTACAGTACATGAACACCAAATATCTCAAGCAAATTTAAGATAAACAATTTCTAAAGAAATGTAACAGCCACCAAGAACTCTGAATCAGAATTTTGATTGAATAATACCTTCACAGCCTTGAACTTGATGCAGTGGTGCTGTGCAGCAGGGCTTTATTTCCCCCGTGACCATGTGACCATTGATCATAGGAAATCACAGGTAAAATATTTTTCTCACAGGAAATTTTCAACATAGATAAGCAATTTAACAGTTTTATACACTTCACAGAAAATTAGAAGGTTTGGAAGGAAAATAAATGCCCAAAATTAAATAAACTCGTTACATTGGGAAAGATCAAAACTATTTTTAAAACATCTTTATTATGATAGAGGAGCTGATAGAGGACTGTCACTTTGTAAAACAATTTCTAACCCTACTCCATATTTCTAGCAAAGTTGCCCTCTCTTCTCAACAGCATAGAGGAGAATTTCTGTTAGATTGTATCCCCTCCTCTGCAATTTGAAAATGTAGACTTTCCTTTGCACTTTTCTCCATCAGTTCAATTCACAGCCCTAACACCCATACAGCTGTTACATTTTGCTTTATCTATCCCACTAAATAGTCAGCTCTTAAGGCCGATTTCCACTATGCAAATTCTTTCGTGCGAGTGGAAATCGGCCTTTATTCCATTGTTCTGAAATGTGACAAAAATGTTTGTCTTTTTCTGATTTATTTTCATGACTCAATCACAACACCACAGATTCATCCCCTTTATACAAAACTATAGTTTTTGGAATGAACCATTCGGCAAATCACTTCATTCATTTTTCTGCCTTCTGATTTCAACAGCATACATATTGGGTGTGGTAAGGGTGTGGTCCTAGGTGTGGCCTCTTGAATTTGCGCACAACCCTCTTTCCTTAGTTTTTTAGGACGACATCCCTGACTGGATGGCATTACAACAAAAAGTGGATTCAACAAATAAGCGTTCCATATGTTTTGGTGCTAAGAAAAATACAGTAAAAGTTATCTAGATGCACTATACTGATATAATGGGCAGCTGATAGCAATACCCACTCTTTACTTGGTGAAAAATAAGGTTGAAACAAAGACAATGATCATTTAAAACCCACCCTAAACATGTGTTTTGATTCTGCTGTTTCACAGTGCTACACTGCAAGATTCTTACTTGTATCAAACATGCCAATTTAATGCTGATCAAATGGAAGTTTATCAGAGTTAATTCACGAGGGATGTTGTAGAATTTGATTTCGCTAGGGGTTCTTATTTTAGCTTATTTGTATTATTCTCATTTGGGTGGCAACGGGATTCATTTCGAATTTTTGTATTTTTCATTTAGGAAAGACTAGTCTCTTAATTCAGTCATGTTTTTTCTTCCCCTCTCATATCCGTTGCCAGATGCATTGGCTCTATGGTGGAGAAAAGTGAACTTTTGTTGTCCATTCCCTGCCCAGAACTTTAAGCTGCTTGTACTTGAGTCTATTAAGCTATATTAAAGGTTGGGTTATGTGAATCAACTTGTGCCGATGCATCAATGGCCAAACGTTGCTTCCTGTGATGAGAGAATGCAGTCTCAAGACCTGATGGAGCTTTTTCATCAAATTGATGGAATGCATAAATGAATATGATTTTTCTCCGAGTAAGTAATTAACATGGAATAATATCATATAGGAGTCTAGAAAGCAGGAACAAGGTAGAGCTTTTTGAAGTTTTATCTCCTATCCAAATTTGTCAACATTTTTGCAAAAAATAGCAAAATATGTCATTGTAAATGTTTTACCAAATATTGAAAAACAAAGTCTTGAAGGATAAGTTGTACATTCCTCTGTTTAGCCAAATTTTTGAATAAATGAACAGACTTTTTTGAGAGGGCTGGCTCCAATCTGTCACTTTTTATACACCTGGACTAAATTTATGGGGTTGCCCAATCAACAAATCACAAAATGGGTTTGTTTTCTAGAAAATTTCATCAAAATTCTTATGACCTTTAAAAAAGGAATAAATTTGATCATTGACCATAAAAGCTTTTTTAAGCCTCTTCTCTTTTAAGCCCCTTCTCTTTTAAGCCCCCTCTCTATTCAGCCCCCCTTTATATAGCAAAAATTCAAAATAAGCTCCCCTTCTCTATAAAGCCCTCCTCTTAAGCCTCCAATGCCAAAAAAGAAAACATGTGCATTGATTTGGTCACTTGCTGGATGTGATGACAATAAATTTTGTGCATTAAATTACAGCCCATGTACATATTGACTTATTTACAGCACCCTAAAAGTCAGTTGAAATTTTGAGAACATCTGTATGACATTTTCATAACAAGAAAGCATAAGTGAATTTATACACGCTTTTTTATAAGGAACCTACCTCAAGGCCTAGTTCCAAAAGTCCCTTATTCATAAACCTCAAATCATCAAATTGTAGTACCAAAAGTTCCTTAATAGTTCCTTAATTTTCGCTGCACATCAAATGCCGTAAAAAAATTGTACAGAAACAGGAATAACACAAATATTTTGAATTTTGCCTTTACTTACTTGTGGCTAGAATTCAGGAGCAAAAACACAAAGAAGGCTATGTATAGTGAATATCTCACTTTCAGTGTTTTGACTACAACAAGCCTTAAAACTTAATAGAGAGGCGAGACAGCATATGCAGAAAACAACTCAATGAAGCACCTGACACGCAAATACCAAACAATCTATGCGAGTATTGGCTGCAACTGAATGGAACCGGCTTTTTAGTTCTTGGTGCTTGCGGTTTTAAAAATTGCTCAAATTGAAAAGTTTCTTAGGGACTTTGTTTTAGTAGTACAAGTTCTTTAAATACTTCGGTCTTCTACATGTAGGTTCCTTATAAAGTGGTTCCTTATAAAAAAAAGCGTGTATAGCATTTTTACCTTGAATTATCAATAGGCCCCCTCTCTTTTAAGCCCCCTCTAGGATTGAAAAAAATTAATAAGCGACTGGGAGGCTTAATAGAGCCTTTTGGTATTTCACCCTGCTGATGCAAGCTCTTCGTTCAATTAGGTATATTTTAAGAAATATCCTCGAATAAGCCCCCATGCTCAAATAAGCCCCCCCCTCAAATAAGCCCCACCCTTATTCAAGGATTTACGGTGCGTTGCCATTTTTAAAATATGTCACCAATCCAGCCTCATACCAGGGTTGCCATTTGGAATTATTTAATCCCAGATTTCACAAAACTGGGACTGTGAAAAATTTGTTGGGATCAGAGATTGTTATCTGGGATTCAAAGTAAAAATTTGGATTTTTTGGGATTATCAGACAAGAATGGATAATTTGTTACAATTGGTCCATGGATTGCTCAAATTGCCTGTTATGTAACCTCTTGATCACTGCTAAAGACAATGTAGTGAGCCACAAAATGAAGAACGATTGACTTGAATGTGAGATTTTGTGTAATTTTTAGTTTGTTTTATGATCTGTGATTCCTTTTGTCATTCTATAAATATAAGCCATATAATATTCCTTTTTTTGCTATTGGCTCCCGATCAAATAGTTTTGGGAGAGGAGTGTGAATTTTATTTGATTTCATATGAGTTTTCACATCGCCTGCTACACTTACTTTAAATTTGAAAGTTATCTGCTGTTGTTCTGGTTCATCATACTCCATACACAATGCCCAAGTTCAAGCCTTCATACTGATATTTAAATTCTTATGGCAACTAACTCGACTATTTATGTCAAATTAAGCAACCGTAACAGTGAGTAATGCGTAATTCATTGCCCAGGAAATATAGAAGGCAAAGCTGCAGAGGAATATCTATCCCTTTCTATAACCTGTGCAAAGGAATCTACTTTTGAAAAATTTGGTATTGATTTGGGATTGAGTTTCAGAAACTTTGGGATTGGACTTGCTAGCACTTGGCAGACCTGCCTCATACCCGGCATTACTTATGGTTGCTTAAGAACATAACAAGCATATCTTTAGGGCTCTTCGTCTTTTCCATACAAAAAATTATCTTTTTTTCCATGAAAAAAAGAAGTTGCATCTCAGGGCTGTTTTACAAACCCTGTGAGTGCAACCCCAAAGCTTGGAGGCTCTGTTAAAGGATTTAAAGGTAAAATGTATGCAGTTACCTGTTCTTGATGAAACGTGAATTGAATTTTGAGTCACTGTTTGGCTTAGGCCTTTCAGCTCTTCATCACTGAGCAAATCCAGAAGCTTGCGACAACAAGCCTTTTCGAATTCTGCAAGCATTTTCCCGCCTGAAGTCAAACATGATCCTCAGTCAGTCAGTCAGTCCATGTTTTGAAAAACTTTGACGCATGCGCCATTTAGAAATTCTTGAGACAACAAGGAAGTAAATCCGCGGCAGCAGCATCGTAGTATTATTGTTCTCATGTTCTAAAATCTTGTATAGGTTGTTCTTTCATGAACCCCTAAAATCTTTTATTAAAAATATCCATAAAAAATAATAATAAATAAAATTTGTATCATAATAAAATGTGTATCGTAAAATATAAAGGGACGCCTATTTGAGTGAGCAGAGGGGCTTATCTGTTATGCAAATGCTTATGTGAAAACAAGATTTTTGGTCCAAAAACTGGATTAATGATAACCTGCATTGTGTGGCAGTTTCCATTGCTCCCTCCTGGGCAGCCTGTGGTGTAAATACTAAATTAATAGATTTTTACCACAGGAGGTGTTCTCCCCTCGATTAGTCTATCTATTGAGAGAGCTCCTCCTTTAAGAAATTCCTGCATACAAATCTCCTTCGTTTTTGTAAAATTATCTATATTTGTTTTTCTTGTTCTCTATTTCTCTTATTGTATGTAGTTTATTTCATCTTTTGTAACCTGTTGCTGTATTTTATAAGATTTGTATGTATGGATTTTTAAAAAAGAAATGAACTGAAAGAAATGAAATGTATTTTTGTCTATCAAAGCGGTTCCATTTGTCAAGAAACATGTGTTTCAAATGTTTGCAGTTTATTCTAGTCCCATATTCATTAACACCTCTGCTTATTGGTGAAACAGCCCCTTTTAGCAATACTTGGCACCAAAGGGACTCTACATGCAATAAATGAATTATCAACTTTCTCTATTATCAATAAAAACAATGTGCATTTATTGATAGTGTAATATGTAATGGTAGCAAAATATGGGTGCTTCCATTAGCCCAGGGGAATCTTTTTATCTTTGAAACAGATGATTTGAAATACTGACAACTCTTAAAGAATGCCAAAACTGCTTTTCAATCCTCATTTATTAACCCATTAAAACTAAAGATATATTCCAGGACTTCCAGGGATGCACAAATGTTGAAATTGAGATTTGCATTGTAGTGATTCAATTTAGGCCATTTTATACAATCCATCATTGCTTCTTCTGCATACCTACGTAATTCTATATTCATCTTTCTCTTTGCTAATTACACATCATTTTAACCTAATCCATCACACCATTGTTAACTATCGAGGGTATCTTTTCCTTTGTATAACTCTTAATTAAGTTTGCCAGTTTTCTATATCAATACGCACTTTTGTAAATAATTATCAGTCAGTCGATGTTCGGATGAACACTAAAGCATAATTGAGATTTTGCTTAATAGGATACTGACACCAACATTTTTCTAGCTGATGATTTATCATCAGCAAATAAGAACAAATAAAGTTTGACAGTGATAAAGTTGCTCTATTTCACTAGATAATGAATTCCTAATTTTCAATTCTTGTGGCAATTCAAGCTATTCAAGTTTCTTGAAGCATGTTACAGTATCAGATGTCTTTAGGTCAATATCAGTTGCAGTTAGTTAAAAATATTTGAGAGAAATCTTTAATTCTTTCCATACAAGATATGTTCCATCAATCTTTTGGCATTGCAAGCATAAAAATGAAATTACACAGAGCAGAAAATAGAAACTGGTATGAGCTAGGTTTATTCATGCATATCCTCTCTTGAACTAAAGAACAAATTAGAATAAAGTTTAGGCAGCAGTTACTAGAAAAAGAAATATTATTAACAATTATATGTTATTTAATATACCTGGGTAACAGCAGGTTTAAATTTGGTAAGCCAGCATTAAATGTGCTTGTCAAGTTAATATTTTCTCTATTTATTACAACAAACAGGGGTGTATAGAACATCTTGAAAAAACTCCAGCAAAGGCCCCTGAGAATATTTAGATTTCATGTATCTTATTGATATAACAATAAGTTTTGATTCATTCAACAATGACAATATTCATTCTTGGGCCCTTTCCGTTATTGAGTTTGTGTTGGCTGATCTACAATAAAAGACCTTGTGTTCTATGCAAAAATATACTGCTATTGGGATAACTTGCAATATAAAAAAACATGTCAAAAAGTGAATAAATACCTTTGTCACTCAACACAAATTTAATATGCTTTATTGTCAATATTATTTGTATCAAACAAACTAAGCATATCTCCTATTTACCAAACAAAAGCACAACATATATCATTGGAAAATGTAGAAAACAAACATGAAAAAGATATGAAGAAAAAATTAAAGAAATTTACCATTTTTCATACAGTGTTTATACCATAACCAGAGATGAGTGAAATTAGGCAAATCCTTGTTCTTCTACAGTCTCAAGCTCTTGTCCTTCATTCTGGATAATGGAACCTTCTTTGCTTATAAGCAAGTCCAGCTGTGTTTGGTACATCACAAGGTATTCTTCAACATCTTTTTCTCTGTCTTTCAATCTCTCGTTGACTTGTGTTGGAGTTTTGAAACCAACAAGATTCTTCAAACCAGCAATATTTGATGCCACTTGCACAACATTGTTAAACTTTTGTGCAACAAGCTCTGTTGTAAGTGAATCCTCCTCTGTCTTCATTTCACTGATTAAGGACTCAAACAAAAGCTTTTCAGCCAATGACCATTTTCCAAGGCTGACTTCAATCCCTGCCCCAGTCTGAAAGTTTTCTGCTCTTAGGTCTTTAGACAAGTTTGAATGATGGTGAGTGTGCCTTCTTCTCTTTGCAACTGGTTCTGAGGATGCAGCACTTTCAGTGTCGCTAGCCTTCACTAAGCTAGATGCTTGTTTCAGTGGTCTATCACCATATGGATTTTTACAGTTCTTACAGTCGCACTTGTTTGTACAAGGCTGTTGCAGTCTGAAACACATACACCTTGTAATATATTTAGAATTCTCATGGGTGTAGCACTTTCCCTCAGAATGCCCAGAATTACCACGCCCACAACGACATTTCACATTTGCAAGCTGCTTTCTTTCTTTACCAGCAGAATCACTTAAACCCTTATCTAGCATTGAAGCATCTGATAACACATCTTTTGGAACAACAGGAACAAATGAGCCTCCAATATAAAACAGAAAAATGTTTGGTGACCAGGCAGACAGTGTATGAGGAAAAACAGGAATAATTGGGAAGCTTTTCATACAAGAAATGACTGAAATTTGAACAGAAAGAATGTTGGCAACTTCCCTCACAATTGCTTCAAATTCACCTATATCAGAGATTGACTTGCTGTCATCTTTCAACTTTTTGGTTTCAGTTGCATCATCATCTGCTTTAGGTTCCTCTTTACAATCATTTGAACCATCTGCTTTTGATACAGATTTCAGTCCTTCACTTTCACTAGAATCAGCAGCAGTGTTTTTGTGCTCAATCTTCAAGAGCTTTTTAAGATTTTTCGAAACATCTGTAGTGTCCATTCCTAACTCAAAACCAAGTTCTTTCAATGACTTTTGAAACAGTCTTATATCATCCTCATCATCTTTATCGTCAATTTTATATGACATATAAATGCTTACAACTTTAGAAATAGCATTCAAAAATGTTTCCTCTAGTGGCATATAATCTAATGCAACTGGATCCCGGACTACTTCCAAATCTTTGAATTTTGGAAGTTCCTTGCTTATAATCTCCATCTTTATATTCATCTCCTTTGTTTCCTTGTCTTGTAACAAAAGTGGGAATGCACATGTGAGAAAAGGAATCAATTTCTCAGTAACATGCTCTCCAGATACAACTTTTGACAATGTTTCTGCATACCTCAAGAATGTAATTGTTCTTTTTATGATTGTATCATCAAGACATTGATCATTTATTTGATAATCATGATCCTTGGAGTCCTTGTTACTGTTATCAAAATATTCATTGACTGACTGCAAAAGGGCTTTACAATCAACTTCTTCAGAACACTTAATTGCTTTTGCTTGACTTGATGCAATACTTTCAAGAGCTTTGTTCATGTTTACTTCAACAGTCAAGCACTGTAAATTGCTATTTCCTAAGGATACTGTGCCAGACAAATCTTCATTGACTGTTTTCTCTTCATCCGGTACAACTAAAAGCACTGGTGCAGTATCTCTACCAAGATCTTCTTGCCTTGAAGTATTATGGTCATGAAGTGCAATTGAGGCTATGGCTACCATAACTGGAATTCCAAGACGGCAATTATTCACTTTCTTTCTCAAAGAAAACTGAAAATCTTTCCTGTCAATACCATTAGGAAATGGTGGTATATTACTGTAGCATCCACTGATTATATGGGATTCTAATTCCTCAATTACTCTGATAGCTGCATTTGTCAAAACAAGTTTCCCATTTTCTTCTTTTATCTTCTTCCACTTTTCTTTGAAAACTTCCAGGTTACTCAGAATGATTCCTGGAGACGGAGTTGGTAATATCCTAACTTTGTTTGAATCAACAGGATCTTGAAAAACTAATCGAAAGTCTTCTGTACATGGCAAGTACATCAGACTCTCTTCTTGCAGTTTTTCGGACAACTTTGCGATTGCTCTTTCAACATCACACTTAACCTGAAACTCTGGACCAAATATTAAAATTAAATTATCTCGCCATTCACAACAAAACCCAGTACAACAACCCTTCATTTGTTTGCCAATCTGCTCATGTCGATCTTTTACTGAGATAAGCGTCTCTTTTATCTCTGCAATGCTACATCTTCCTGTAAGTTGCCATGTCAGCACTTGGCCAACTTCATTTTGACAATAAAAAAGATGATCAACTTCCTTTTTCCAAACTCCTTTTGCATTAGTGCCAACATTTGTTGGAAGCTTCATTTCGTCTAAAATTACCCACTCATCTGCAAGAAGCTGTGACATTGAAAGCTTATAGAAATATTCTTTTTCTTTAAAACCAAGCAAAAAGCATTGCCCAATGAAAGTGTTTCTTGGACCTTTGATTTTGATTGTAGGGAATACTTCTGGTTTCTTTTGCTCATCTGGGTGGTCTCTGTTGTACTGTTGAACTGCGGCTAGGTAAGCTTTCTCTCTATCAACATGATTTTCAACATAGTTCTTCCTTAACATATCTTGAATTTGACCAAACTTTACACCATTTGACACCTGATTCATTATCGAATTGAAAAGCTCTCTTGTCATTCCTACTTTGTGAAAAAGCACAAATGGAACTGACTCTTGGTCTGAAAGCTGCTTTAAAATGCGGGGATCATACCCAAGAAATCTGTGCTCTCTTGCATTTTTGCACCTTAACATAGAAGTAACCAGCAGAACTGGCCTTTCAAAGTCATACAGCACTCGCATCATGTATGTGTATGCAATTGGATACAGTGCCAAAGGCTCGTTGCAGTTCTCTGCCGGGCAAAGGTTGCCATTAATTTCAGGGAATTCTTTTTGCAAATCCCATAAGATGATGTCAGGCTTAAGGTACTCATCGACCTTTGGGAAAGTTCCATTGTAAACAGGAAGAGGTGTTTTGTGGTACCCTCTTACCCCTTCATCGATCAATGTGTTGATATATGGTTTCCACGATTTTATGTTGGGGTAATTGCCATCTTCTTCCGTCCTCCGTTTTCTTGGCATGCATTGCTTCTTTTGCTTCGGTGCACGCACATCTTTAGGCTGTTCAAGAGCTTCGGTGTCATACTGAATGTCACAAGGAAAGCTTTCTTCCGGATAGCTCTGACTTTCTTGCTGGGCCTGTTCTCCCTCAGCAACAGACTCCTGAATCCTTCCGACAACGAAATTTTCACCAACTACTTCAGGTGCGAACTCTCGAAATTCAACATTTCCAATAATCGTTGCCACAGCATCGTCTACTTCAACTTCGGAGTTCTCCATGTTCACTTCACCACGCTGCAACGCGCTCTCGTTTATGAAGTCTGGGACTGAATTCCAGATCTCCTGCAAACTAATGGGGACCACTCATAATGTGGGGGGGGGGGGGCTTAGGGGTTTGACTATATTGAATTCATGAACAGATGGACATCGATAAAATGTTTCGACAAACGGGATTCCCTCCTCTTTAGGAATATTGAAAGCTTTATCGCACTCTTTTGGCTGCGATCAAAACAATTTCTGCAACTGGCTGTTTACATTAACAAAAAAACAATTTAGGAAGCAACTCTTTCGAGGCGTGTAGACAAGACGGAAAACACCAGTCCAAAATTTAGTTGAAGTTCTTCTTCATGGCCAATTATCATCTCCCCATCTTCTTCTATCAGTCATCTACTTTTTATTTTTATTTAGTGTAAATTATACCAAATTCTTTTATCCTGCCTCAGGAAATTCAATTTTGGCCTGAAGCATCATTATCCAGCACCATAATATTAGTTTAAAATTAAGTTGTGTTATTGATCTCCTGATTGAATGAGACCTTCAAAAAGCAAAAATATGCTTATTAATAGAATATTTTTAATCCAACAGTTTTAAGTTGAAGAGAAAAAACTCTTGACTAGAAATGTTATGAATAAGACAAAAATGCAGAAATCCAACATTGATGACACGACAAAGAAAAACCTATTCAGAATTAATCGTTCTTAATACGTCGCAACTTCTCCCTTTTGTTTCTATTAAAATGTTTCTTCCAAGGTTTTGCTTCTGCTGTAGTACTTCCATCTGGCAGTTGTCGAACTCCTGATGGTGCATTGTAATGTATCGAGCTTTCCCGCTGGTAATGAAATGTAAATGACAAATGAGCAAATGACAAATTCAGTAACCGGGACCACATCAATCTCCATATTGGAAAGTATAGATTATAAAGGTGGCTTTTGCAGAGAAGAGGGGGTTTGATTTATGCAACATATTTTGTTGTTTTCTTTAAAAAATTTAGTGTTTATGCAATTAAATTAAGGGCAATATTGGAGGATGATAACAAAAACTGTCTAACTTTTCCGTCAAACTTGATCAATTGCAGATAAAACAGCCTAATATTTTTCTGCATTAAAGAAAAAATAACAATTTTCTAACAAAAAGATTGAACGTAACTTATTAATAAGGGGAAAGTTTTTACCTGTGAAAAGAAGTCCTTGTCAATACCAGTTGTCCTCTTTCTCTGACTCTAAAAAATCAAAACAAGGGCCATGTCAAAAAAAGTTTTTAGTTAATGGTGATACAGATGACTCTAAAGCAACAAGCAAACTGTGCCATTATATTCAGGAAATGAAAGCAGGTTTCTACAATTTACGTGAAAAATCCTATTCACAATTACCTGGGCTGAATTTTCTCCGACTTTGAGCACCCGTAATTTTGGTAATTCTTTTGAAACTGGCTCAAACTCTTCTATAGATGCATTTGGTGACGGCTCGCGGTAGAGAAGTTTACCCTGCAAAGAAAAATAGTAGATATAAATAGTTACCCAGGAGAGGATTCAATAAAATAAATACGCAAAGATATTTCACATCATAAGCATATTTACAATGTCTCGGCTTTAAATAAGCTTCTTCTCGGCTGCAATTTTAAATCATTTCAAGCCAAAATGCATACTATGGTTATATAAAAGAACGTACATTTAGAAAGTCTTTGATGACGTGCCTGGAGCCCCGTGCACAATCCGGCATACCATGTGCCGTCATGAAGCCACGCATGCCTACAATAGATGTTTCCTGACGTGACAATATATATTACAACGGGAAACACATTTGAATGGATTCATAAAGTTTTTAACAAATACCAACATTTAAGGAAACGTAGAAGAAAAACAGTTTCCAGATTACAAAGGCTGTAATTCCCTAATTTTCTTACTTCTCAATAAAACCAAAAAAGAATAGACCCTGGTATAATATCTAAAATTAATATTTTCCACTGTCAATTCAGCCAAGTGCAAAATAGGGCGGTTGCTTACTCGAATAGGCAGAAAGAAACTCGTCACCAGTCGGAGCTCTGTCAGGATCTTCACCTTCTCCAGGTCGTGAAATATTGACCCCGTAAAGATTCTCCAAAATTTTACGCGGAATCAGTTTGCAGAGCTTCACAAGAATTAAGGAACATCAAGATGAAATGATTAACCCTATATTAACACTAAATACACAACAAAGCAATATTGACATACACATTAGAAAAGAATGGCAATAGTATTAAGCATTAATTTGGTATAAAACCAATTCTGCGTAACGATTAAGAACTAGTTTCTGTTCATAGCTATGACTATTAACTAATTCAGAAAAAGGATACAAGGGTGGACGGCGGGCGGTAATCCCTCATTTGGTCGACAGGCAAAATACCATAAAGAACCATTTCTGCTTTTGTTGACACGAAAGTCGGAAACACAAGGCCTGGGCAGTCACATAAACAAACTTCATCGCTAATGTTGATGGTCTGAAAGGTAACACACATTTATCTTCAAACATCAAAAAGTCACTCTTGTTAATTGAAATAATAAAAAATAGTGTAGAGAGTTGAATTATGACGAAGCCTTAACTGGTCAGAAAATTTCATATTTTCTTTTAATTCTTCTAAAAAAGCTAAAAAAAAGCTAAAGCTAAAAAAGTGTATAGCCTTAACACAAAACATCGTTAACAATTCAGCACTCCTAGATTCAAGAATCTTAAAATTGTTGAGATTTTTTCAAAAAAGTTTATGTTTTCTCTTCTTTATGAAAATTAACTTTACTTGATTCAATTTTGCAAAGTATGTTTCAGAAGCACAACTCCAACATTGATTCGGGGGATGGGGGGCTCGAATTAACAGGGGCAACGTAAAGTAGAAAATTGCATAAATTGCCTTTTGTCTCAAAATCTTCTCTGGGATGGTAGCTTTATAAGAATAGTGAGCAAGATAAAACCAACCTGAAAATGCTTTGTTTTGCCTGGTGTCGCTGAAACTGATGTCTTTTTTGTTCCAAGGAGTGCATTTATCGTTGAGCTTTTCCCTACATTCGGAAAGCCAACCATACCAATCGTTATTTTATCTTTTCCTGGACATTTTGTAATTTTAAGGTCTTCAAAATATTGTATAAGATCAGTCCTAGATAAAACTGAGAAGCCATTCTTTCTATCATTATTTCCCTCTTCTTCCGGCAAATTCTTCTTTTCCTCACATTGACAATGATCCTCTTCTTTGAGCTCCTCTTTACCAATATCCATATCTTCATTGCCAGTAACAACCTCAGCTTGACTAATAAGATCGCTATTCTCGTGTCCTTCTTTCTCAACAATCTTTACATCCTTCATTTCATGCTCACTTTCCACGTGGCTCTCTGTGTCCATTAAATCCTCTTCGCTAGAATCTCTATCTTCATATGGTGTTTTACTGTTCGCAACTTCTTCAGCACTTTCCTTTTCCTGTAAGCAAAGTAAAGCAAATCATTATCAAAAAAGTACAAGCATTTGATGATAGTATAATAAATTGGACCTGTGTAAAAAATCTCAATGAAATGAGGAGGCCATTGAAATTTATGAAGAGCAACCCACATTTTAACATAGCAAAGTGCAGACAAAAAGGAGCTGGCAAATTTCTTTTAGACAGATATGATGGATAAAAATATTTAGAACCATTCTAATTTCCTCTAATTTTAAAGCAAGTCAATCAAATCTATGAACCGCATCGTAGAAAGGGTAAGCGAAAATTATCACAAATTAGAAAAAATTTTCTACCTGCAAGGTTAAGGGACATAACAAAACCTAAAAGCCTTCATAAAGCTTTTAAGAAATGTTTATCGCCTTAGACCTAACAAGAGAATATATCCAGGGTATGTTTAAATACATATGCCATAACCATAACTGATTTATGCGTGTTTGTTGTTGTTCATTCTCGTCGTGTTGCGATGTTACTCATTTACTACTAGGTTTAAATAGTAAACTTTACTTACTGACTGGCTTGCAGCTAGCGCTGACCAGAACAGCACTGTCATGTTTATTGAATCAAAATATTCTGCCCAAAATTGCCTTTATTTGAAAAATATAGAATGTGTTACAATAACCCTAGTAATTATGACATACCATAAATACAAGCAATTTGTGTTGTATAAAATATAGTTATATATACATATATATATAAAAATGGATATAAAATGCATATATACAGCCATATTGACAGTCATATTAATCGGGGCTTATCAAAAATTTAATAATATACAATATCTAACTATTTTCTAATATTAAATAGCCATAAACATATGATTTTAATATCTGACTGTCTATAATATTTGCACTTACAATATACATCATTAAAAAAACTTGGATTGATTCATAGAGCTTAGGCAGTCAGGAATCATTAGATACAGATTAAAGGGAGCTTTTTAAAGAAGTTTGTTACATCCAATTTAAGATCGACATATGATCACTTAATTCAATATCATTAGGTCAAGTGGAATTTCATATTGTGAAATAGTACTTTCAGTATCATAAACGTTAATTCTATGCTGGAGTTAAAATTCATACTCACTTTACAAATAAATGGGAAAACTAAATACTTGGCAAATTGTTATTATTAAAGTCTATCTTACTGCCCAAATTTGAGGCGTAAAAAGAAAATATTGATCTCATACCTTTGCTTTTCTGTAAGAAAATCCGCTTTGTTTATGATGATTATATTATCTTTTTCAGCATCCACCTCTTGCACATACTTTTCCTTAACGTGAAAAACAAAGATATTGATTTTGATAATTGATTATTGTATAAGGTAAAGAAAGAAATCTACTTAGAGAGATAGAGCTTGTGCATTAATTATTACCAAAATCATTTCGTGATTTTAATTATTAACAGACACAATTCATTTCTGTAAAGCAATTTCTTAGGAACAACGAGATAAAGGCTTCAAAAGACAGTCTTAACAGGGTTTCAATTACAAAAAGAATGAGTCCACTACAGATTGATAGCTTACCAGATCATTGCATTTGAACATTAATGGGTTCCTTGCATCCACAATCTGGCACAAAACGTCACTAAAATTATATTGAAATAAAAATTTCATTATACCACTGTGTTTTTAAAGAAGTTGCATCATGCAAAGCAAGAAAAATCTACACATTTAAAGAGAAGAACCATTTGAAAAGGAAGATTCTACTCAATTTGAATAATTTGCTCCCTCTATAAGAAAACTGAAACACCAACCTTCTTTCAATGACTCTCCATAATTGCCTCCACACATCAATATTCTTTTCATATGGCGTAAGAACAAGTTTTTCATCCTTTTCGTCAAGGCTAGAAAGGAAACACTTTAAAGTTATTTTTATTTTAACTAAAAAATATATCACAGTTTCAGAAAATAGGCATGAATGCAATTAATCTTAATTCAGCAAAAATTAATCAATGTACAATTAAAGGAATTGTTTTTGGGACATTGATGAACAAAAAAGAACTAAATATAAAAAATATTGCAAAAGACACATACATGGCAAGTTGTCTTCTCCATTGAAGAAATGATTCTTTTTCAGAATCTTCAAGCTCAGCAGCTGTCATGGATGAATTCCAATCAGGTCTGAAAATGTTGAAAACAACTAGTTAGCGGGAAAAAAATCAAATAAGAAGGCAATATGGCTCAAATATGTTCAATCACTCAATCCTAACAGCCCTAAGTTCAACCTTTCACTTTGAAGAGACAGATGGTCTAGATCTATTGATTAAGAATTAATGAATTTCTAGCTTCTAAAAAAAAGGACACAGAATTAGCAAATTAGCTGGAATCAGGTAAGGATATCATGAGCTTTTTTATGTGATTGTTGTATTGTGAATGTGCAGTAAATGTGGGTATTTGTACTATCTTTTGAAGGTATTATGTACCAATACAAAGTGATAGTCTATATTACAATAATCTTGATACCTAGAGAGAAAAAAGGTACAAATTCTTTTCCAAAGACAGCAACAAAATTCATTCACTTTGCATGAGAATGGAACTTCATTAAAGAACATAATTGTGTGGAATCTTTAGTAACAAAAGGAGTTTCACTATGGTTGGTTGTTATTTTAAGATTTAGGAATTACCAATTTTAAATTTATTGATTCCCCAGACCTGTCAAGTTTCAGTTTTGAAAAAGAGTGAGGATCCAGAATGAATCAAGACTGCCACTCAGGGCAAAGGTTGGGTTTGGGGGCGTGAAAGGATGAAAATCACTTCGCTCTGCAGGTGATATGAAAGCAGCACTCAATAAACATGCTTAACACTATTCTCTCTAGTTTTTATTGAGAAAAAATTTATAGCAGTACATAACTTCCGCCACCACATCATGAAATATATAAACAAGAAAGGTATCAATAATAAATATTGAACTATATCTCTCTGATAAAAATGATACCACTTAAACTTTGCAGATTCGCTGTTATGCCTATCTGGGAAAGGGTGCTTTTGCTAGGATTCAGAATAAAAAATGAAACCAAGCAAAAAGACCAAAGTGTGTGTGTCTCATGCAAAATGTGTGAGTCTTGGTAGGTCTGGATCCCCTCAAAAAAAGTAATCATCTTCCTGCATCAAGCATTAGCATTTGCCAAAAGTTCAGTTCAATGTACAAACTTTTCTATTGTGTAATGTTACTTATTCCAAATTATTAATTGCTGCAAGTGTGCAATCAAAACTATTTGATTTTGATTAGCCAAATAGACTGTTTGTATATAACTATTTAACTTAACAAAAAGAATCTATCAAAATTATAAAGAATTTTAAAGGCTCTAATTAAAAAATTATTTAAACAGTTTTAAAACCTGAAAAACAATTGAAAATAACTAAATTAGAGACACCATGACCATGAAAAAAAATTTCAAAATGCATACTACCTTCTTGGGATATTAAGCAGCTCTTTGTTCATGTCTTGAAAGTTCTTTATTTCTTCTAATTCCTTTTCACTAAGAATACCAGGTACATGACTTGGGGTAACTATGGTTGTATTCAATTTTTCTGAAAAAGCAAAGCTTTGATTAGTCTGAAAAGAGTGCAATTCAGACAATATAACAATGATTTCAATCTTTTTTTGAGCAAATGCTAACAACTAGGAGCCTGGGCCTGAAAATTTTTTAAACATGCTTGCAGCTTCTTTGTTATCTCAAGTAAAGTTTTCCTTTACAAGATAAGGAACACAAATGGGCAATTTTCCATCAGTGATGAAATAATAACGATTCATGCACATTTTTGCCCTGGCTAACTTTGGCACCAAACAATGTCAGTAATATCAAGAAATATTTTCTTCAATGGTCATAAATTTCCAAATATTAGCTTTACCACAACATTCTATCTAAGCTGATTATATGACTGATTCGATGCAGAAACAAACAATCTATCACAAAGATGATATTTTTCAGGTTAAGTAATTGTTTGTGTATAAAACAAATTAGCTATATACATCCAATGATTTACAAATCTCTCAACATAATGTTTGGAGAAAACGATTTTAAAACCATTTGCTACCTGCAGTAAATTCCCTGTTTGCAAGTTCAGCTGTTGTGATGAACTCATTCAGCGCACTCTGTTCTGTGATGGACTGTATGACTGACTTTCCAGGCTCATCATGTAACTCTGTTGTGTGACGCTAACATTGGCATAAAAGAAAAAAATCTTAAAATGCATATCAGGCTTTATTATAAAACATAAAACAAAAAGAGTCAAACTGTTAAAAATAAAAAAAGATTAACGACACTATAAATCACAAAAGCTAGCATAACTTACTCAATCCATCAACAAACCATGGTCAATCCATTGAATAAAAAAAACAAACAATTAAACAATAATATATATTAAACAACTATAAACCACAAAAACTAAGCATTAAACTCAATCAATTCACCAAACTCCAACTTTTAGGATAAAACACACTAATGAATAGTACAATCTACGAAATGCGAAACATATTTAAAAATTAAGTTCGCCAGGTCATTGCGGTAAAGTTTTAACAACCTATCCAGGCAGGCCAGAGCCAGGGGGCTATAGCCCACCCCCCTTTCTGCTGATGTTAAGGTTGTGGCATCAAAGATAATGGTGGCAAACAATTATAATGGTTAATCCATTTATGTAGAGCCTCCCTCCCTCCACTCCAAATATCGCCCCCATGTCCTTGCTATCCTCCCATTACACTGTATCAAAAAAAAATCAAGAAGGCAACAAACATAATACTAGACAAATACAGGCAGGCCACTTGCATAAAGCCTTAGGTGTGCAAGTACCCTATATTCCAAGCCTTTTACATTCAAAATTTCACACAAGCTGTCATTTAAGAGTCTAAAATAATTTGCATACTGCAGGCTTTCTTCAGAAGGCATGCGATCACCCTGCCTTCCAGCGCAAGCCCTGGCACATGCCTACTGCCTTCCAGGAGTGCAAAATATCACACGCCTTCTTTTATTATGAGAGCAAAATTTATAAACTATTGGTTTTGTGGGTTTTTGAGACAAATAAAATGTATATCCTTCCTTGTTACTATTACTTCATGCAACTTAAAAAAGGCCCGATACCTTATCTTGATTGCGAATTAAATGAAATTTTTTGAAATAACCATAGGACTTATCTACCTTATCTACCTAATAACCTTAGGAATTGCAATGTTATGACACCCAGATCTGAGTATAACCAATCTTACGGTATGACCAAAAATGTCTGGCCCCTTGAATTCTGTCTAACTTCATACAAATTCCCTCAGCATAATGAACCCCGTATATAACAAATTCTCATCATTACAAACCTTCATCATAATTTTTCTCAATGTGCAAAATTTTCACAATGAATCAAAATATTGTGGTTCACTTATTCCTGGTGTGTTTTTATCACTGTTTCTCAAGGGAAATCATTATTGTCAATGTCATCGGCAAAACATACATTGGCAAACATGCGCTTTCTATAATGCTGAAAATTGAGATTAAACTTGTACACCTTTTCAAGGCTTCACGGCCTTTCAGGGAACAAATCCAAACAAATAAAGGCTATATTATACATTTTGTCCAAATACTAATGAAAAATTACGTGCAGTGAACAAGATCTTCATTTTTGATCACTAATTGAGCAAATGTAGCAGATCTGCCTATTATACAGTATAAAGTAGCAGATTTGCTGATTATAAAAAGTAGCAGATGATAAAAAGCAGCAGATTTGTGGATTTATTTTGGCAACATTCAATTTGATGGAAAATGGTCCATGATTATTTCTAATGCATATATATTTTATGGATTATCTACATCTGGCCAATGAAGTATATAAAATAGCTGTTCTGCTTGATAACAAAAGGCCCTCAGAGCGTGGGTTTTAATGCAAAAGTGGCCATTACAACCAAATGAACATCAGAGCATCAATGACTCTGCTAAGGATTCATTATTGAAGTTGATGGAAACTGCTTATGCCATGGCAAATTTTTCTGTACTTGCAGTACCATTTTTTGCTGATATATTAAACAAGCTCAGTTTATTTGTTATGTCACATGCCACCAGAGGCCTTGATGTTTTCAGGTGTGCAGTGGCTGGCACATTCAGCACTGCATTGAAAATAATAAATAAAGGCAATTTCAACAAAACAGAAGACAAGTTAGTAGGATGTTTTTAAACAATTTGATGTGTTTAGATCAAAAAAGTAGTAAAGTCAGAGAATGAAAGTTATAAAATTGGTTCATTAACACATATTCAGGAGCTTCTTGTTCAATATTTTTTACCTTGTTATTGTTAAGGAAACAGAACACATTTTGGCTATTATTTGGGGAAGGGCTGCAGCCCCTGCTTCCGTCAGCCTTGGCAAGATGATGTTTTTACCTTTTGGTTAATCATAGCTGTCATTAATGCTTTTTTTACTACTTTTGTTGCTACTCTCTTCAGTTCATTCCTTTTCCTCCATTTTTCAAACAGTGCTGTCTGACACCAGTGTACTATTCTTTTCCTTCTGATTTTCTTTATCCTTTCTCGTTTTAGATATATTTCAAGAGATCAATGATTGTATCACTTTCTTCTCGACTGAATTGTGATGATTTCAAAAAATAACAAATATGGGTTTGTTACATCGTGGACAGAATCCATGAGGCCAGACATTTTTTGTCATACAGGAAAATTAGTTATATCCAGGTTTCATAACATTGGGATTCCGTTGTTGATTATTGCTATGATTATTTCAAAAAATCTTATATAATCCATTAATAAAGGACTTTGCTCTCAAAGTTAAAGAAGGAGTGTGATATTTTGCTCTCCTCAAAAGTAGTAGGTGTGCGGCAGGGAATGCATGTGTGATTGCATGCCTTTCCGAGAAAGCCTGACCTGAATAATGATGTTTTATTGTGTAATGTGTATGCTCTTGGGCAGATTTTTGCTGGAAAATTTTTACCATAAAATAAATGATAGACTGGCTTTGATCATTTCTCCAACTGGCTGGTGGAGGTTCATCAGCAACATATTGCTAAGTTATTGAATAAATGTTAACTACCGAATTCTAATCAAAAATATGATATTAAGTATTTAGACACATAATCTGTATGTAATAAAAACAAGTTGCTCAGGACACTGAGATGGCCAAAAAACCTTTTGAAGCCCAGTGTCATGTTACTTGGTTCATAAACACGATTTATAGATGTTGGAAAATGATTGAAATATATCTTAACGTTAGACTTGTTTTCAAGTTCTTAAATGTAATCATTACTACCAATTTAGTCCAAGCTGAGGATAAACATTCTCGTAGCTGCTCAATTTCAAAATTATTACCGTGCTTCTTCCAGTCAAAACTGGTGCTCTTTTACTTCGAATCAATGACTTCCCCAGATTCTGTGCGTTCTTCTTCCCCATTTTATACAGCGATCAGCTTCACTAAAAATTGCAACTTCTGTACATGTGTTTTAAAACCTTGTCAAACTTGTGAATCTGATCTGGTTCACTCTCGTTTTCAGGTAGAGGCTGTAAAGGCAGGCACAACACAATGAGCAGGCCAGGCATGGGTAAAAACCATGGGGTAAAAAGACCGGAAATAAATTACTACCCTGCGTTATCAAACCTGCCCGGCAATTAAAAGAACAGATATCTTCTGATTTAAAAGTACTATTTAGACGTGATAAATGCTGTCATCTTGTAACTTAACTAAACATAAAGAAAACCCTAAGCGTCTGCATCAAAGTAAGGGTAAAAAAACATAGAATTCAAATTTGTAATCAAAATTTGGGAAAATTTGGATTTAAAATTTGGGAAAAAGAAGGGAAAAGTTTTCAAACAGGTAGGACATAGGTGTTTGACTGCAGGTACAAAGATGATACACGAATTGGTTTCTGGTATTATTTATAAAAAGCTGGTTTATAAGAAAAGTGTACTAGAATTGCTAAAAATTTAAGAAACTTTAGTACTCAATTTTTGAAAAAGAGAGTCTATTGACTCACTTTTATGCCCAAAGCTTTTCTCTTGTTGATTTTTCTTTGGAAAAGATAGCATACATAAGATTTTGTTCTGCATGGGTTTTTACGTGACGATACGCGTTTAAGCTCTTCCAAAATTGCTCAACTTCAAACAAAAGGGCAACTTTGGCTCCCGAAAATACGAAACCAACTGAAAAACTTTTAGTACTAAAACGCAGAAATTTGACGCTTTTAGTACTAAGTGCTCATCCAAGTTTCTTATAAAAAGAATGTATTCGTTAACTGTGAAATTTTGCAAAAATATTCATAACATAACTAAAGCAATTTCGTTAATCAAACACCCCCACATATAAATGAGAAGTACCGCTAACCGTACTCGAATTTAGGCCGAATCCGGGTAAACGCGAAACTAAAACGAACCCATTGCCAACCGTAAGCACATATGCTTAGGGCTCTGAGATTTAGTGCTTAACAAAAAAACCAAATTTTAAATTTACTTGGTGAAAAATGCGAATTTGAATTGCGAGCAAAAGTTTGCCTGACGGAAAGTTTTCTCTCCACAGCCACTCTGTTTTAGAATGAATCGGTCAATCAATCTCGAAACAGAGGCAGGTGATTGGCTAACTGTCTTTTCATGGTGACAACAGTATCTACTATGCTCAAACCTAGCCCTGACGACCCAGGTTGCCGGTAATAAGTTATGAGGTCCTTTGAAGACATGCAAAAACGGTCTGCTGGTTGGAAAGTTGACTTGACAGAGCATGAACTTAGGATCAAATCCAGACCAGCATCAAAATACAAATATCATACTCAGAATTGGCATTGTGGCAAAAATAAACTAGAATTTTTTTTTTTTTTTACTACAATATAGGTAATAAAGGCATCAGAAAACTGTTTTCCACCGTCCGTATCCGCGGTGACGTGATTGAGGCCATGTTGACCAATCTAATGGCAGATTTTTTCTCGAGTTATGAATAAGCCCCATAGAATATCGAGTAAAAGAGAGAAAAGAAGCAAAACTTCTAGGAGGTTTTCATAAATATATAACAACGAAGGTCCTATATAAGTCCATTCAATTTTGTTCCGATTGAAAGCTGTGTCTTTGTCAACGTAGCAAGGTACATCACCATCAGCAGATCCTGGGAACAACAAAATAAACAAATCATATTGACCAATGTCCTACTCAACTGTCGCCTGATGAAAAACATTTGCCGTATATCCTTGAATTGAGCCCCTTGAGGGCTTGTTATTATTCAAAGTTGTTGAAAAGGGGTAAATGCTAAGGGGTATAACATAGGGGACCACCAGACAAATCGTACGATTTCAAAGCATTTTCTACACTAGCTCTTCATAAAATCACTTTATTTGACAATTTACTTATCAGAATTCATGAGATTGGCACGAAGGCTAATTAGAAGATGGCGTCTCATCAAACAGTTTAAGTCCAAGGTAGGGGCTGGTTCATATAATGCCTTTTTCTTTAAAAAGAGTGGCTAAAATAATGTTACCATAGTTAAATAGATTAGTAGGCTACATTTCAAGTATAGCAGCGGATGTCAAACAGAAAATGTGAACGAAATAAGTGATTTGATTGTGATCATCCTTTCGAGTATAAAAGAAAGAAAATGGGCTAGAATTACTGCGTTCACTAGAGGTACGAACCTGCATGTTACAATTCAACATTTTTTCAAGCTGGTCTGGATCCATCTGAGGAACAGACCCTACCACATCCATCAAGGCTCTACCGATGTCGTTGTTAGGTGCTGCTTTGCCATTCTTTAAAAGCAAAAAAATCAAATAAAGATGAAAGTCGCACAGGTATAATTACTATAACTGGTGCATTGAATTAAATTTATCTAAACTTCAATTCTGCCCGAATGTGAGAGGCCCAAAAACACATCTTTTTTAATTCTGTTCATAAGACCATGTGCAAGGTTAATGATCAAAAGAATAACACTTTTATTCAGATCACTCACTGAAAATAAGAGACGTTGCTTTTTGAAAAAAAAAGAATATAAGGCAGTTAGAATGAATAAATCAAACTCTCGATGTAACGAAACACATAAATTAAAAGCAATATTGGCCTAGTAAAACGACTGTGAAGTAAACTAGCGAAAGCAAGCACCTCACAAATACACCTTGTCTTTTCAGGAAGGTTTCAGACTTACAGTGTATTGTCCGATGGAATGGACATCTGGACTATGAAGATGGTCATAAATAGGTCAACAGCTAAATTTATTACGAATTCACAAGTTCCCTTCATAGTCTTAAATAAAACTATACTTTTGTGTTGCCAAATATAGGTTTCTCAATCGATAGAATTGAATTCTAACTTTTGGGGATCATCAAAACATGCTTACAAGCCAAGTTTCTTTGCTTGAAAATTTTGACAACACACAAATTGAGCCTTCGAAGTATATACGAAGCTCTTGAACTTAATTTATATAAAATCAGATCACATTGCTAACATAAGGGATTCGTAAATTTAACTGACAACTACCATAGCAAAGTACAGTCAATCCAGGAGGATTAGCCACAAATAGATCTGATCAAACAACAATTTGACTCACCAGAACATCATTGACATATTCTACTGTTTGCCCAAGTCTTTCAATTAGTTTGTCACAGGACCTGAATGCAGAGTTAAAAGTGATTGGTAATATCGATTGGCAACAGGTGAATACACTGAGTTTACAAAGTGACAATCAAACTAACAAGTCCCATGGAATCATCAGCTTCCTAATGAGTCTTATTTCTTGCAACCAAATAATGGTCAACTAAAAATTAAAGAAATATTCAATCTAGTTCGGCTAGCTGCATGTAGTATAAACTTAATCATTTGGTGCTCCTGTCTCCCTTCATTCTTATTTTCAGAGGGGGGAAATGTGCTTGAAATAGCTTCGCAGGAAGCTCCACTTTCACGAAGGAAGGAAAAGAGGATGGGAAGAAAAAGAAGAAAGAGAGAGAGTAAAGGAGAAAAGAGAAAGGGGTGAAAAAGAAAAGGAAGGGAGAAAAAGGGAGGAACGAAAGAAAAGGTAGAGAGATTATTTGTTCAACTACTCAAGCACGCTTACGGATTTAACTACAACAAGCTGCAGAGGTGCAGTCTCCTTTCACAAATTTAAGGCATTTATTGGATAAAGAAAACACTGGAAAAGACTAATTCAGCCATATGCCCTCTAAAAGTGTTTTTTTATAAATACAGAATTAAATTCTGTGTCATAGATATGAAATGCTAGAGAATTTAAAAATAACATCGTTACAAAGAAGTAATCTTAACTGCTTGCGAAATATGTTTTTCTGTATAACTAATTTTCTTTCAGCTTGGGTTGATATGTTACCATCAATAAGTATACGCAATCTTTACAATCAAGACTAGACTAGACTTGACAGTACAAAAAAAGAAAGAACTTCATCAGTTGATTCTTACTTACCTTGCGATGTGCTGGATATTTGAAAGCAAGGTAAGTGGCTTTTTTGAACCTCCCTTGTTTCTTACAAATGTATCAACTAGAAGGTAAGCACAACTCAGATAAATTTCTACAGCCAACTCAGATAAATTATTCTTTTGAAGCAACACAGACCAGTGAGTAGATAAAAGAAAATAGGACTCAATAAATAAAACACAGACTTCAACTTTTTTAATTCAAATGTGAAAAACATAGACAACCTCATACAGAAAAATTCTGTGAGCACAAAATTATGGACAGTGCCTTTCCAAAATTTTTATTTGCCAAGCCAAGGAGACCACACCTATTTTTCAGAATAAGAGTTAGGTCTACTATCCTTACAAAGCTAGGACATAACACTCAAGACTAGGCAGTGTACATAGAAATAAATAGTCTAGAAAGCCTTTTCACATGAGAGGAAGAAACCAGCTACCATCAAAATCACCACACTCACTTAAAGGCTGGTTTTCGTATATGGTAATTTGTTGGCGATAATCCCTGATGCAGCTCCCCGATTGTCTATGACAGTCTGCGATGGCCTATGAAAACCGGGCCATCGGGAACCATCGGTGATCATCCCCAATCATAGCAAAAGTCAAAATAATTTGATTTTCCGGACGCTTCCGGACAAACAATAGCAAAGAAAACATTAGATCAGGAAAGTTCTGTCAAAAGTGAGGTCATTTTCACTAACTGTAAGATATAAACATACTTGCAACCGCTTCTGGCGTGTGGTAAGTGACTTCACATTTGACCGGAGTGAAAATTGTTCCTATTGTTGCACCAGGTACTCCCATCGGTGAACTGAAAAAATTTAAATCACAAGACGTGTTTACTCCAATACGAAATCCAAAATGGAATATGATCAAATTGAGATATTAAAGTGAGTTATGATCAAACTTCTTCAGTGGATTGTTCATCTGTAAATTCAAAAAATAACTCATTTCACATAACTTTGCATTTTGCAGGATGAAAAATTTGAGAGTTCTTATTTTCCATTTATTAGAATCAGAATGACAAATTAGAGTTACACCGCCTATCTTTTCTTCTACCACTAGATATATAGTAAAAAAGATCCACATTTAAAAACACACAAACGCTTCTAAAATGTTACCATGTGAACCAAAAGTCCATCATTGAAAAATTTATTTATCAAAATAAGTCAAAATAGGGTAAAAACCTTAGGTATGCTTTGATATTCATTTTTCCAGACTTCAAAGTTGTATCTACAGTCAAGTGAATTGGATTTGCAGTGACTCTGGAGTAATACTCATGGATACGCAGTGATTGTTCATTCACATCATCACAGGTAGCAAACCTAGAAAATATTATATAAATCAAAATTATTATAACACCTACAATATTTCAAAACTTTGACATTTAGATTGATATTTACAGGAGAGGGACTTCAAATAGGGATTTTTTAAAAAAATGTATTTGTATTTGAAAAGTTTGTTGGTTTCTTGAAACAACAATTTTTAAAATATCAACAAATAATGTTAAGTGTCCACCTAAGTAAAAAAATGTCAATATCTAAAAAATTTCCATTGCACTAGCATCACCAAGATTTGGTTCAAACAAAGCTCCACCAACATCTAACTCTAAAACTCAGTCTGCCTTCCTGGTAATGAAAAAGGAAGATCTTCTCTTCACCAACAGAGAAGCTTTCCAGTAGCTTCAATGCTATAAACTTGTAAAAGCTCTACTCACAGCAGTTAACTTAAAAAATTATGACATGTCTAAAGCATAAACCATCTAATATTTGTTGAAATTTTCGAAGGCAAAAAAGAAGAAATCTCTGCAAATTTTGACAAAATGCCATTAGGAAATTTTCCTGGGGGTGTACCCTGCCTCTACCCTTTCTCTGAGACAATGGGATACCATGGACTTCTAATAGTAAACCAAAGAATGCAAACTGATCTGTAGTATTGGCATTAGTAACATTGGATAATCATTTTCAATTAACATAACTTGGTCTTTCCCTGTAAAACAAAGATGTCCAACTCTTATGCAAACAGGTTGTTACAACTACATTTCCAAAAATGGGCCATTAGATTGCATGATGTTGTTAAGGCTCATCAAGTCCACAATATTTCAAAACGATGCAAAAAAGTACATCCATAAATTGTTAAATTGTTGATGGAGTAACATTGCAAAGTTCTGTTACAACCAAAACCCTCAAATGCCATAATAATTAACCTGGTAAATTTCAAGACATTCTTAATAGCAAAACATTGAAAAATTAATGTATACCAACCATCCAACAATGTCCTCTGAAGGGCAAGCTCTTTTATGCAAATCAAACATGTTAGCTGCATATTCCATCTCTAGAAAAACCTTCAAATACAAAAATATTTGTGAATTTGAAGTTGTGAAAAATAATGGAACCTTCCATGATCATGGTATTCACTCAACACCAATGGTAAACAAATCAAAATAATAACAAACTCATAAAGAAAGAAAAAAGATGTATAACACAAAAAGGAAGCGTCTCTTACTATAAAATGTTCCCAAATCAAACGACCTGGCTGCTGAGCTTAACATTGTATATTTGTTATATTCTATTTTTAAATAATGACTAGCATCTTTGTTGCATTGTTTGAAAAATTGTGAATTTTTAGCAAAAGGCTAAAATCCAAAAGCATCAGCATATTGGTAAAATTGCTTTGAGGATGAAATATATTTTAGTGTAAAACAAGATTTCACAATTCTATCAGTAGAATTGAGCATTAAATCTATGATGACCTGCAGATGGGGCCTAAATCAGTAACATCCCCCTTTCTTTACCTTCCAGCAATAATCGTATACATCTCTACCATTTGATATGGGATCTCTTGCCAATGTGGAATCCATGTAGCTTAACAGTTTTCAGTTGACTTTCTATTGTTTATTGGCCTAAATCTGAAGTGAGCTTCACATGGATTCCACTCTGGATCGCCTTCATGTGAGGACTAAATGGTATGTTTTGAAGCATAGAATATAATTACGAAGCATTTGTTGGAATCAATGTAAACAGGAACAAGATTTAAAAGCAATACAATACAACTCAAAAATGGCACATTAAAACTTTTCAGGAAGATTGCACATCGCTAAAAATGTAACCTGCTGGTTCTTATTCTTTTCTTTCTTTGATTTCTTTGTTTTTACAGGAAAGACTGTCTTTTGATATTTTTTTGGCCATTAAGAGTGCTCCACATTAATCAGTCAACTTTGAATACAATCAAGTTATGTGAGGTTTTTGGTTACTTTGTTGATGTTGCTGCGTCTTACTTGTAACTAATAAAGTTTTATTTAGGATATAATCCCCTATATAATTTAAAAGATGACATATTTTCTCTCATATGGTCAGAAACAATCTTATCATTTACAAAACGTGGCCTAAAAATGTACATAGACTAAATGATTAATATTGTTCAAAATTCAACAAAAAGGATGGATTTTCCTTTTTTGTACATCAGATAATTTTCGGCAGATCAAGTAAATCAAAGACACGAGGCCGATAAAATCATTAGCATTTTGGTAAACATTACGAACATCCCATTATGAATAAATAACTGCGTCAAAAAAGAGAGGAGAGAAGCAGAGCACGCCGTTTTTACCTCATCTTCAGTCTCTTGATGAGGAACAGCAAAGCAATTCTTTACTTCAACGACACCTTTATCAAGATTCCCAACTAATGTTCCGATCACCCGTTTAGCATCTTCCTTTCTTCTCTCATAACTATCGACAATACCAAACAACGCCACAGGATGTAAAATCACTTTCACCACGTCTGGAGTCGCCATTTTGAAAGAAGGCAAATGGTTCGGCAACCTCGATGTGAAAAGTGATGACGTCACAAGCTATATTTTTTAGGATTTTCAATTTTTACAACAATACCCGAAAAAAGCTCTAAAGTGTGCAACATCGATTAAAAGGGCCATAAATTGGCTTAGATATGGCCACATAAGCACAGGCGCTTTCTCCATCAAATCTCTGTAGCTTGGTCTTGGTTCTAGATTTTATGAATCAAACAAGATAACAGTTAACAGTTAGCAAAACACACGAGGTCTTTCACTGGGCAAAGCTCAAAGGGGCCTATTTTGTGGGTATTAAACAATGTTTTTCAGGTTATCTTGTCTGAAATAAAATGTTCAAAAAAGTTTTGTCACATTTTGGTACTCTTTGGATGTATATTCACAAAGGGATGTATAGTGGCTGCCTGGTATAAAAAATGTTTTGGAGTATTCTTCAAAGATATATAAATTTCGCTGTTTTAATACAACTAAGGTTTCTAAATTTACCCCAAATAACAAGCTCATAAAATCATCTATCCTTTTTGTTACTATTGTTCCTGTAATTTCACGAATTTATAAGTCCCATTTCCTCTACATCATTTTATGCTTTGTAGTAGAATTTGAGGCGTAGCGTGCACGCTTGACTGATGGAAGACATGTTGAATTTTACCAGAGGATTCTGGCTCTTGGGTCACTTTGCCGACCCCTGCATCCTTAGAAAAGTATCAAGGCTTTGTGTGCAAGGAAATGTGCATCTGAAGAATATTTGGACAATATTTCGGTATAATTTCGTTACATCATCGACAATGGAAATAACACAATTGTGTTTCTTTAGACCTGGTCTAACACTCAGTCAAATATGTATGAACCAAAAAATTTATGCACGAGATTTTGGAAAATTCAAAATTAGATTTTCAACGTACGTTTTCAACATATGGTATAAAATCAAACAAGTTGGATAAATCGACTATTTATGTTAAGTTGGTGTTAAAGCATCTTCAACAAAAATGAATAAACGTAACATTTGTGTTGCTTTTAAATGGATAGATATTAATTTTTTGTTCTGACTGACTGAGGTCAAGCAGAATAAATGAAGAAATGGAATGAGCTATATTTGCCATTAGTAAATTTTCCAACAAATATGTATACGGAGATTGCAAAAACAATTCTTACTTTTTTGCTTCAAAACATGCCTAAAAGCCCTTAAAAACAATACCACGAATTAGGAACACCACGAAAGCATTTAAGGCTGCCCAACAGGAATAGAAGATTGCTTGCAAACATTTCAAGATTCTTATTTAGTGTTGTACTTAGTGCAGTGCCGTCGAAACGAAAATCATAACGGGGACTGCCTACTGTATTGCTTCCAATTCAGTCCATTGTTATAAAGGAAATGTACTACAGTTTGACAATTTTTATGGGGCTTCAGTATGGTATACTACTATTGCTTTACCAGCTTTTACCGCAATCATTTGGTAAAACGTGCAAAGCAGTGATGCAAGGTTGCCGGGAAGTAGCCAATTTCTACTTTTTCTATTGTTTTTTCTAAATTTTATGCAAGAACCCCCCCCCCCTTGTTATTTTGATAGCACTATACCCCTGCAATGTAATCTTTGACTAACACGAACATGAAAGTGAAAGCTAAGCTAAACTTTTGACAGCTCTTTCTATTTTCCATCCTCCTGCAAGTTAGTAGTGGCTATAAAACAAAACTCGAACAAGGCTGCTACACCAGGCGATATAACTCTACTGAAACCTTTCTAGCTACCACACTCAGAGCTGTAAATAGATCTACTCTCTACACTTATAAATTTTGCTTTCTTTTTTATCGTTTATAACTTTTGGTTCAGAATCAAATCTTGACGCAAATGCTAAACCATAAGAAAAACATACTACGAAGAGTCTTTCATTGTAAATCTAGGCTAGCCAGTGGCAAGCTACGTATATGACGAAATGGTTTCTAAATGTGGTTTATCTCAACTGAGAAATTTCTATTCAGATATGGTATTAAACAAAAATAAATTTCCGTGTTTTCTAACAAAATAATATGATTTTGTTTCTCAAGAGCAGCTGCTTTAGTACAACCATAGTTTGAGACAAAAATCGAAGCATTATTTTCTTCAGCGTTAATTCTAGAGAATTACAAAAGGTGACTGTAATAATGGCAAAATTATAATGGCAGAGTTAATCTACAATGTTTAAATATAAATATTGAAAGAAGTCGTTTTTGAAGCAAAGAAATATATGAGCTAAGTAATGTTCTCATTTACATGTCAGTTAATTCGATGAGAGCAGCGTCATAGTCACGCTTTATCTTCGCATATAATTCTTTCTCATTCATGACTTCAGCTAAAATAAAAAAAACATATCAGTTCATATGAACAAAAATGTGCAGTTACAATATGAACCTATGCAAGAGATTCAGAACTTTCCCATCCTTTTGCATCCCGGAACGTAATCGTCTTTTGAGGGCTGACAGTTGAATCACCACTTTATACCGAGTGTAGTCGATATGCATATGTGTAAGAAATTGCAATCGATGCTGTTTTAAAGTTAGAAACTGTTACCATGTTCGTCGACCATTCCCTCTGTTAGCCAAAGTAAAACTTTTAACATTCTTAAATTCTATTTGAGCAATAGCAGCAAATTCTTATCTAAGGAGATTTTCAATTGCCTAGAGATTGCACTCAGATATTAACTAACGGCTCTATCTCCTTCCAAAGGAAAATTGTTTTGTATCCATGGTTATTATCTGCGGTAGCACCCCAGTTCACGAAGCCTCCGTTAGGCAAAGTACTCCTCCGTAAAAAGGGCAGAAACTCTGGTCCCAATTGAGGGCTCAAAGGCTGTTCGTCTTAACAACTGTGAAATCTGGATGCAATCTCTGAGCGTTCATGTTTAACAAATTTATTGCATTGCAAATTATTAACTGTTAATGAAGGATAGAAGCTTTGGATGACACGAGTAGCTTAGATAGGAAAACTACAAACCTGTTTAATTTCAGGCACTAGAGTTTAAGTTTCAACTGGAAAATGTTAATACAAACCTTGATGCGGTGTAATCAGGTCTTTACAGATGTTTATGGCGTTGTTAAACATCGTTTAGGCGAGTGAAAACAGCGTAACGTGAGATCAAACCATCAACTAACATCTAGTTAATGAACTAAAAAACATCTAGATATTTAAAACAAAGCTGTATAACATGGCAAGCAACAGGCACCGCGCAGCCATTGGGCTGGAAAAATCTATAGCCCCGCTCTCCAACTTTTTTGCAATAATATGTTATAAAATTTCTTGAAAGTTTACTCTTACATGCCTTCAGAAAGTTTTCTCTGATGGATCTTCTTGAGTGGGAACCCTTATTGTTCATTTTGACGAAGTAGCAAGTCTTCTTGCCTGGCAATCTTTCTTGTTCATTTTCTTGGTGTTTTATCTTGTTTGATGATATGTTCCCTAACTTGGTAAGCTTTCTGTTTAATTTTCTTCAAGCTAATTATTTCTATTATTATAGCAATTGATATCTTCTCTGAATCAGACTGCTTATAAATGAAAGGTGCTCACGCTCAATCCCCCCTCCTCCCCCTCCCTTAACTTTCAGACTGGCGCGCGGTGCCTGGCAAGCAAGTGCTTATAAATGACAGTGGCGGAAACTGGGCTTTTTCAGCGGCGGGACAAGCGCAATGAATTTTTCTAGTTTCTTGTTCCTTTTCCAGCAGCCATTCCTCTTCTATTTGCTATACCAAAATGTCAATTTTCGAAGTAAATTTGCTGAGACATTTGGAATTAGGGGAGGGGTGGTATTTGTCAGTTACGTATAAGTTCCGCCACTGCTCGACCATAACACATAATTCATGTTATTGTCCTTTCTAAATAATCTTTCTGAATAAAACTAATTTTGTCGACTATTGTTATCGTTAACAGCAAATTGGATTAATTGTTATTAAGTTGTTGATACTTTCTAACTTTCACTTTTTATTGGCCTTTATCGCGAGTTTTGACCGTATGACAACTTGGATTTTTAACCTCGCTCAAGCTGCCTAAACCTCGTCTCCCTGCATTTGCCTTTATTTCCATTCATTTCAGCAATGGTAGAAATTCTATTTCGAAATGCAAAAAATTGGTGATTCTCTTAGCAGTTACAAAGAAAACGCACTAGTTCGTAAGATTTTATGCATGATAACATTTATTTCAATTCAAACCATTCTATGGCCATACGTATATTAAAGTCTGTCGTTTCAGTTTTTCCCTGAGGCTCATTTCAATGTGATACAAATCTTCAAACTTAATCTTCGATGCAAATAATCGACATTGACACTCTCTCCTTTCCAAGACTTGTAAATTCAAATTTGCCTTGAGGGGAAACTCACAAACAATTCCAAAAAAATGTACCAAAAACATCGCCTTTAGGTCAAATAAAAAATATTTACTTTGCCAAACATTAAACAGCTGGTATCTAAGTAAATCGACATTAAATAAAACCCTTTGATTTGAAACTTCTTCGTTTCTTTTTGCAACCATCCGCTGATTCTCATAATGAACTTATGAATCGGGCAAGTGGGAAATTAATTAAAGTTACTCTTTTAGTTGATTTGAAGAAACAGGGTTTAGTTCGAACGGTATTTGAGATCAGTGTTTTGTTATTCTGTTAAGCGTCCTATGTGAATCCGCGTGATTAACTCCAATGAGTTAGCTCAAATTTCATATTCTTGAAACCAGCAAACTGTTATGATTATTGTGAATTGGTCAAGAACACTTTAAGAGAGAATAACGACTAAAACTATTTAGAATTAGCTCTTATTGGAAATTTGATAGTCTCCCGCGAATGTTGAGAAGATTTAACTACACTAGTTAAATGATTTGAACAGTATCAATAACTAACTAGTTAATAAAAAGTTGAAGGTAATATCACGTGTGTTCAACATTGCATTTATTCACGACTCTTTCCATGTTTTAACGATTTTACATTTCAACAAGCTCCATCAGGACTGATTGATAGTCACGATGGGCCGTATCGTATGCTTCTTTCTGCTGCAGTAAGTCATCTAAAAAGCAACACAGAACATATATACTACCACAATTACTACCACGATCACGCAGTTCAACCTGTGGTTCAATCTTGTACCATTGGCTAGTACAGTGACCAGTCATGAAACATAGCGGATCGTTATCTGACTGAAAGGGGAGGCAATCAGGGATGGATTTATCAAAAAATGTTGGGGTGCAACAACCCCCCCCCCAATATTTTTGTGTTCTTTGGGAAATGTTGCGTCGATTCGGTAAACAACAATTTAATTCATCAGTAACAGAATGATGCAGCAAAATTTGCTCTATTTATCTTATTATCTTCTTTATTTGTAAAAAGTCGAGTGCTTTGAATTCTTTAACGCTTCGACGATTTTTAAAGCCAAAAAGTGGTGGATAGCAGCACATTGAAATGCCACACCCTTTTAAGGCGCAAAGCCCAGGAAGGAATTCCAAGTTATTCCAGACTGTCAAGAACGCACATATTACATGATTTCTGGGCTCTGTCAATCTGAAACAAGACTAAAATTTGTCGTCCCGCGAACTCTGCAGCTATCGTCCTATAGACCATTCGCTCGTGATGGAGCCATCTTTCTAACGTACCAACATTTGCTAAGCAGTGTAGACATCATTCCCACTACTTCAAACGAGGTCGAAAGCGATGACGGTTTAGGTAGGACCATTTGAATGTCTCGATAGGATGGCTGTTAGTTCTTAGCACTCTATGCAAGCTAGTCTTTCAAAGGAAACCTCTACATGAAGTCTACCTGTTGTTGTGATGTGTGATCAAGGTTCAACTATCTCAACCGTGAATTTTTTGTAACTGTGCCTTGTTTTATAGATAGTATCTTTCATAAAGCAATAGCGGTGTATACAGCACCTATTTCGGGTTTCAAAAAGCTATTGATATCAATCACCGCCTTTTGTATCGAGATAATAAACATGTAAAACAGACAAGAATTCATAAATTCTCTCAATATGTATGGCCCAACAAAAATATCTTCAAAGTGCAGTTATGATTTGATCACCACAGCAAAGAAAATGTGCATAACCATCAAAAGGTAAAATTGCCTCAGTTATACGTAGAACTTAAAGATGCGCTGCACACAGAAAGCTACGATGGTTGATGTAGGCCTTATTAAGAAAATAAGAGTTCCTTTAACACCTGTCCTATGTTTTCAGTGTCTATGCTTAGAAAACCTTGCAGCTTTGAGTGCCCGGAAAGAAATCTTTACTAATCAAAAACCTGTGTTTCTGGGCTGTGCACTTTACAGAATGACAAATCACATTATCTACTTAGTAACTGTGAATGAAGTACGGTGAAGCAACTTTGTGGTTAGGGTGGCGAACTATAGATCCAAGGGTCTGAGGTTCGAGTCTCTGACATGACCAAACTTCCACCAAGAGCCAGTGCAGTCGCCAGCTTACTGCAATTCCAGGCGTAGAAATCACAAGATGTGGTCACATTGAGAGGGAGGAACAGGACACTGCACGACAAGCATAGCTTCTTAGTGTCCTTAAAAACCTACCTTTGGAAGCTAGACGGTAACGGATACAAAAAAGTAAATTATTCCAAAGAATTTTAGCTCAATTTTACAAACGGCGATTAAAGAAAAAGTAGCACTTCAACTGGCAAATTTGTAGATACATAATGTCAATTGTTTGCCACAAAATGTAGCTGTGCCCATATTGTCTCAGCCTGTATCAGCAGACAACTTTAAACACACTTTAAGCATTAGCATGTCGTTTATTGCTTTAATTAAGCACACAACAGGCCATTACTTTTATTAAAGAGCACACTCGAAAGAACCACGCAATTAAATGAAACACACAAGTAAATCACAATTAAAGTTATTGTTCAAAAGACTTAATAATTAAAATTGAAAAAGTTAAAACTCTTGACTCCTTAATATGACGACAACACTTCTGAAATTCGCACGAAAGTGTTAAAAGTTTGTTTAGCTTATGTATGGGTTGGAAACATTCAAAAGAGCAACAAAAGGTTAAGGCAAATGTACCAGCTGATTATTTACAAGTCTGTGACAAATTTCGAAGAATTTAAAGTAGCCTGAATGTTTAGCCTTACAAAAATAGCGCCTTTTACGAGTTGAGTTTATCTATTTTCGTTACGTGCAGTCATCTAACAATTGTCGAAGGTTGCTACATTTCAGCAAGTTCGGCTATCACTGATTCATAATCTTGTTTAACCTTGTCATATGCTTCCTTTTCATTTTGTACTTCATCTGTAGATAACATTTCAAAAAAACATTAGCTTGAAAATCAACATAAGAAAATGAATCTGAGTTGAATGTTGCTTTTTTGACACTGTTGGTAATATCATAAATGAAAAACCGTATATGTTATGGTGTGTAGACCAGTACACTTCTGAGTTGCAATGTATATGTGGAAGGATGTGGTTATTTCTTTAAAGATAGAACCAATTCAAGAAGATTTACAGGCAAATCTTTAAAGGAGGGTATCACACAAGTTGAGCATTATTCACACAAAAGTGATAAGAAAAACACACAGTTTAACTTATTAGATGAACACACCTTCAACAAAAGCCATTTATATTTATGTTCATAGAATCACAATTGTGGTTACCCGACACTTTAATGAATTTAGCACTTTAAAAGTTGTTTAAAATCCAATAAAAAATTAACTTTCTTACCTTCAAGTTGGTTCAATTGATCCTCAAGCTCTCTTACACGTGCCTCTGCTACTTCAGCTTGTGCATCAGTCTAAAATAAAGTTTCTTGTATCTAGACACAGTGATTTTGAGAGTAGGGCATACTGACACAAAGGCCAAATAAAGGTTTTGCTTTTGGCAAAAATGTCAGATAAACAAAAGCAGACATAATCTACATATTTACTTACTGCAAAACAAAAAATAAACTTACATCTTGGAACTTGTCGCTTAGCTCATTCAGTTTAGCCTGGTAAGTGTCTTCTCTCTCAGATGCTTTGCCCTCACTAATCTCCAAGCTCCTCAAATTGTTGCCAACTAGCATGGCCTCCGCTTCAAGTTCCTTCACCCTCCTATAATAATTGATAAATACAACTTGGACATCTTAATGTACTCAAACTGTTGAATGTACATTTAAATAAGAAAATTGTTAATAAGAAGCAAGTAACTGAGTTTGTGAATACAGGGAATCACACCGATGCTAGCACTGTCTATTAAACAGGGATTAAAAAGGCTACAGCCACAGCTTAAGTAGAAAGTTACAGCCAGGACTCAAGTGGCATAAAAGCAAAAAACAAGATAATGCAAAAATACTGCTTTCTGTGTTATGGTTCTTTACTCCTTTATAATAGTTCTGGGTCCTGTCTTCATAGCAACTAGCACAGCCAAAGACTCACCCTATTAAGTTATAAACTTATAAATATGTCAACAAAAATGAACTATAGAAAAGAAACAAGGTATATACATGAAAAAAGAATATGAAATTACCCTTCATATTCTTCACTTTTGCTTTCGGCCTCATCAAGAGTTTCTTCTAGCTTCCTAATTTCATTGCAAGTCTGGAATAAAAAGAAGTGTAAAGATGAATATTTTAAATCTTTGAGAACCACAAGCAAGAAAGTAGAAACGAAGATGCAATTTTAGATCTGTACCACTGCAAATAAATTTGAAGCAAACTAAATTTGTTGCATGATTCGAAGTTCTCACCTCTTCATACTCTAACTCTACTGCTTCATTCTTTGCAGTTAGTTCAGCTAGTTCTGTATCCAGTCTGGTGAGCTATTAAAATCAAATTGTACCAAAGTATAGAAAACAGATTTTCAATGCAAATATGTCAAGTAGGGTTGGTGAAACTTTTTGATGAATGGATGAAACCAAAACACACCCAATATTATGCAGAAAATGTAAAACTGAAAAAAATCATCATATAAAAATTGGCTTTTGTGATAATTTGTTTTGCTTTTTGTTTACATATTACAAACAAGAATGGAATATATTGCAATTAAAATAAGTGAATACCTCTATAAAAGTTTTAAAAGAATACAAAAAGGAAGAAAAGTATTTAAAATGTTTCATCAAAACTTGTGATAATGCTTGCATTCTATGACCAGATAAGAACACTCTATATCCAATGTTGTGGGTGCAACAGGTATTGTGGCACAAAGATCCCCATCTGTGATCTACACTGGGCCTTGAAAATTTTCAGTGTCATAAAAAGTTGCTAGCAGCTGCTACTTTTTGTCAGAGGATCTGAGAAGCACTAACAAAGGGAGTTGAGACAATAAGCCTCACACCTAATTTTTCTTAGCCTTACACCTAGGTATTGTTAAACAAGCCTGGCAAACAAGCCTGGTAAACAGCACTGTCATTAATTAACAGAATGTGGCCTCATTGGGTCTGTCCACTAAATCCCACTTTGCAGTATTTACTGTAGCTGGTGGCACCACTGACAAGGGATGCCAGAACAACCATATGGGGCAAGGAGGCAAGCTTCAGTAAAAGAGGATTTGGAAATCGATTCCCCACTTCTACTAATTCTTTCACAGCTATTATTTTATTTTGATCTTCTGTCAGCATCTTAAAAATTGGCTAACTTCTGGCAAAGAAATTTTTTACAATTTTTGAGAAATTTTGTCATGAATAAGGCCATAGAGTTTGAATTTCATATGAATCTCTTTTATGTTTGCAATAGGCCATGTCCACTTTTATGAAAAGGGCACTTTGGTCCCCTTGTCCCACCTATCAAAAGACAAAAGGGGTGGGCAAGAGATACAAGCAGTTACGCAAAAACTTTTAACCAGTTACTAATTTACTACTGCATGATCAAACTTTGTTAACAAAATTAATTGTTACCCTTTCATCATCACTGAGCCCTCTGTTTTCCAACACTTTCCTTGCCCTGCAAAATGAAAATAGGTGTTAAGTCCTGATGGAAGAATATAGAGCAAATATATATAATTGTTGAATATCTAATACAGATTGTTATATCATTTTGACTGTTTCATTTAATAATAGTTCTGGGTCAGAATGCTTCCAGATACTCAATGATGTTTGTGATTTAATATTTTCTATATTTACATAGGGCAGGCAAGTTGAGAAAAACTTTTAGAACTATAAGCAACAAAGAAATACTCTTGAAAAAGTCCTCCTCTGTTAATTTTCCGAGTACTGGCCTTTAGCAAATTTTAAAAACAGCCAATACCCCCTTGTTTATGGAATGATGATTAAGCATGTGCTTACAAAAGCTAACCAATTGACCAGTTACCCCAACATTTGCTCATTTCTAAACAGAGCCTGTTTCAAACTAAACATCTCATTTCAAAAATGACACATTGGCTCTGTTTTTTTGGGTATTAAGGATCAGTTTAGTATGTCTAGCAACACTTCAAGTCACCTATTATTCAGAACTGACAAAGGCTGACAAGCACATTATGGGCATTTTCTATAAACTCTAATTGACTCTGATTCTACTAGCTCTACCAAGGGTGAAGGGTCTGACAATAAGAAGACCAACTTATACAAGTGAACTTTAATTCCCTTTCAATACACTGATGGCAATACCTTATAGGGAAAATAATTTGTAAGGAAAGAAGGAAAGTAGTTTTACAATTACTCTGGCTTGATGGTTTCAATTTGTTTGGCTCATCAGCTAGGAATAAATTTACTCAGTTACTCAAATGTGACTGTGTTCCAAAGTAGCATATACAGCAGTTGACTGAGTAGGCTGAAACTACTTTACCTCTCACTTTCATCTGCTTGTTTCTCTGCTTCACTTAATTTCTGTAATGTTGCTGACAGCTTTGATTCTGTTGCATCAAGCTCCTCTTCCAGTTTTTCCATTTCTTGAATAAGTCTTGATACATCCTCTTCAGCCTGTCAATGTGTAAAATGAATCATGTAATAACCGGACAAAACAACAAATTGTAATCTAACGGCAAACAACTTGTCAGATTGAACTGTTTACTAATGTTTTTGTATTTCAGAGACTGGCTTGTCTCAGTAAAGGAAGTGACAGCTGTTTCGGTTTGGGCCACAAATAATAGGAACACCCTAAAGCTATGGCGAAAATCTGCGTATTTCCTGTTATCGTACAGAGGTTTAGAACTGAAAAATAATTTTCAAGAATTTAATTTCTTTGGCATTTACGGTAATTTTACGCACAGATGATACGTTTTGTCAAGATTGTTCTGCACCGTTATTATTATACCCGGCGACAACAGAGTTAACGAATCATGCAAGACGTCCGTTGTTTTCTTCTTAACAGCCAGCATTTGAAATAATTCTTTCTGATAAAGATACCTTCCTTCCAAATGAAAAAAAATATTCTATCAGTAACATCGTCAGATGAAACTAATTGCAATAAGTCATACCCTGCAATAACTGTTGTTATGAAACACAGAAGGATCAACACAAAGTCATACGATAATGTTAACAAATTTTATATATGAAAAACTTCATATTAAAGATTTATATACAACAAAGAAAGAGAATGACCCCAAATCATTATTTAAAACAATTTAATTCTTGTTAAGGAGCGAGATGGTTCGCAACGAGCGAACAGATACAACGGATTGACTGAAGACCGGACATGGCCTAAGTCAACTTACGGCTGTGGCCTTGGCGTTTGTTTCTGCGAGCTCATCTTCAGCCTTTTTCGCTCTTGCTTCAGCTTCCTCCTGGGTCCTCTTTAGCTGGGCCATCTTCTTCTTAATTTGCTCCATGGTGCCTGGTTGTGTTGCAGAGAAACTCAGATGCAAAATACACAACAGCTCGTTCACGGTTCTGCCAAGGAGTGAAGTCAACACCTTCTGCGAAATCAGACACTCCTCTAATCATTAAGACGATCACTTCCATATTTGGAGTGGGCAAAACAAAAGATCGAATAGGAGGACAAAGGATGAAAGGAGGTGATCAAACAAACGGATTAGGCCAAATGAAGATTCTTGCCTTTGCATACAAAATATCTCAATTATTTGAAAAGACAACTGGAGGTCACCGCCTATCAAACTAGTAACCACATTCCACCACACCATAAATTCCTCACACATTTCTTTTGGAAGTAAACTTGCTTTCAAAGTTGCCCTTTCGAAGGAACCTTTGAGAATGAATAAAAGACTTTTGAAGTCAACATACATGTATCGTGCTTTAGCGCTAAAGTTTGATCGAATCGACGACGTGAAGTAATAAACAAACAAATTTTGTTTGGCTTCTTACAATCGCCATGATAATAGATAACTTACCCTGGGATTTTCTAAACATTTGTAGCCTATTATTTTGTAGCATTATTTCAGATTATTAAATGATTTAGTGCAACATTTTATTTCTGTGTGCATTTTTCAACGACAGAACTCTTGTCCAAATATAACGAAATGAGGCAAAAATGTGGTTTTGTGAATATACCCATCTATAGATACAATTACTGCAAATTAACTTCATATGGAATTAATACGGACAGGTTTATAGGTGGCTAAATTATGATGAAAAATCAATAATTCTCTATTTTCAAATCAAAATATAAAAAATATTTCAGAAACGTTTCTAAAGATAACAAGGTATTTAATGCACCGCGCCTAGTTGTCGGCGATCTTCCTATATCATTTATCTTAAACACACAGAATCTTGTTTGGATTTTTTGTCGTTGGGAAATTATGCCTTTGTGATCCTTTAAAATAGCTACTGCTAATAACAATTCGATGTTCAATTTGTCCTGGTACCTACATGAAAAAACTTGTCATGTGTTATAAGGAAAAATATACTAATGGCAAACAGCACTGCTTAACAGATCATTCGATGTTTTCTTCAAAACATTACTTTTGAAAAATGTTGATAATCTCTTTGCTTGAAATTTAGAATCTACGGGATCAGAAGTGTGCTAAACTTTAATAATTTATTAAAGTACCCATAAATATGGAAGAAGTTCCCAAAAGAAGAGTTTTTTGGTACTTAGATTAGAAACATTCCAAGAATTAAGATCCAGAAAGATTCAAAATTTCTCGATTATAAAGAAACTCTGTAATAGATGTCACTACAGTAAGCCCTCTACAACTTTTTGAGCGAAGTTCTCGTAACATTTGAATGTATTTTCGTTTTCTAGGCAACCCTTTCTTCCTTTGGACGAAGTTTAAGTAAAACTGAATCTTCATATTTCAGCTTACCTTATTGAATTGTTCAATAGCGTCGTTTTTTACAAAAAGCAAACATTTTGAAACACGTACCGCGAAAATATATTATAAAGTAGAGTTGTTATTGCCAAGGGCATTTCTGGACAGGGGTGGACTTTATGACACCGTTTTTTTACTTCTTAGAAAACGTTATTCTCGCATCAAAAGGCTCACAATTGCACCTCTCTCACTGTAAGATGTCCTGTAAATGCACCCACTCTAAATTCCACCAGCTTAACGCCATGACAAGCGTCTGACTGATGCTGAACTGGTGAATCGTCATCTGGCCTAACCACCAGGGCTCATTAATAATATTTTGTGCCTGCGAGCGCATAGCTGAGTAAAAATGTGCCTGCAAGTAAAATAGGGTGCAATTTATGACTATAAATTGCACCCTGTAAACTGAGAACCTCCCTGTTACGCTCACGTTTGTTAAAAAGCACATACTTTGTCAATACCATCATGAACTACATGTAAAACTGAACATTTGACATAGTAAATGCTACCAGTTTTTATCTACGGGTTGTTTTGGGTTGTCAAGTAGCCCTATCATTGTTATCGATTTCATCAAATAAAGACATCTTCAATAAAAACGTTTTTCGATATCTTAAAAGCTTCAATTTAAATGGAGCAGTTTTGTTTACAACATCTTCTTTCAAGGTTTGTAAATTTTAAGATTTTGCTTTCGCTTTCTTGGCAAGGGTTGCAAGAAATTCGACACTGGGCTTTTCTCATTTCAAAGATATGAAAAATAGCCATCAAAGGTTCTATTCCCAATTACTTTCATTGAAGTATCTTATTATAAATTATAAAAAGATCCTTATAAGGATTCTATCATGCTTGTAGGATTTGATACTTTTAAAATGAAAATGCTGTCACTTAAAAAATTGAAGGAATAGAGGCTTGGTTATGTTTTCACTAATTGTCAAAATTTTTTGTTTTTGATGGATTATTTGGTGGTGTATCATGAAATGTTGGTCAATTACGTCAAAAATCGATGGCTACCAGGTTCAAAAGCTTGAAGACTTTAACTTTAGGGAGTGTGCTTTCTTCAGCCTACTATGCACGAATGAGTTTTACAAGTCATAACATAATACTCTGAGAAAAAAGCGATACAATAAAATCGAGTGATCTCTTCCACCAAGAGATAATAGAGGAAAAAAACAAACAGCGAATTCGATTTTGAGAATCAAATGGCGTCTTTAGAATAAGGACCCTCTGTCATTTTGGTAATAAAGACTTGCAACTACTACCTTTTATATTCTATTTGAACGTTCAATTTCAATGTCATAAAAGATGTTTAAAGAAAGCATGACAGTAGTACAATAAAGATAAATAAAAATCGATTCAGAAATGTGCCTGCAGAAATTCCTGAGAATTAACTTTGTGCCTGCGAGAGCAGCTAGGTCTGCTAACCTCTTAGGAGACATGGCAGAGTCAATAGCTTTTGATTATTGTGGGCTTCTAGAATGCTGTTGTTCATTAACGTCAGTATAAAGGAATATCCAATCTAGAAGGATGATTCTAAACCTCTCAGGTTGAACGTCAATATGCGCAGTAAAAACAAAGAGCTAACTCCACCATTAGTTTTGCAATGTTGTTGAACACTTACTAGTTATTTCACAAAAAGAAGTGCCAAGGAAAGCTGTAATGGGGTGCCCTGTTGAGCCGACCGTTTACCTAAGAGTAAAGTTTAACTAACTTGAAATAAAAGAGCGTCTTCAAGTGTGATTATCATCGATAAGACGGTGAAATCTCAACATCCATGCAACGCTGGTCAGATTTACATTCCATGTTGGTTTTAAAATTGCTGAATAGATACAAGATTGGGAGCTTCATCTTCTACTCCTTATGTTTTTGATTAGAAAATACAGAGCTACATGTAGTAATAAATTATGCTCAAACAAAAGATCTCGTCGATATGGATTCTGGAAATTATGACTTGAGATGAAATATTCTAGGAACACAAACCAAGGATTAACAGACATCTTTATACACAAAAGTAATTAAGACAAGTGGTGTGGCTACAGGAAATAGCAACAAAACAATCTTACAGTACCCAGAGTATGATTGCTACTTCAATTATGCCTGTTTCTTTATACTCCTCTGAATCATAAATTGAAAACACTATCAACATTACTTAATTCCACCAGTCTATTTCTTAGGCCAAAACCACTATTTACTGTAAGGTATAATAACACTAAAAGAAAACGATAGAAGTTACATACTTTATAAGCTCCAATGAATTAAATTGTTGCAGGATAAACCAAGCAAGGCCCATCGAATAAAAATGTCAACAGAACCTCGATAGAAAACGGCATAAAGAAACTTTGAAAGCAATAGCTACTTGGAAATATTTGCCTGCTGTTACAATTTTTGTCCATTTGATGATCTTCATTCTTACAAGAAATCAATCCTAGCGATTATAAAATTCTTCAAATCTGAGTTATCGGCAAGAGCACCATTCTATGCCAAGCTGCCATGAAAAGCAAAACTTGGCAAAAATCATTTGCTTTAGACAAAAACGGAATCACTTTCATTATTAAAAAATACGCCCCATTGCCTATCCTAAGCTTTAATTACGACAAAATTGGAAATATGGCAAAACATTTCCACTCAAGAAACAATTACATAACTGTACTAAGAGTTTAACATTTTCAAATACGTCAGATTTCGCATGAACAAGAACGGGTACATTAATTGTAAATATTAAGCCCCTGCTTCTTTTGAAAAACTCTCAACATTTATACTTGATATTCTGATTTGTTAATTAAATGCTTTAATGAAACCCAGACATTTCCATGAATAAAATCCATTAAATTCTGAACTTTTCTCAAGTGATTTGCAACAATGTAGGCTTCCACTTCTCGACGCTGATTTTGAAACCCCAGTTTGCTTCGCTCTCGGCAAAAAGATGTTTACCAGAATGAGACCACAGGCCTTTGAAAGATCTGGTAAAAGTTACATCATGCCTTGATAAGAATCCATTTGAGCTGTTGCTGCAAAGCACTATGAAGATAAGGCAACATTCACTTTTTCCTACGACTTGTGGTTTTCTTCTTTTTCCTCTTGAAGAAACAACAGCACCTGAAGGCAATAACGCCATGACTTAATTAATCGTTTTGAAAACAAACGCCTAATTCAAGTTACAATCAACATCAATATGGTACCATTCGCTAACACACAAACAAGCATGTCTTGAAGTTACACACGTCTTGTTCTTTGAAGCCTAAATTTTAATCCCTGAAACATAAGACCTCGTTTTTTTTTCAAGTGCAACAATTGCATCATTCACAGCGCCTACGTGTAAAGAACTGTAGCTTTGAAAGGGACAGAAAAAATAGATATTTTAAAAAGAGCTTTCCATATAAAGGAAGAAATGGGTTTGAAAGGACATGAATAACATACTTGGTCTCATCAACCATTTCAACTTCAGGTTGTGAATTCAAGGGTACTCCTGTCCTTCTGTCAACGAGATTAGCATCGTCTGCAGAGGGTCCGAGTTCACCGTTTGTCGAGCTGACAACTTGGACAGAGCCAGCCAAGCCTGGTCGAATATAGCGACTGTCGTAGGTAGGTCTTGAGCTTTGCCAGGCATCACCAGTACTCTGTTAAAAAAAGACGCATAAAAGCTTGAATCAAAAAGAAAATGAGCCAAAACAGCAATGTATCTTGTGTCTCAGGACACATTGCTTTGTATTAAAACTCTACACACAGCTCACCCTTGTAATATTCAAATACCTTGGCATCAGGTCCTCTTTATTCTATCTTCAATACTTGCTACTTGATTTTAAATAAACTGATTAACAGTATACACGTTGAAACAAACTCAATCATTTGGCAACACGGGATTAAACTTCCGACATAATCAATAGACTTAGATTCTAATTCGTCACCAGTAATTAGGTTATACAAACTATGAATACTGCCTTTTATTTGTTGAAGAAGGCCGAGGGGAGAGTCCAGGGTTTTTATTAACTTTTTGAGTAGAAGGCCCATATTTAAAAGTAGGCGTCTATAAGTTTACTAAAGTTTATGCAGTCTTACTGAAGTAAGGGTGAAAGTAGGCGAGGAAGGTTTGGTGAGTAAGCGGCGGACTTTCGCCGGTTGCCGGCTTCTAATGAAATCCCGAAGGTCAGTTTGGAAAATATGACAATAATAAACTTTTAATAATCGCATTTCGATCAGACAGTTCTGCAAATAAATACCAACATGATATATAAGAAGCAGTTAATTCATCATGTACTGTTTGGTAAGGAGTGAAAGTTAATAACTTAAAGGGAGAATAAAGGTACCTTGGATGAAGGATGGGGGGCTGCTGGCCTGTTTGATGCAACTTCGGTCGTTGTGGTTACAGAGCTAACCGGCTGAGGCTGTGAAAATCAAATCATTGCAATGCAATTACAATTTGTTATATAAATACATGATTTATTCAGAAATGCTTAGAAAACATGTCAAATGATAATATGGCTTTGAAAAATTGAATAGCTTAGTAAAACTCATTAAGCAACACAAAAGTGACCAATTGTTAACAAATTCTAATTTTAAAATTGTCATTTAAATGTAACAAATGAAAGGGAACTGAAATATCGTCAAATTATGGTCTATTGTTTTTTATGAATTGCTGCTTGTGTGTTTATAATCTTCTAACTCTTACATTTAAAGCTTCTAGCAACCATGAAATGCAAATGCACTCGACATTTCTTATGAACGGCCCTCATGATGGCTGAAATCTTAATACTTGCAGCTAAAATGTACGTACGATCGACTTATGACTCCAATCAAACTCTGTGTCATCGTAATATCCCTTCTTCTCATACAAATTTCGGAACAAATTATACAAATAATCATAATCGGGGGTTTCGAAGAAATCCAGTCTTCTACGTAGCGAAGGTAAGTAGCCCATTCCTCTGCAAAAAACAATTGCCATTAGAAAGAGATTAGAATTTCAAAATCCACAGTTTATTTTTTAAGGGACTTCTACAGGGGAACGAGAAGCACTTGACCGCTGCCGGAGCACAATGCTCGCACTCCTGGTCCCCCTATCTGTTTTTTGTGCAGCCACCCTGGTATACCAGGGCCAATGTTATCACTAAGGGCACGATTCGGACTAGCCGTAGGGTTAATAGCTCGCTAAGGTCAATTCAGCGAAAATTAAAACGTTGTGTAAAACAGTGCCGAAAAGCTAGGTCTGAAACTTAGGCCAGTAAACCTCTGTCGCCAATACCAAAAAACGAAAAGGATTCATTCAAAACATTACATTTTAAAGTAAGGTTACCTATGGAAATAAAAGAATCAACATCACTAGACTACATAGTTCTATACGAAACATCAGTAGAAAACTACGAGTGCAGCTAATGATTATGTGAAACTTAAACTGTACAACAAGATCTTTTCTAATAGTTTCTTTTTACATACATTGTAAATAGTTGGCTTTAATTGGCTTGATATATAGCTAGATCTCGTTGCCAATTGTAAATAAAGTATCAATTATTATCATTATCACAGTCTCCTTTTTAGGTAGTTGTCCGATACTGTTAAGGCAAATGACCGAGTCAGAATAGGTGTTGCTTATCTTTTTTTATACTGAGATGATTTGAGATTAATGTGTCTCTTTTCACATCTCTTCCAAGAGAAGCCTCGTCTAGCTACTTCCTCGCTTCACTTGAAAATATAGTTGACGGTTCTTTCTATCAAATTTAATTTAAATATCCTTGAACTCTACTTCACCATGTCAATGTACCTTGAGACGCAAGTAAAGAGAAATTTGTAATAACATTTGACGATTTTTGGAACCATCGATGACACAAACTAAGGTCATGCTTCCAAAACAACGGATGCATTTGCGCAATAAACTTGCATTTAAAGTCTAGTTTTCAAATTTGATTTTGTCAAACTTGAACAACAAGCTGGTGAAAGGTGACTATATAATCCAGCAAAGTAAATTATGCAAATTCTAACTGCAGACACAACTTTTAGCTTTTTTGCCGTGCTAAATTTGTTTTTAACGAGGTTTAACCATGCTACTGCAAGGTCACTAGTGAAATGGATATTAATATTTGATTGCAGCCCGACTGTGCTTTCAATGATCCGGTATTTCAACAATGGCAATATTCTATATTGATCTATATTGAAATGATAATATTCTACATCCTCTTATTCAAAGACATTAAGGGTTGTTATCCTAAGATTGACAAGAACCTTTTTGCAAAATGAAGATAACTCAAAATTGGGTTTTTTGTAACCGCAGCTTTGGGCAATTAATAAAAGTATCCTGCAATTATGAATACATCGATATTGTTTACTATTTGTAAAGAGGGTATCATGCAAATTTTTATTACAAAAAGCTCCTATTACAAACATTTAGGAGCCATTTTTAACACAAGGACCTCTTCAAGCCTCACAGTTTGATCAGAGTCAAGATATCATAAAGTCGCTCTCTAAGCATAGATAACATACATACAAACTTACAAAAAAAGAAATTTCTGCATACCTGGGAAATTCTCACATAAAACTTCAATAGGGGTCGATCTTTTTGTATCGCCGATTTTCTGGTAACGTTCTTTTAATGTGTCAGCTTTGAGTCCCTGCCAAGGGAGACTGCCACGTAAAAAGTATAAGAACATGTGACCAAGTGCCTCCAAATCATCTCTCCGACTTTGTTCTGCAAAAACATATTCATTAATATCCCCAGTGCAATTATAAATTTGTTCTGGCTTGTATGGATGCAAAAAATGTAACTAAATTTTGAAAGATTTTTGCAGAGATTCTTAAATACACAGATCAAATTTAGGGTGCTCAGTTAAAAAAAACATATTACTATACACGATGCTTTCACGAATTATCTTTCAAGGAGTAGATTAGAACGGTTCATCCTTGTTGACAACTAAACTTCAAACCTTTCGATCAACAGCAAAACTGAGAAGAAGCAATTGCAGTGCTGCAACTTTTCTCAACGACCCTAATTTGGAAGCTCAGTCCTTTTCAATTGAAATACATTTAGAGGTAGAAAATAAACTGACTGAAGAACAAGATATAAAAACACAATCACAGTCATTTAATGTGAATTTTGGCTTCTCATAGAAAGTTCGAGACAAATTATACAAATAGGCATAACCCGGAGTTGAAAGAAAATCTAGTCTTCTTTGTCAGAATTTAGGTTGATTCTCCTCTCAAAGAATGAATTGTATTCAAATGAAGGGTGTTGAGGCAATTCGTAGAAACTTTCTGATGAAACAAATGTAGGACTTACAAAAAAACCTATGATTTGTATTAATTATGATCCTACTTTATTTTCCAGGTATCTATAACATTTCCCTTCCAACAGCAACAAACATTTGAACTCATTTGGCAAGAAGTTCTAGCTATAATGTTTGGGCTAGAGGCTTCATTCTTCAACTCTCTGCTTTTAAAAACGTTTTTTAAGCTGAAAGAAAACCAAATACCTTTTCCCAGATGCGTGTTTATGCTCATGTAACGTGCAGTTCCTGTCAAACTTTTGTGCTCTCTATAGGGTATGTGTTTCTTTGTTTCCGGGTCGATATATTCTTTGGCTAAACCAAAATCAATAATATATATTGTTTTGTCAGTCCCATTTTGTTTGCGACCGATTAAGAAATTCTCCGGTTTTATATCCCTGTATATCATATGTTTGTTATGCACATACTCCACTCTTCGAATCTGAAATGAAAGATTGATTTTGATGTCACACAACAATACTTATCTGTGAGTCAGACACAGACTCAATAACTGGAGGGACCACACAAGGATTGCAGCTAACGTAACGAGGTGTTAGAAGCTTAAACTGTCTATATCTTGAAAAACAGGATAAATCTTCGTCTTCAATTACAAGAATTTGTAATACGCTGAAAGGATATAAAATTACGGAAATAGCATCTTTTGTAGCTTCACAGAAAAAAAGATAACACGAAAAGTAAGAGACAACAAGAGCATTGAAAAAAATCTTTGAGAGCTGGGATGGGGGGGGGGGGCAGCTGAAAAAACTAACTCTGACGAATAATCATCAGTTTAGAAGAGTGATAATACAAAGAACAAATGGAGAGTAAACTGAAAAGAGAAAAGGAATCAATTAATTGGGATGATAACATAAAAAAGTATCAAGTGTTGATTATAGCAAACGTAAATTGCTAAAGATAGGGATGAATGGAGATACTATGATTAAAAAACCACCAGGTATAGAGCGAAAAATAAACAATAAAAACAGCAGACATCAAATTTATGAAAAACACAATTAGCTTCATAATGAAAGTAGAAATGTAATCGCAAAGATAGTATCTACCATTTGCATAGCAATCAACAAAACTGTCTTCTGTGTAAACTGCCTTTCACAAATGTCAAATAAGTCCTCCAGACTTGGTCCTAAGAGTTCCATCACCATTGCATTGTACTTGCCACAAGGTCCAAAGTAATATACTTGTGGGATTCCCTCTTTAATAACAAAGAATCACAAGTTGGGTAAATCTTGCAGGTAAAATTTGATTAAGTAGTACCCTAAGACATATTGCTCTTTCACGTAAAAAAATTCAAATCCATTCAATAATATAACATTTGGCAATGAAAGGAAACTGGATTAGACACTGGGCCAGAGTGAAATATAACTACTGAAAACTGGAAACTATATTACTTTATATATGAATTCCTTGAAAAGATGGTTTGTCAAACCAAGTCAAAAGCATAAAATTTCCTCTTTTGACAGCTCTGCCAGTACTCTCTGGATCTTATTACAAATTCACCCTTTTTCTTTTTCAAACTATTAAAGTGCCTTATCTTTTAAGAAAAATATCTTTTTGCATCTCAGATAATATCAATTAAATGCTCAAATGTTTTTACTACTACAGTCATTCACTGCTTGGAACCCAAATTGAATTTCTGTAAAAATGATCAATGAAACATTTTTCAAATTCCATTTCTTTGGGTTTTTGACATTTAGAAAGGACTACAACATTGCAAGAACTGTCTAAAACACTGAAACAAATTGCAAAATTGATGAAGAAGCCATGCATCTGCAAAGATTGCTCAATGACTGCTGGAAGATTCAAAGCAAGTGAAAGCTGTGTAGATAAGACAAAACATAATATGGAATACCTGATTGACCAAGTGCTTTGTAAAATCGATACTCTAGATGGAGCTGCGGAGCTCTGGATTTGAGTGGTTCCTGCAAAAAATTATACTTAGATGATGAAGCAAAAAACATGACAATGAAGTATTTTACTAGCAGGTAAAGGTTTATAAACAAAATATCAGGTTCCTTTCAACAGTGAACGTTTGGGAGCTGGTTTCAAAAGCTAAGTTCAAGCCTCCTAGTAATCCACATCCAATTTCAGTGAATGTAAAGTCCTTCTAATTCTTAGGGTACACAAGAAAGTTTAGAAGGTGAGTATTTGGCAGCATTGGCACCAATCTATAACATGCAAGCAACTACCAAAAAAGCTTAATTCATTTAATCTTGTTCAAATCAAATTACTCAGCGATGATCGAGGTAAAAGTTGAATAAAACAAATGCACAGAGAAAGTACTATATTTTGGAAGGAAATCAACATTTGCAAAATTGGGATAGCAATGGTAAACATGTTGTGAGGGGATGGAACATAAATGTTACTAATGGAGACCAGAAATTTGAAGCCAAAAGATCCTATTTTAAGACATTTCTCGGAAATCAATAAAAATTAATACCAAAGAGCATGTGTTTGACAAGATTACCTCTTAACTAAGCTAATATTTAGAGAGCAAAGGGAACATACAACATTATACTTTTGAAATTGTATGTTGGCAATAAACAAAACATAAACAGTTTTTTGTTCGATGAACCTGACAAAACACTTGGGTGTTGGTTTTGGCTTAATAGTGTTGTCTAAATAAAAACAATGGAAAAATCGTGGCAAAATATTACATACAAGCAAAACACATCTTAGTGTACTATACTTTAAAGAGCTGTTTACATTTGGTTTCTGAGATTATCAACTTTGACAAACTTATGTCAAACATAGTGTGAACAGGCCCATTGCTACAATTCATAAAAAAGTTTAGGAAATCAAATGATATAAATTTCCTTGGAAGGAGTTACAGATAAAACTAGAAGAAATATTTTAATTGCCATACAATCAGCAAAGAATATAAATCTTTTCAGAAACACCTGCCTGTCTTTCAAGGACTACTTTAAATGAACTTCCTAATAGATTATTGGGCAGAGACTAGAAAATCTAGGGTCAAATGATGGGCATTAGTAAAGAAGGCCAATGAAAAAGGCAAATGAAATTGTTTTGATTATGTCTCATTTCTGCTGTTTATAGAAAAGCTTTTTTAACTATGGATCATTGACTGAGGAAGACAGGACACTAAATGGACTATGGTATTAGATGAAAATAAACTAAAGGTTAAATTAACAGTCAATAATAATCAAGCTAAAATACCATTGCTAGAAAAAGAAAGCTAGAAATGACATGTAAGCATCATGAACATTTAGAAATTTAGGCCAAAAGTGAACAAGTTTTGCCAGAAACTATCTGAAGTAGGAAAGAATTAGGGACTAGTTTGTCTAAACAAAAATTAAATACTAGGTTGCATAACAGGTGCATACAAAACAAAGAAAATGGAATGTCCCTGCAGAGGAAATTGAATGGCAAAGTTGTTTCAGATAATTGATAGAGGAGTTGTCTTTTACAGAATGTTTGGTTATTGGATGACAAATTAGGTTTCAAAACAGCCAAGACTGTTGAATAGAAAAATAATGAGCACAAGGAAATTCATTTGAAAAAAAAACAGGATGAGCAGGGGTCTAAACAGATTCCTTCAAATAATGACAAAAGCTTCACCAGGAAAAGATTGCATAATTTATTAAGATGAATTCAAAAGCAAACCATTTTAAAACAATGAAGCTAATTACTTTCAACAATATTGTCAAAAAATTCATTCTTGGATGAAAGAAGACTTACTAGTTTAATGGCAACCAGTTCATTTGTGTAAAGGTTCTTCCCTAAAAACAAGCATTGTTAAAGATAAAAAACTTTTGTACAATAAATAATTATATGCATAAACTATGCATGTCAGAGATTTATTACTAGGTAACATATGACAGCAACAATGATTTTTTTCTTGGTAGCATAATGCTTTTACCTATTTCAATTATGATTGGCTTCCACGCATTTTCTAAAAGCGTAATGGCCAGAGAGCAAGAAAAGTAGGTGGCATTGAAAACATGGTTACCATGAAATTCAACATTTAGGTTGAAAATTATTTGCCTGGAACTTCTTTGCCTGTACTTGACTGAACTGACTCCAAAATGCTTTTTTATACATAAACGGTCACTATGATAACTAAACTACTAGTATAAACATTTATTTAACTTCTTAAAAATCTATCATTTTCATAAAAACCCATTTATCATTTTCTTTACCTAATTTCCATTTCCGAATACTTTTTACACAATTATAAACAAAAATTTACTTTCTTAAATATTGCTTTAGTTTGCAGAGATGGATAAAGCTTTCCCATTTTTTATCTTAATAAATGCAAAAAGTTGACATGAGTCAATTCTTTTTAGAAAAGCAGTTATCAACCATGATGTTTTCCATCTGCCACTATGTGTTAGCAGATGAGTAATGTTATTGAAAGCCAAATCTTAAATGTTTTACCACATGCTCTAAGGTGTATAAACAACTGGTTATCTTTAAAAATTGATTGGATATTACTTTAATGTAGTTGTTCAGTTTCAAAGTGACAGACCATCACATGGATCATATATCACATGGAATAGATCTGCTGTTTTGCCTAAACTTGCCTATTCATATGATTTATAATCATAGCAATAAGAAGAATGGTATCAAAATATGACCCTTTAGCAACCTTTCAAAAATTTGAAAAGGGAAATATTATCAAAATAAGAGAAATAACCAAGGAGGTGAACAGTTGACTAAGTTCCCAAGACTGTGGCAACTTTTCTCTCATGAAAAAGACTTGTGCCACATACTGTAAGTTTAAAATAGACATTCTTTAAAATAGTCAATTAATTTGTATCCTCTAATGTCATAGGAAGTGTCTATTAGACCTAGAGCAACTGCTTTTGTTAAACTTTTGTTAAGCCTTGCAGAACTTCTCTACCTGCCAAATTTTGATAATTTCCTGTTCACAAATCAAAATATGCATTAAATAATCATGACCTCTTTCCAAAAATAAAAATTCATGATTTCTTACAATACACTGAGACAACAGCTGCAGCACTTGCATCACAAGCTAAACGTAAAATCAAAATCAACAAGTCTATATCAAATGAACTGCCTACTTTGGGTGTTGATTGGATTTTTCATGTTATTAATCATGCCTATGGTGTTTTCTGAAAAGGCACTTTCTATTTTGTGAAATGATGGGTTGCTCCACTGCAAGGTAGCATACTTCAGCTTGAAAGGTATTAAGATTTGCTGATGAAAGAGAAATTGATAATTTGATGCCAAAACCATTAATAATATGCTTTTTAAGTGAATAGGTACAGTCAATAAATTTCAAGATATTATTCCATTTTCACAGTATTTCTTATTTTGAAAGGCCTGTATTTATTCTTCCATATTCCAAGAGCTTTTTGAGCTTTTATCATGACAGTGTCAGGTTATGATTACTTGTAAACATGCCTTGGCTCTTTTGAAATTTGTTGTAGTCAGTGGGTAACTGCAGAATACACATGTGCATGACCACTCTCTAAACAAACTTAGCAATAAATATCACACAAACTTGAACCACACACAATATTAGTTCTGCTTTTTATGAAAATTCTATTCAAAGTTGAAGCTTTATTACCCCATCTAAACCGATGCTTAAAAATTGACAGTAGTTATAAACTGGTTGAGTTTCAAAACGCTTGTTTACAATCTTTCTAAAAAATGGACAAATCTTTTACCTATTTCATTGTCAAGAGTCAATAAATAACATGTGCTTGTGCCAATAGTATTCTGAATTTATCCTCTTGTTTAAAAAACCTGTTACATAAATTTTAGATGAAATCTTAGTTATTCTTACAAGGTTTCAAAGCTTGGATACCATTTTTCACTTTTTAAAAAGTAACCTTTATCAAAACTCGCAAAGAAAGTGTTTCCAGTGGTTTGAGGTTTTTGGATTGATTTTCAACAATTGACTGACACCAAATGGCTTCATATAACTGGTTCAAGTTTCAATGACCATGATGCAAATAATTCCATTGCTACTATTTATTCCTTGAAAAGGTGCCATACTTTCGGAAGGTATATAAGTATAATTATTGCAAAGCAAGGCTCATACCCAGTACTTAAAATTTAGTGTTTCCGAAAAATTTCTGAAAAGATAGACTAAACCACTACATCCACAATAATAAAAGAAAGAAGAAACTAATGATTAAAACTCCATCTAAATGATTGAAAGAAAAGGAAAAAATTTGACCATATTTGTTAATCAATTCAGGTTTTTCAGAGTAGGGAAATTAATACTTTTAACTTTCACATGATCACAGTTTTGCTGGCCATGACAGCACCACTGCATGCTTCCCCAGTCATGTTACTTGCTCATATTTTCATTTTTTACATTGAAAGCTAGATTTGTTATCAAATGAGCTTAGCATGTATTGAAAATATTTACTTTTATAAATATATGTTAATCAATAAGTTTAGATGGCATAGATGACACTTATTTGATATATTTATATGTGAAACATATATAAGGCTTGTTTAGGTTTTTCAAGTGGAAGCTAGTTGTTCAAATTTATACTCACGGCTGTTTAATGAAAGAAAAATGCATAATTTTATCCTAACTGTATACAGAATATTTCTATCTGAGACCAAATATAATCAATAAACACTAAATATTTATGGAGAAATATTATCTGTAGAAACAACAAATATGACTTCCTTCCAATAAATGTCTATATGTTAACAGGATTGTGGCATGCAATTAATAAGTATTTTCACTTGCATAAAAGGGAAACAAAACTGTCTTTTCATTTATAGTTCACTGAAGTGCACGAACAAAGTTAGAAATACACCAATCAGCAAACCATTGAACATTCTTACCTAATCTCAACTCCCCAAAATTTCCACAGCCAATTTTCTTGCCAACCCTAAAGTTGGGTCCAACCATTAGAACTCCAGAACCAGAAGAACTCGATCTACCGTGGTGAGGGGCTCCAGCCCGACCCCCTGAGCTCCCAGTACCTTTTCTTGGACCGCCAGGGTAATCGTTTCCGCGTCCCCTATCTCTGTCACGATCCCGTTGCATTTTGAAGTCCTATGAAGGGCCTTTTGTCGGTCGCTTATAAACTTTGATTTTAATCTTTTTTAAACGAATGAATCCTCAGTCCAGTTGTGATTGGCAAAAGCGATGGTTGCTCAAACTCATATCCAAGATTTTGTTCCTGTTGGACGGGGAAGGTTTGTCCACTTGACAAAGTTGACATAAGCTTTCCTTATCTCGGAGCTAGGCCTTTATTGTTTATCACCAGGCACCAGGACCTAAACATTGCAAGAAAAAAACAGCCACCGCTTAGTTCATTAGCATGGTAAAATGGTAGTTAAAAAAGTTGATCAGATTTAATGATCAGAAATACACAAAATCTCAATGTATGATTTGCGAAAGAGCATTTGACGAAACCCAATTTGAACTTTGCGGACCCACACGGATTGGTATCGTGTGGAAAGTAGTCTCTCCTAGCTACCTTGGCGATTTCATGTTACTAATAATAAAAACGCTCCCAGCCGTACAAAGAGTATAACAAGAATTCAATATAATATTGGTTAGCAGTACTCCACCTTTTTTATCATCGGTTAAATTCAAGTGAAAGTTGTCGACGGCATTAACAACGTTTCCAATAATGTGAAACAAGATGTCGGCGAAACAACAGACCCTACTCGGGTTGACTTGACAATCTCGGTAGATTATGTCCCATCAACAGGATTTCCACGGACTGAGACGAAAATTTAGCAAAGCATGCGATCGGCTATTGTAATTTTGATATCCAGGCTTTAAACGATGTGGGTTATATGGTGTGCATAACTGACTTCCAGTCAACTTCAATAAATATCGTCGACTGATCCCTCGGCTGTCTGTTCACACGATCTGCACTTGCGCAGAATATCATTCGAGATCCGGAGAGTCCATTGCTGTGTCATGGTACTACAGGACCACGTAATGGAAAAATTGTAGAAGTTAACAATAGAAAATAAATGAATCAAATGATCTCTTGGAAGAATTTGTCATTTTATATGTTATTAAGCTTTTTTCCCGGGAAAAAAACAAATGTGACAGAATGTCGACATAACAAACCACCTGGAAGTCTATGACTTTTTGTAGAAATGTACTGTTTCACGAAAGCGAGGGCGTTGTCACGTAGAAACGGAAATTTTGCCTCTAAATAATGTGGCTAGTCAAATTGTTCCGCTAACAAAAGTCTTATTAGGACCATAAAATGTGGTTTTCTGGTAGTCTTGCGTTTGTTTGATTTTCACTGCTAAAATGTAGAAACTTGGATTTAACAGAGGATGGCCGGTAAGACGTCATGATTTTCCTCCAATTAACGGTGTGAGGATATTTCCAGGAAAATCGACCTATTGGTTGTCTTGAAAATGAAAGTAATATTCCAATTAAATCACATGTTTGCTTCAATCAAATAAAATGGCACACCAAGGTAGCTGGTTTCTTTCCATAATTATGCAATTTGAGTCTATAGGGCTGTCTTCACGTTGAATGATACAAGAAAAATAATTAAAGAATTCAAACTGAGTTATGTTACCAAATAATGACGGGCAGAGACAATACAACGCTCCGAAACATCGAAAGAATTTGCTCTAGTTTTGTTGATTGAAAGATTATTAAATTTCTAAAATGGATTATAAAAAGCAAACATTTTGAAACATGTTACTAAAGCTTTTCATCTGACACTCTTCAGAGTATAAAACGTCAGAACATGTATGTAGGTCGAAAACTCTATGCTAGGAAATTATCTTTCTTTTCTATTAAAAATAGACGTAATATACAGTACATACAATGGTTAAATCATGTTTTAAGTTGATCCACATCATATTCGAGATATCACTAAAGAAAATAAAATAATTGCAAACAAGAACATACGCAGATTTATCAAATCTAATTTTTATTTCACAGAAATCTGCGGGTGCCATTCTCAAATGCATACCTAGAAATATCTTAAATTGACGCCATCGTGAAAAACAATTTTTGTGCTGTCAAAGTTATCAAATTTATAAGCCTGTGTTTTGCAACAATTTTGGCGAGAAATTTGCAAAAGCAAACCAAACATGATATACCGTAGGCTGAAAATGCAACTAGCTGATACACTGTGGTGTCAAAAATTTCCTCAAAGGCTGTATATGATATTATTTTGTTATTCTGCATTCTTATTTGTGTTTGTATTCATGCTTCGTCCTACTTGGTTTTTTTAAATGTAGAAACAATTGTAATTAGGTATGTAAGGCTTTCGTTACAAATCAATGATTCATATTGTAAGTTACCCGTAGAGGGCAACTTGCAAATAAACTATTGCTGAAGGGTAATTCTCCTTAAACATTTAAACAAAATTCTGATGTTAATGATGATGATGATTACTATTTCTATGTGATATTACCCCCAAAAAATGAAAAATTGCTCTGCTAACCACTTATTCTACTTGTCGAAACAAATTATTGACATCTCCCGAAGAATCTCCCTTTCAGCTTTAAACATTTATCATTGCATTGTATTTTTTTCAAGCAGAAAATTTGCAATAATTCTTAACAAAGAAGAAAATATCTGTTAAAGAAGCAAGCTAATCATGCCAAATATGCACTTCCTTATTTGAGTGAGATCTACACTTTATGTATCTTTTGAGAAGCCCCCACAATGATACTGATGGCAATAATAATAATTATTTAAATCAGAGCAAAGTTTTGACCGGGAAACTTTTCTTTTCATCAAAAGAAGATGAACATATCGAGCAATTCGAACCGGCTGTCAGAAAAACTACCTTAAAGATTTCACGAAATAGATAGAGAACAAATTTATTAATAAAAATTCAGTTTAAAATACATGATATGAATCAATTAAATAAAGATTGCGATGGAAGCTATTTACAAGCTTACGAGTTTCTTCGTCAAGTGTGCCATAGTAAGGATAGCCAGCTGACGATCTCTTTTCGGCATCAGTTCTTCTGTAGCACAACTTAGCACAACCCTTTTCTTGCAATGTTCTTAGCCTTGTCACCCGTCTTCTGATAGACTCTTCGAATCCTGATGCTGGTGTCACATCGAACGGTCCGAGGGTGTAAAAGCCATGTGTTGTCCTGTGAAATTCAAAAGCACCATTAACTCACTGATACGTAGATACATACGCAACATAGATGCGTCTCTCTCTCTCTCTCTCTCTCTCTCTCTCTCTCTCTCTCTCTCTCTCTCTCTCTCTCTCTCTCTCTCTCTCTCTCTCTCTCTCTCTCTCTCTCTCTCTCTCTCTCTCTCTCTCGGGCGGCTTAGAGTAGGCAAGTAAGGGGATTTGCTTTGCTACCCCCACTACACCATGCTGTCGACCAAGCTCCCAACCAAACAGCTACTTCATTTACCTGGTTAGGCAACCTGGTTACCTAGCTGGCTTATAATATAAAAAGTTATAAAAAAAAGATATAAAAAAAATAGTCGCACGCTTGCTTCAGCTGTCGCTCTTTAACTATCCAAAACCCTATTTCAAGTGGGCCTGCCTAGGAATCGTATCCAATACCAAGCTTTGTCTTTATACTTTACATCTCCTCTGTGTCTCAAGCCTCAAACATTTGCCACACTGCATCTTCATTGTGAATTTCATCAAGTTAAGACGGCAAAATTACGCGACAAAACGATAAAGAGATTATCTATAAAAGAAACTTTAGCTGAAGGATCCAGAGGAAGCCCAATATGTCTTTTAGATAGACATATTTTTACTCTTTTATAAATTCAACAGTGTATAAATTGTGAAAATTTTTCTTTTACAATGCTTTGACCCCCTACACAAAGACTATATGCTGGCCCTTACCCTGGGCGCCATCGCTTCAGTAAAAGAGTCTTATGAATTTGTTATATGTGGTAATAACAAAATTTTAACCAGAGACTGCATAGGTTGACCTTTTATTTTTATCACAACTCAAAAAATCTATTTACAAAATGAAGCGACCATCTCTTTCACAGAGGCTCTGGTAGCAAAGGTAGCTGGCCCTACACTGCACCCCTTTTTAAATCTAAACTGATATGCTGGCGATTTAACTGTTTTCACGTTGAGACAAATGTACTTTTAGCTATGTTTTTATAGCATTTACTGAGCATGTTACTGATGGAAATAGATTGCAAGCACAAAAACATGTGGCTTTTGAACAATGATTAGTATCTTTCACGTTGTTCAAAATATCGTGTGTGAATATATAAAAATTATTGAGCTAGTTGCTTAATTCATAAGAGTGGTAAGGGTGAAGTCTATGATATCAAGTTTTTAGTTTATACTTATTGTGAATTTGTCACGTGACTGAAATTCTAGAAGCTTCGTTATCTAATTCTTAGTCAGTAAATGTGCACGTGAATCCGTATGATTGACCATGCTTTCTTAATTTTTGCTAAGATCTAGCAAAATTATGCGAAGTTAGAAATGTAATGGATTGAAAATTGAGAACAAATTGAGAAAAAATAGGGCCGACGAACATATTATGAAACGCAAATACGAAATTTTTCATTGAAATGATTGACATTCAGGGTAATCAAGAACGCAGATAGATAAGAGAGGACATGAACCCTAATATTTTTGTGATGAAAATTTGATCTTTTTTTAATGTCAATAGCGTTTGACTAGCCTCTTTTGCTCATTTTGGCTTGCCCCTCCATTCAGAAATTCATTAATTCTCCTTGTTTACCTTGTGGAATTTAAGCAATTTACATCAACATAATTATTCCTTCCTGGGATTGTTGCAAAGGTAGGAAATCCTTTAGGAAATGACGATGAAACGACTTGAGCGTACGTATAAAATATGGCAAGAGGACGGCACCCGTCATGATAACAACATATGCTATTCTCATGGTTTGAAGACTTTGCATCGGAAAAGTAGCAACTCCCTAATAATCCAGTGCATAAACGGCTGTGCAAATTAGTATTAATAATTGATACCTACAATATCTAGATGGAATGTCTATCCAAAGTATTAAACAAAAACATGCCACATGCAAAGTTAAACAAAAGACTGTTGCTATGTCAGAATGACCCGGGCTTGAAGCTGAGCAACTTCTCCAAAAGAGGTCTTAAAAATACAACTTGCTGGCAATAACACGCTTTGAAGTTAGAGGCCTTTGACGTATTCGTTGTCATTGGATGTGAAAGTAAAAATACCAGAGAAGGTTTAGCTATCTCTTTTGCTCTTGTGATAATCTTACTAGATTCTAAATCTTGTGGAAACTCTCTCTCTCTGGAGAGAGATAGCCACAAGGACCTTAAGGTTTTGAACTTCAAAGTGAAGGGGACATAGAGTAGAAAGAGTTTGGATACAAATTATTAACAGTATACCATACTGATTAGCGCTATTGCAATGGCCCTCTGCCTCCTTCAACTAAGCACGGTCCCTGTTTAGGGACAATTCACTCTTGCAAATAAAGTACAAGATTTTCAGAAAATTTCAGGTCAGAATAGGATTTCTACCAAATGTGCACAAATTTTCAGGGATTGATTTGCCCCTCGGATTCTGTGTCTCACAACGTTCTACCTGTCGAAGAGGATTGGCCAAAAGGATAAAGAAACCCAAAAGAAATTACATGCTAGCAGCATTTAACACCCTGATTACCATTTTAAAAATATTTAAACAGTTGTCAGGTTCCTCCAAACCATGCAAACCAGCATTGTTTGACAAACCTGGTCGCTAAAAATGATTTTCAAGAAGCAAAACAATTAGCCACTTAATTTGTATTCAACTCGCTTTGTGGCATTTACATGGCAATAACGATCTCCACGTCATATTGAAAACCAGTACCAGTAGCTATTAATGCTTCATGGTTTGGCAAGCCATGCCAATGACACGATGGTTTATATACGAATGGAAATTTCTTATACTTAATGTCGGCACCCTAGTAAAATGATGTCATATCGAGAGAGAATCAAATCGAAACCGTAGCTAATTGAAAAAAGCTAATTAACAAAGCAACAATTCAAGCTCTTAAACTCTGCTTTTGAGCTTCCCTCGCCGGTAAACGAATCCTTTACTCTGGTTATCTTGAAACACTGACTTTTAATGAGACACATGAGTTCCTTATCCACAAAATCTCTTCCGGGATTGCTCACTCAGAGAAAGGTTCTCTCATACACCAGCGTTTTTCGAACAATTTTTTTATCCAAATTTTTTCATTGAAAAAACCACGAGGCACACTACCAGTAGAACATGTTAAAAAAATTAAACTCTGTGCTTATATTTACGATATAAAGTCGTTCTCTTTGAAGTTTCTTGAATAAGATAAATAAAAAAAAACACACAAAGTGAAGGTATGATATGGTAGAGTATTGCATTTACTTTGCTAATCATTAGACTGCACAGCAGGGCAAATTATTTGCAGATAATGATCAGTTTTTTTCAATTTTTAGACCAATAACGTGAAATTGGAGAAATATCCACGTTGAAAAACTCTGCTATACACCATTCGAATTCGATAACATTTCCCAATTGAATGGATATCTTGCCCTGATCGAGTCATTTGCAGCATCGGATATTAAACATGAATATAAAATAAAACACTTCACCATACATGCAGAGACAGGTGTAAAAACCCCCAAAAATAGACAGGGCAACACAATATTTTCTGGTGTTTGTCGTTCAAATGCCTAGTAGAAGATATTAGAAATCTCAGATAACAAAAGGTCTCTGCAATAGAGACTCGCAATATGAAAACGACGCTATGTTTAAGTCTTGATATTCTCAAGGTGTGGAGGGAGAAGTCTGTTTCTAATTTTAGACTATCAACGCCTTGAAGATTTTGAGGAAAATGATTAGTCAAAAAGCTAATCAAGAAATGATTATTTCTACTGGCCTAATTCAAATCTCTTAAAGAATATCTCAGGAAAGTAAAACGGCCACAAGGAAGACCAACGACGACCTGGATGCAGACAGTAAGGCAAGATCTGGCCAGCATCGGAATTAAACTGGATCTCTCAAAAGAAGCACAAACATTGAATAGGTTATCTGAACTGACACTGGACAGAAAGAACTGGCGTGGCATTGTGAGACGCGTCGTGCAGTATTAACTGCGTGTGACGTTTTAGTAGTAGTAATTCAAATGCAAATCTACATTGGTTGTATCAATATTTGTTGCGAATTCCTGATTTTGTTCAAAACGTTATTATATCAGAGGCAGGCACCGCGCAACCATTGGGCTAGCAGGGGCTATAGCCCACCCACTTTTTTGCAATAATAGGCTAGAAAATTTTTTTTGAAGGTTTACTCTAACGCAACTTTGGATAGTTTACTCCTATGTATGTAGTAGCAGTTCTTCTTGACTGGAAGCCATTTTTGTTCTTTTCTAGGTGTTTTATCTTTTTTAACGATATGATGTATTTTCTTACTTTGTTAGCTTGGTTTTTTATTACCCTCGAGCTAATTCTATCTATTTTCATAGTTATTGATATCTTCTCGGAACCAGACTGTTTAAAAAAACTCAGTAGAAATAAGCAAGTATTTTCTAAAAGGGGCGTTTTCCAGCGTTCAAGACAGCGTGGCCTAAACAAATTTTTCAGAAGTACTTTGAAAAACAAACATCATTTTGCCCAAGGAATGCAAACTATCATACGTAACTTTAAATGCTCTGGTAGGAACTGTGATGCAGACACTAATGTGTTTATTGAAAGAGCTGAAATGTTCAGAGTATGAAAACACAGCAATATTTAAGCGTTTCTCATAGTATTTATGAATTCAGCAACTTTCCCGGAAACAATGTACTCTGGAATTATCAAGCCATCTTGCTTTTAGCGGTGGCTTTGCCAAATGCGAGCGAATATTGGGAAATTATCCAAGGAAAGACATCAAATCACAACGAGTTTAACAAATGCCGAAATACCACGCAATGATTGATCATACACAGAACGATGTTTTTCCTCCCGTCATCAATCAGAAAAGAAAAATCGCTCAAAAAGCAGCAAAAATAGCCCACTACAAAGAGGCGAAATTCTTCTAAAAACCAACAAATATTTGGGCGCACAGCACATACAAACACGGCGAAAGAACATCGAGCAAACCATTTTAAATTGTTACGTCAATGGGAAAGAAGTCAAAATAGGAATATAAACAGGATGCGTCACTGGACGTCACAACTGTAGGCCACTTCAATTAACGGGTTTAGGTGTATAGATAAGACACTCGCTGTGGCGACAAGACGCTGGTAACGAAAACCTCCAAAAACCTCCACAAAATCTTTATATTCATCTCGTCAGTTAATCGTAAATGAACAGAAAAGCACGTTAAAACACTGCACGACAATTTTTGTTAGATATGTAGCTGTACAATCAGTTGTCTACGTGGGTTATAAAGAATTGCTGGTCATCAATGAATTAGATTGAGATGCTAGTCTTGGGGATAAAAAAGTTTCAGTCAATTTAATCAATATAGTTAATCAATAACTTTTATGACACTAGAGCCCTCCACGCTACAAATACCTTTTCTTTATGTTTCAGTTGTGGGTAGGATACAGGTAAATACATGCATAAAAATAAAAATTTTGTTCCGTTAGAAGCGTCTTTATCGATCATCATTTCAGTACCAATGACATGGCCTTATTTCCTTTGGTGGATTAAGTTATAAAATTATGGAACTTGGTGGAATTTTGTGTCATTATCAAATGCTTTTTGGAAAATAAAAAAAACAATGAATAATTGGCGTCTAGCTAAACATACCGGGTGATAATCCTGACTAAGTGTTCCCCAGCTTCTCGATAATGTAGTCATCTGTGCTAAGGACTTCTGTGTTCATGATGCAGTCTGAAAACGATCAACAGAACCATGAGTAACAAAATAGCATTTGCACGAGCACTGTAGAATTCGATAGAAAAATTCTTATACAGTGAAGCTCTGTTTAGGAAGAGTAAAAGGAGAATATTTCGTATGGCGATAGGTTCTTTTATGTAGGAAATATCAGCTCTATCAAAACAAAAAATTTTAGAAAATAAGACAAGGTTTAAAAGAAGGGTTTACTTAAGAAAAATATTTTTTGAGATCTAACTGATATATCTGGAAGTCGATTACGTTGAGTGGAAATTCTCATTTCTAGTTTTCAACCATTTAGCATTTTGAGAGCCGACTATTCTTATGCAACTATGAATTGACATATTGAGATTGGATGAAAAATAAAGACTTGAAAATTCCACAGCAAACACGGATGTTCAATTTCTATGCGCAGATGTTTACTGTCAAAATCAATAAACCATCGTTAAATTTTTCGCTATACAGCATAAAAAAACTGTATGATTGACTTGGAAAGAAATGGATTGCGATTGTCACTAGGTAGCCATGAAAAGAACCAATCGCTAGCTAGACAGAAAATTGAAACAGAAAATATACCATTGTTTTGGATTTCAAGGAAAATGACTTAAGATATGTACAAAAGTAATGAATTTTTCAAGAGGCAGAGAATATACAAAGCCTGCCAAAAGTCTTGGAACACTGACGTCAGTTTCCAAAGACGAAATCAAACATCCGCCTCTCCCCTACGGAACAATGTTGGTTTACTATGAAACGGGTTAGGATTTAAGGAAGCATTTTCTTTAGCGTTTCTTTTATGACATTTCTCTAAATTATCAACATTGTTCTTGGGGGAAGGCGGCGGAAGTAGTAATTTTTATTCGGAAAAGGAATGAAAGATAAAAAATGCTGGTTGTTCCAAGTACTTGGCAAGCATTGTACATAAAAAAGAAAGCTGAAATATATTGTGGCGCATTTTTATAACCTTAGTGATTCAGTATGGGAATAGATACGGTAAAAATGATTAAAATAATTAGCAAGGTACATTTAATTTGATTGCTGAAGTGTCTGCAGTATTTGGACGTGTTGATAACTCTTACATTACAAGGGGTTAGATTTTATTGTGGGTTAAAAGTTTTATGGACGGATATGATAAAAGAAGAAAATAAATTAAAACTGGATTGCTTCCTAGAAATAGAAATTCAGGAAAACAATTACATATTTTATACAAAAATGAATAGAAATTCAGGAATACAAAAACTAGTTCATGACGCCTTTAAAAGATAAAGGCGTTGTGAACTAGTTTACTGGTATAATACAATACTGATATTACGATATTTGTACTAGAAATTGTGAAGGTATTCACCAAGAAGCCATTTCTCTTCAACGCAATGTAATTCTGTTTGTTGATGCTTCCCGATGCATATTTTTGCCTTCGAAACATTTGATGTTACCTTAAAACATAAAACAAGACGAATTATATGTTGCTAAGGACATTTGAGACGCCAAGGAAGGAACTATCAGCATGTTGCATATGAGGGGAAATTTGAAACATTATAACGAAGCAAAAAATATTTATGAAAAAACAATACTTCATGAAGCGGCAAAAATGTTCTCAATTCAGCTAGGAACTTTCTCGTATTCTGCACTGGCGTCTCAAAGCAAAGATTAGGTCAAATTTTTTACACGGAACATTGGTTTTTTTAATTTGAATATTATTTATTTCCTAGAGGCAGTCTGCTTAGCTGCAAGTAATGGAGCACTTCCAGAATTATCCAGTATCTTTTATAACACTCTAGTACCTTTAAATCGACATTAAAACAATTTGTTTGGAACAATTGGGAAAACGATTATTGGGGGGGGGGGATGGTTGACTGAACGGGTAAAGAAATGCAAAATACAGGTAGGGGGTACAATGACTGGATGTTTTAATCATTTTGGCAGGAAATTTTAAGATATTGAAAAATAATTTTGGCAGAGATTTTCAAGTTACTTTTTTATGAATTAGGTAGCAATTGTGTGCTTCAAAAAAAGTATATGACGTTGTTGTTATCAGAGAAAAGATATTACATATTGGATAAAGAGAAACACGTCGGGGTTTTGATTAACGAAAGGCAGGCTTTTTCAAAATGTTGCCCTGTCAGTAGATAACCACATATAACAATATAATACCTGGCCACCACATTTTCGTATCAGTTTTATAATCTCAGCTTTAGGTGGGACAGTGTCCTCAGCGATGTAAAAGGGATCTTCGTTTTCGAATAGCACACTCGATAAGCTTCTTCCTGTTGCTAATCGAGAGCACCGATTTTTCTGCAAAACATAAAAACATTATTTGCCAACTGGAAACAGGATCCAGTTTTCTTGGAACAGTCAATGCATCTTGAGATGCAATGAAAATTTAATTTCAAGTCACAAAAATGAGCAAATACTAACAAAAATAAACATTTTGAAATTGGACAGGGAAGAGAGGTGCAACACCAAAAGGCCAAGAAAATGAAATGAAAGTACCAGGGCCGTTTCCACTGTTGTCAGTGGTTATTTTACACTGTGTAGAACAATATGCTCCGTTATCAACACCTATATCAAAAGCAACATTTTTATCTAATGGTAAGTTTGAAAAGGTAATGTCAAAAAGCCTTGATGTTCATTTCTAACCAAATGAAGCGTATAAAGTATGCTTATTAGATAGAGCAAACCATTCATACACAGGGAATCTTCCTAGACACACAGGGGACCTTTAGGTTGCAATACATTTTAAAGGTAGTCCACCCTACACCATGCTAACAAAAATCATAAATAAATTGGTCAATTCAAATATATACCCTTATTACTGAAAAAATCAACATAAAATAGCTTATCATTCAAGGAAAATTTAGAACATGGATGGAAAAAGCTGACCAAGAGCAACACAAATTTCGTGCCATATTTAGAAGATCTTGCTAAAAGTTTACAAAGCCGTTTCATGTACAGTCATAAACGCAAAATTGGGTTGTCTCCCTGAATGAAAGTCGCTTACCATAGCTGTTTGGAAGACGTCCACCAGTTCGAAACCTTCTTCATTCAACCAATGGCCTTCATCATATGAGCAGTTGATCTGTGAAGTGACAATAATTATTTTCATTTAAAGGCATTGAGTCATGGTAAATAGGCCTTCTCTATAGGGGTCATTTGGTTTCGGCGTGATCGCTGCTGTTTCATGTGATATTTGCGAAGAACCGGCCTAATACAGGCCCGTCGGAACCGGGGGGGCTGTAGCCCCCCAATAATTGTCAAGCTGTAGTATGTTTCTTTTATAACAGTGTACTGAATAAGAAGGAAAACAATGGGCGCCCCCCCCCCCCAATATGAATTTCGTTCCGACGGCACTGTAATATCGTACTGCATGGAAATACAAAACACAGTCAATTTAGTAATCCTACAGGCACTAACAAATGCCACTCGCGACGTAACTGCATACATGCCAACACATCACAGACAGTACTACTTGTTTTAACTTTATTAACACTGACAAAAACTACGACATAAAACAAAGACAGGACTGCAACTCTACTAACGTTCTTTACGCATTACAGTGGAAACGCTGTTTCACTAACGGACACAAGAACTGCCAATACATCGGACAAACAAGCAGACGACTGAAAGACAGATTTAACGAACACAGACGAGACATTATCAACAAAAAGGTAGACAAATCTGGTGTTGCAGAACACTTCTGTAGCCCAGAACATCTGACTTTACTGTAACACCATTACTGAAACTCAACGACAAACGAGAGATTGTCCGACGAGCCAAAGAGCAATACCTCATTGGCCTGGCAAACACTCTCACACCGAACGGCATGAACAGAGCCACTGACCGTTAACCTTACAGCAACATTATCATTATTTCATACTATAGTACTTCATCCCCATTACATTTTCATTCCACCACCACCACCACCCACCCTCTCTCACTCGCCATCCTTCCCTCCTCCACCACTGCGCTGCATTCACACCATTCCACATCAGCCCACCCGACACCACCATCGCCTCTTTTAAATGTGTAAATTTTTAGCCCGTTAGCTTTTGCTCTGATGAAGCCCCGTATGCCGGGGCGAAATATAAGCCTGTACTGATTTACGTGTATTTATTGTTGTTTATTCTCGGCGTATTACGGTGTTTCTTATTTGCTACAATTTCTCAAAAGACAGCTGCCGCTAAACATGCCCGTTGCGCAAGAGACTTTAAGTTTTAGGCCTAATGCGGATAAAACATTATCATCTTAATATAACAAAGAAAAGACTAGACGAGGTTACATAATTACCTACCCAGTTTGGAGACAGAATCCAGCATCCATGCGCGATTCCATTTAATATGTTCAGTGTTCTTCTTCCACTTCCAGAAATTACGTGGGTTGTAGACAAATTCACAGTTTTGGAGATCACAAAGGAGCCAAGAGTTTTAACAGCATTTCGAATGAAATCTTGTTGACTGAAAAAAAAATTGCAAGCTTACTTCCATTCAAACTGAATATTTCCTAGATGGCTTCTACTGAATCTCGTCTATAAAAAATCTAGCAGCTCTTTCTTTCAATAAAACGTTGCAACGCTGGCATCTGCAATACTTTAAATTTATGAATACAACTTTTTCATGTTGTCAGGCTCAATCATTACTAACCTTAGATGGGCCAAAATTTTGAATCTCCTTTCTACCCAAACAATTAGTTTTATTTGTACACTTTTTATCTAATACTGTTTTATGTATCACTAACTTTTTGGACATGCACTCTATACCAGGTTTGGTATAAAGATAGAACATAATTCATATTTTCTTGCAGGACGTCGTTCTGTTCTCTATACATTTATTAGACCGTTTTTCCGATCGTGTTGTCTTTGAACTTTTTCCTATCTAAAATACCATGCTACAACATACATAAGCGCTGTCAGCAATTTACTAAAATTTGACAACGCGTCCATCTCGCAACGCAACGGAGATCAAAACTAAATTTAGAATACGTAAAGTCCAAATTTCTTTACATACTCTAAAGTAAAGATAGAAAATCGTGAAGTTTAGATAGAGAATTTCTTTGTGACGAAATCAGTAGAGTGAAGATTTGTTTCTCATCGTCTCCTACTATGTCCTTCTTCCTATTAAGACACCAAAACTAAATGGGCAAATGATGGGTATATGGGCAAAAAAGTGAGATTTTGTTTTTCAATGCCTCTTACGCTTACCATAAAGCAATCAAATGATATTCACTCATCTTGAAGAAAAATTATCTGAGAAAATTATTCAAACTTACCTGGAATGCAAACTGGTCATGACCAAGCATCCTTTAGGCTATGAAAACGAAAACAATCATTTAATGATTATATGACATCAAATTTGTTGAGTGCGCAGTTTTGCAATTGATTCACTAGAAAAATCTATCTGCAAGGAAAAAACATGGGGAAGAGATCCTTTTCCAGCAATTATGCTTCACTCGGGCAATGTTACAACGCAATAAAAATTGCTACAAATACCTAATAAAGAGCAAATTGAGAACTCAACGCTTACTCTTTTCTTCTTTCCATTATAGCTTTCCTTTTCAGAATTCTTACGCTCTTCTACATTGTCCCCAGAATTTGCTTCATCAACTTCAGATTGCCTGTCATCGTTATCAGCATCTGTATCCATTTGCACAGCATTCTCATTCATGTCTATTTGTACCTCTTCATCAAAAAATTCATTTTTGTTACTGCTTATTTCTTTGTTTCCTTTCTGCCTTTTTCTTGGAGATATTTCTTGCTGTCTTTTTCGCTTTGTTGGTGTTTTCTTTTCTCTCTGCTGATTATCAAATCTTTCAGCTAAGAGCAAACATTGATTTATAGTTGTTAAAAGATTGGAAGCCTCTAAGTGCGTAAAAAGAAATTAAATGGAGTTTTTCTAAAATAAGAAGAAATAATAACATTCATTACCACTTCTTCTTCGCTGGACCAATGATTATATGTGCTGGGAAGGCAACTTCTTATACTTAAGGGATATTTAAAATATACTCCTCAATGTGTGTTGATAGTGTCACTTCAACTCTCACATCAAGCTAATGGCAAAAGATAATGTAAATTTAGATCGACATATCCCTATTACTAGCTGTAAATTTTGGTTTTAAAAAAAAATTAGCAAGCAAAGAAATACCATATAGTAACGAAGATGTATCAATTGATTCATAAACTACCATGCGTATTTATTCTAATTACAATTATGGTATGATTTGATAGTTAATACTCACAACTGGTCACTGCACCATCTATAGCCTTCTCATCTCCATTATTTCTACTTGAAAAATTCAAGATTGATGTCAACATCTGACTTTTAGATAACAATTTCTTTTTCTTCCTTATTGGTTTAGAATAGCTGCAGACATCTAAATTTTTCGAATTCCCTACACAATCATCAGTCGCTTTTTTAGTAGCATGGTAATTTAGTCCATGAGTATCACCGTCTTCTTCCATTTCGTCAGCAGATACCTCAGCTGCTCTATCCAGTTTGGGAGCCAAGTCCATAGGTTCACAATCTAAGGGTGTAGGCCAGTCTTCCTCTTCTTCTGGTTCACAAGGTTTGCTATTGTCCGTTGCTGCTGCTCCTTCACTGTAAATTTTCCGACAAGCTGCTTGTCTTTCCGCAGATGCTGGTTCAAAATCTTGCATGTATGGGATTTTTTCAAAGCCAGCACACGAATCGACATTAAAAACATTATCGTCTGCATATTGATCTTCTTTATTCTTCGGGGCTTGCTCTTCATTTCCCAGTTCGAGCGGCAAAGTTTCTTTCTTCGCACTTGTACGATTCCTTGTACACTCTGGAGACTCTCCTAATGATGCTAACAAAAACGAAGAATGAGAGCGGAAGGAAGGTTAATTTTTTGTAAATACTCATTAATTGAAGAATGTTCACCAAGATCACTGTCAAAATTCGTGGAACACCAACATTAGTTTTAAAAGGATGTTAAGCCACGCCTTCTCAATATAGAAACAATGTGAATTTAAAAAAAAATTTTATCAACTAGATGCTTTCATTTCTGCGCCTTTTACTTTTCTCCAGACTACGGTACAACAAAAACAAAAATTGAGTTTCAACAAAATTTATAAAACCAGAGTTTTACCTCTTTTTTCAGAAAGCTTCTTCATCACCTGATTGAAAAACGGACTCCCCGTGGAAATCGGCGAATAAAAATGGGCATCATGATCTTTCATCTGGAAACATAAACGAACATAAGCTAGAAATCAAGAAAAAACTAAAATGCGTTTTATAACTATATCAAAAAAAGAAAAAAATTTCACAGACCAACATGGAATTTTGCATAACAAGGGAGAGCTAACTGTTGAAGTAATAGAAAGAACAAAAAAGCAAAATTTTCCGATGCTGTCTCCAAATTAATTTGAACTTTTAACAGAAGCTATGCATTGTTTTAGTATTTTCCATAATGATTTGTTTGATTATACCCATTGAAAAATAATTGAGAATATGACAATAATTGTCTTGAAATACTGCTGACCTTTTTAGAAAGATCTTTCATTTCTATATCTTCCAATGAAATATAAGCTAGAAAGAGAAAATAAACATAACATAAAGAAAAACAGTACACGTGGTTGCTATTCTATCAAAGTAGCATTGCACAACACTAGAACTCAGAACTTTTTTGGATTCAGACGAGATGGATTGTTTTGTCACATATCATTGATATTTTGGAATACATCAAAACAATTAAGGGTAACACTAAATGACAAATCAGAAAGAAACTGGAAACAATCTTTTGGTGGTACAAAATTTGAAAATGGCTTTGAAAAAAGCAAACATTTGAGTAAACTAAAGCTCTTCATCTGACACGCTTCAGAGTTTAAAACATCAGAGCTTAAATCTAAAACTCTACGCTAGGAAATATATATACCTAGTTGTGGATTGAAATAAGCCAATCAGAAACATAAGCACATTATTGTTGGTTGAGGTTGACCAATCAGTGCTGCTTGCCTATTGAGAATGTTACCAATGGAGTCCTAAGGTGAAATGTTTACTAGTGACATGTTTCAGATCATTGGTAAAGCACGATCCTCGTTCCATCTAGCAGTTTTGAAAACTATCTACATAAGCACGAAAAACTGCTATTGTATAGACAAAAGAAACTGCATGAGACTGAATTGAACATATTTTAAATCAACAAAATTGATTCTGCAAATACATCAAGCCAAAATACTTGGGATGTAGGAAATATTTTGATGCAAATTATTTTTAAATGTACACAAGAAACATAAACTATTTATAATATCATTGAAATCTTGAAATTGATATCAGATTTAAAAAAGCTTTAAAGTTATAATATCAAGATGACATAAAGGAACCAGTAAGGAAATCTTTTCACTTGAACCAGTAAGGAAATACTTTTTGACAGTATTGCAGCATTAATTTTTTAAAAAACTTGCTATTTCTCATGCCTTAATGACTTTATTAATGAATATACTTAGTAAATTTATCAAAAAATACTTAGTTTTCTTTCTGTACTCTACTGACCTGCATTGATAAGATTGCTATAGTAGCTATCAACCACCAAAGCACTAATGACTTACTATGCTGTTAAATTAAAGGTGAGCATCCACTTTCTACCTTCAAATAACTTATAAGGAGCTTGATGACTTAAGTTTTACATTGATAATATATACACATGCCAAGTCAATTGTAGGAGGCTCATTAGAATAAAATCAGATAAAGAAAAATGGGGAATGCAAATAATGTGCAAATTATGTTAGTATCATCATACCGAAAGGAGAGTCCATGGTCTTGTCTTTTGGTAAATTTCTCTTCTTTCTTTTGCTTTCAGTCTCTGGAATCAAATGAATCAAAAGATAAATCAATTTCCAAGTACATCAACTTTTTTACAAAATAGATAAAGTTCAAACTGTAAAAATCTGAACTGAATCAAATTTTCAAGAATTTCAACTGCAAGGAAATACAAGAATATTATTTGGAAATAAGTATGACAGAAAACCTACTAGAATTGTCAACACCATTTTCAAATGGCTTTGGTTGCATAGACTTGAGTCTCTTTGACTTGCCCCGCATCAATGGCATAGGAGAGATCGCATCAACCCTTGAGGCAGGATAAAGATGCTCATCTACCCTGCAATTGCTTTTCATACAGCTGTCAACCCACAAAACCGATACAAATTGAGCATTGTACTTATCAACATGATTAAGTGTGCTCTGTAAGCCATTTGAGAAAACCTTGAAATGGAAAAAAAGAAAGTATATATCAAAGTATAAGCCAATTGGTTTTTTAATTTTATGAAATTAAACTTTAAGGTTGTTAGTTTTTCTGTCAATTCATAGCAGAAATACATAATATCATTTTGCATTCTAATCCAAAAGACATCCTTTTGTCTCTGGCAATTCTCCAAAAAAACAGATTGAGCCTTGGTTAGTCTCTTGCTTCTATAAGTGTGGCATGAAAAGCTTTACAAGTAGTGTGATGTTGAAGCACATTAAAGTGTAGCAGGATCAGTGCTGCTCCAATTCCTATTGAATTTTTTTTATCAATGTACAATGTTGTCTATTATTTATACTTTCCAATTTGTATCTAGAATCACTTCAATGTCATAAATCAAGTAAGCACTAATCAACTAGCACACCACTAACATACTGATCCTGACCCAAACACTAACACCTGATCTTGTGTGTGGTTTCATATAAGAAACTCCCAACTTGCATTAGCATCCATCCAGTATTATGGATCCATCCCATGTTGCAATTTATTCAACTGTTATTTAATTAAATAAGTATAAATAAATCACTTCACAATATGAGTAAAATGCTTTAGAAAAAGATGTCAAAGTGCTTTTCTACCCAATACACTGGACAAGAAAGTGTTTTAGCTTAATAAAGCGTTTGAAAGAGTATTGTTGATATATCACCAATGTTTTATCATCTATTTAAAAGAGACAAATCTAGTAATAATTGTCTTTTCCTCAACTTGTCAATGAAGTTTCCAACATGGAGCTCACTTGTCTTACCAAATCTGGAACGAACATTCAATCCATGCTAACACATTTCCATCTCCTTTTTGCATTTTCTTAAGGCAAATTGATTAAATGATAGTGAGCCTGAATTGAAACCATAACAAAATCATTACATACAACTAAGCAAGAAAGAAAGAAAACATACCACATGGGTGATTTCTGGGATTAATTTCTTGACAACCTGAAAGATGCAAACAAATTCCATATATAGCATATATCTGTTAAACATTATTTCAAAATTTAGATTACACATCCTTGACAGCATAAAACACTTTTAACCAATATATGCAAACCTTTTAATTAGGTCAGCATTGTGCATTGCTAGTGGAAAAATATGGTTCAGAGTGAAGCAAACTTACTTAATTCTTAATCATAGACTCAGAGCTGGTAGGTTATAAGCAAATACAAAATGAAGAATTATTTACTTGAAAAAATTTCGAAATGAAAGCTAATCAAAAGTCAGGCAAACACCAAACACCTAAACTTACTGTGGCCCCAAGTCTCTCAAGGACCTTTCCAACTCCAGCAGACCTATTATCATGATTTGATCTGACATCAACAAATGCAATGACTCCTGTTTGAAATAAAATAATGCATTATTTGAAAAATTTAAATTCAAACAAATATTTAAGGTCAATCTGAAAATATTCAGTGTTATAAGATAGAAATTAGAAAAGTGAAAAAGGGTTAATCAACCTCACCCTCCAGAATTTGTTGTGTTTTCTCATTTAGCTGATCATTATCACAGTCACTGCCACTCTCTGTTTCTAAAAGCTCGTCATTTTTTGGGTATGATTTTCCTAAGCCACCACGTTGTAGTACTGGGGAGAAACATTCATCACCCTTTGATTCTAATGTTTCTCTTGGACTAAGTTCTGGCATTTTGAACTTAACTCTACGGGCATTTTGTTTTAAATTTGACTCTGAATTGCTATCTTGCTATGAAGCTTTATTTGAATTTGTGTTTGCTTTTTCCAAAGACAAATTTTTTGGCGAGTATCCAATATTGGTGGGTTCGTTGCACTTATTTTTCAAAAAAGATCCATCATTGTTGGATAAAATACTGTCTTCAATAAAGCTTCTAGAGAAAGCATTTTCAGCGCTGTTGCTACCAGATCCAGTATTTTTGGAAATAGTTCTTTTCACTGTGTCAGCTACAGGAAGGCTTTTGTATAATTCAGGGGTGGATGCAACGGGTTTAGATTGTTTCCATTTGACAACCAGATTACCTTTTGCCCCTGAAGGCTTTTCAATCGGGGAAATTTTAGAGTTCAGCATATTTGCAATCATTTTTTTACTTATTGCTACATCTGAACCCCTTCTTGATCGGCCATTAGACAGGCATCCTTTTGAAATTTTTAATTCACCGGAAGGTAACGAAAGTCTTTTTTTGTTTGGAGCATCACAAATTCGATTTTGGCCACCGTTGGAATGGATATGATCGGCCGGCGCTGTTAAAGAATTCTGAACTCCGATACGTTTTCTCTTCATCTCTGTTCAATCCAGCTTCATATAAATACTTGGTTTAAATACGATTGTTGAAGAGTTTCAAACTATTTCAAAGGTTTTGACCGGACAACCATCATAATCGCTGTGCAAACAGAACCACGGTATTAGGCCTGCTAAATGGCTTGTAATAATTTGCATGCTCAAAACAATCCACTTTACTTGCTTCACATCAACTCTTTATAGACATGAGTAAGAATCTTGACATATATTTCGAGAAAACATCTGCTATTGCAAGCTGAGAATCTCTGAGTAAATAAATTTCTTGAAACCGTCGAATAGACAACATCCAAAAGCAATAGCGTTTGCCTTTCGCGCCGTTATTCGTAAGGATCTGGGGGAGAAGATCAAAGGGCAGGATTGGGCAAGTTCAATGCGCCTTCGCACTGGACCCTGACGAAACCATGAAAAGGGGCGAACAATTTCGTCATAGTACATTAAGAGAAATTCTAGCCGTTGAGTACTACTAAGTGCTCGTAGCAATCGAGTTGAAAGATATGAAAAGATAAGTATTAAAGATGATAAGATAGAAATTTGGAAGAAATTGGAAAAAGGATAGAATTTAAGCAGAATTCTCGGCAGCAGAATTCAGACAGAGCAAACCAGATACGGATAAGGTACCTTAGACGCATTGCACTGAAAAACAGCCGTCACTACCCAAGACCAGTGGCAAAGTAGGCCCTGAGCATTTTCAAGACTTCTCAACAACACGACTCTTTGTTATATTTATCTATCCAATGTTTATCTTATTCTTTGTCCAATATGTCTCAAAACTGCTTAATTTTTTATTACACCAGGACGTATTACATATAAGCAACCAATATTACATATTTTGCTCATCTAAACTTTTTAACCTTCAAAGAAAACGAAATGAAGGTAATGCAGCTTATGATCGTTTGCAAATATAATACTTTCAGTGAATAACTGTGATTCAAAAATGCCTATTTTGCTCAAAAAGGAAGAGTGATGACAGTTCTCGCATCTTCTTTTATTTCTTTTAATTAAACTTTTAAAAACAATTTCTTGAAGGCTTTCATTTCAACTGGAAGAAAATAATGTAAAAAAGCCACAGATATAACTATTGCGTGATATATAACGAATTTCTACAGATAATCGCAATAATGACAATAAAACACTAAAATTATCTCAAATTGCAGCCAACAATAATACAGAATATCTTGCATCGTGATATTAGCATTTCATAAATACTATGTTCTCAAAGTCATACACTGGTACATTTCAGTGGGCGTAATATTGGAAGGGTGTATAGGGATATGTCATGAGCCATAGCATATGTAAACACAAAAGATAGTTTTAGACAGCTCAATAACTTCATTTTTACTCTTCAAATTGATGCACTTTTTCAAGGATTTTGAATTAATTGCTTTTATAACAGTAGGTTATACAAACATCAAAATTTAGGGTTTCTAGGGGAAACTACCCTCTGGCTCCCTGATATGCATGGCCTTGTTCCTTCTTTGTTTAAGATGAATAATCAGAAGTTAAATTCGGGAAATATCATCAGTAAACTACTGGACTAAGCTTTTGGAAGTGTACTCTACCTATATCAAGACAATACAAATTTGTTCTTTTCCACGTTATCATAAACCTACCTTAACATGTTAATAAACAAAATTCAGATTGAAATTCCAAGCAATAGTCAATTTTGGCAAAATCACATAAAAACGCTTGTGTAGAATGTCCTTTTGCTACGCTAAAAACGATTATCGGCTCTAAGAGGAATCATAGCAACCACATCGAATCAGTCAGATCGGGGAAACATTAAATGAAAATGCCTCGATTTCGACTCAATGATTTCGTCAACTTGCCTATTTAGAATACAGCAAATTTTTCATCCTTTCTTTGGTCAATAAACAAAACTTTGTCAGATTTCATCAGAAAACAATAAAGTAGGGCATAGTTTTTGGTGTAGTTGATGTAAATCTTTTGTTTTCAATCTCCTTTCTAACAGTTGTTATCCGTGCAACCCCCACTCTTTCCGGATTCCGTAACTACTTATCTATATGCTATAATTTATCTCTACATTCTTTATGAAATAGTTTTCCATAAATGTACTAACCACGTCTCGTAAAATTCAATTTCATTTCAATCAAAAGAGCTAGGAACAGGGCTATGAAACCTAAAATAATAAAGATCAAAAATGATTTTCTCCAGAGTTTAATTCCTCGTGCCCCTTCTCCAGCAGACTTTTCATCGCATTCAGGTCTGATTTCGTCTTCTTCCGCAGATTCCATAGGACCGGTTGGCGAGCGGTCGCTTTCAGAGAGATCCTCATCCGTGACCGCTAAGGAGGTGCGTGACGCATCCAATGGCGGTTCTGGCGGGAATTCGCTAGTTTCGAATTCTTTGAGGTGGTCGACTTGCCTCTCATCTGCCCTCTCTTTATCGTCATCTCCATTTGAGACATTCAGGTCTCGTTGTCCAGACTCAGTTGTAGAGAAAATCTGCGATGCACGGTCATCAAGCGCAAAAGAATTGCGGCTCTGCTGTGCACTGGTTTTCCGTGATGTCACCATGCGGATGCTCGGTGTTCTGAAGGGGGAAAAATATACTTCAAATCATGTGAACGAAGATCATTTAAAATTAGGATCAATTTAAGAAATAATTCAAGATAAGGATTAGCTGGATAAATGGCTAAAATAGCAGAAAAATGGCTATCGATTTGAGATCTTCATTACTTTCGATTCTTTGTTTCGAAACAGTCAATGTTTAGGTTCGTCTTAAAAACTGCCAGTAGTAGCAACAAAAATGAAAAAACAGTAAACATTCATTAAGTTAATGTTCATTTAGACCACGTGTACATAGCTTAAGAACTTAAGATAAATAATTATGTCTTTCAATTGGAGATTTTATATTCATATATTTTATATTGGTATATTGACAATTTTGTTTTCATCAATACCAATTTATTTCGGCTTTAGATTAGGCTTCGAAAAAGATATGTTTGCCCCTTTCATTGCAAAAAAATGTTTTGAATTTCTCTACTTGCTTATTATAATGAATGAACTGACGAAAAAATCAGAAAAAACACTGCCTAAAGTGATAAAAATAAATAGTAAACACCAATTGTTAAACGGCACAAATGAAGTAGCAAAAATGGATTTAGGAAGAGAAGACTACACACCTTGAAAAATTAGGCTGGATTCTATGGATCTTCTCAACTTCAAGGTTGATCTGAGATTCTGTTTTCCCACTAAATTCAACGAAAGAATAAATTAACAACAGAAAACTGATGAAAAGGACTTTTAAGTGTTGATGCGGAAAAGGAGTTTAGACTCACGTTGTTGATGATATTTAGGGACAATACTTTCTCATTATAATTAGGGACACGACTTGTCTGAAAAATCATTAGCTTTAAAAATCTGAAAAAATTAGCAATTACCTGTAAGTGTATTTTTTTCTTTTGAACAGATTCTGTGGCGATAACGTCGATCTCTTTGCGTGTTGAGCTTTTACTGAATCCCCACTGATGAAGAAAAAGGGGATATTAAGATGAAACATATCCATCAGATAGGAAAACAATAAGCAACAAATATTACAACATTACAGGAGGAATTACATGAGGAGTATTTAAAACGAGATTGCATACCCATAAAAGGCCATCTGTTCAATGGTGCATTTCCAAAGATGTTTGCAACCTGGGGCATCGTTCAGTTTGAACGAGTAGTTTGTCTTTTTCTGGAAGGAGAAAACGATATATAGATAACTTTTTATGAGTGGAATCAACTGGGGCCTGCCATGTGTTCGACCTTGGCAGTATTCGACTTGTCAATAGATCGAATTTCTGGATGCATATAAAAACACGCTTTAAGGTATAGAACAGGACAATTTTAAGTTGCCATTTTCAGTTTCACGATTAGTGTTGCCATCAGGCAACAACTAGAGATCAATTTCCCAAGGTGCCGTGTGTTTTTGGGTTTTTAATGACGCTCTCGAAGTAAGCTTACTCAGCTTTGTTTAATAATTTTTTAGCTTCGTACTGGAAATTCGACTTGCTTGATTGAATATTTATCATGATAGTAATATTCAAACTGCCTGAGGTATTAATTTTGATTAAAGATATTCGATTCCTGATTCAAAAACTTTGACATAGGGGAAAAGCGTAAATGAAAATTATAAGACAAAATCATTTTCTACCTATTTTACTTCGACATATGCCGAGTTTAAAGTAAGCAACGCTATTTGCATTGTTAAAGGTAATATGTCCATATAAAAGGACTGTGTATACCCAACTTGTCAAGCCACTCATTGAAATAATGGCTTGCGATTGGTAAGTATTCTTGCGATGCAAAACTGCTTACATGAAAAGCTAACCTCGCAGTAGGGTAAATAAACAGAACGACCGTTATGGCTGGGGCGATGATATGAAAAATCACATGTTCCTGAAAACTCCCGCAGAGCCACTTGCTTTAGCTGGACACATTACCTTTAAGATCGATTTGATTTTATGTCAATCACATCAAGCAAGAGAGAACAAACCAGAATGATTGGTCGGCTGTTTTATAGTCCTCGAAAAGGGACTGGTGCCATTACTATAGTAGAGAGGTTTCAATAAAAGATAACTAACATAGTTACAACTTAAGGTGCAAAGAATAACGTCTATACCTTGTCTTTTAGGGTCTGTATGTAAAAAGCTTTGCTGTCATATGTGACCTTGTGAATTTCACCCCTGTAAACCAAACTGGGTTATGAGAAACTAATAACAATAAAAATATTCATATTTTGTCACAAAATCATCTGACTATAAATTTTAATACAACTAATCGAAAATCCAGAAAATTATTTGTGCTTACCGGCACGTTAAATTTTATAGTAAACAAAAATAGTATAATATAGCAATGTATTGAAAAATATAAATTGAAATTTTGAATGAATCTGACAAGGTTATAAATTCTGGACCTGAAAGGTTTTACTTGTAATTCTAGGGACAACAGTCAATACCAATTTTGAATCATTAGGTAACACCGTCTGAGGAAAAGCATGAAATTTTAGATGACAACAGGAAAGCGTCTAGTTGGGTGACAATAAAATCAGTTACATCAATACATCACTTTCGATACACTGCTTGAAATGAATCCATTCGTAAAACCGTCTAGTGGCAAACACGATGATAAATGCTTATCAGAGGTTCTGCAGCCAAGTTAAGTTCCTTGATCAGGAAAGTGACAGGGATGTGCAGCAAAACCTTTTGCACCCTCCCCCTGTTTCATAAGAAATTGCCAAAAGCATACCCTGTCCCATAAAAAGTATGCAAAAAGTTCGATACAATAATGCCAAAATTTACCAGATCTTATGATATTTACAACTTGCAACTTTTAATGCTTATTCGAATACCCTAGATAACAGAGTAAGCTGTTCTCTCATATTACTTCCTTATTTTCTTTTAAATCATACCATGTTCTAGAATTTTGATGTAATTCGTAATACCCTGTTCCACTTACCAAGGAAAACCAGAAACTCGTTTTGCATCTCGTATAACCTGTATGCCTTGAGGCGTGAGTCCAAGATAAAGCTGAGCATCGTCCTGGTCCTGTTAAAACAATAAAGCTTTTACCAACATGCAGTATCACTGGCAATTTGATCTTAAGAGACTAAGGGTTTATTAAGGAGGACTGTAATTTACAAGTTCAGCATCGTCGATCGAAGCAGAGGTGAAACCAGTTTAAGCAGTACGGTTAAAACCTGGTTAAAAATAATTTCTTTGATTTCTATTCTAAATTTTAATGAGCGCAATATTTTGTATCTCTTACGAAAAATGAAAAATGAAAAGTGCAAAACCTTTCAACTCCATACGATAAATGAAAGCTGCAAATAAGAAAATCAAGAATATTATAATAAAGCTGTCTTGTAGATTTACTTCTTTGTTGATTGCAAGAAAACAAGAGTATAGCTGAAGTTCGGGTGTACCGGATCAGGATTTTCAGAATCCGGCCGGAATCAGATTTACCGGATTTCTTCATGGAATATCCGGCCGGATTTTACCTGATAATCTGGCCATTTATGGATTTTTCAGTAATAAAAAGTTTTGAGCTACTTTGCGAAAAAATGTATAGTGAGATAATAAAAGGCGCTTGTTTTATCATAAAAATGTTATCGTCAAGTTAGTGTAGTTATTTTTTTATCGATTTGAAACATGAATTTGCTGTTTCAAGCTTGTAGAGTTTGTCAAAGTTCAAGAGTTATAGACGTTGAAAAATTGTGTCACTTTGTGCTGTGTACGGAGCAAAGTCAGCTACTCTGATAGCTTTTCGTAAGCTGCGTTTTAGAAGATCTAAGGTTGATATGTTTGCACATCAACTTACACTAACATTTTTGAAGAGAAGCGATCAAGACTTCTTCCAAGGAATGGCGAGAAGTTGCTTTTCTTGCATCACAATCTGGGACGATTGTAGCTTTTTTATGTTTGACTGTTTTTATGTTTGACTGCCGATTGGGACGCTTCTTTTTAACTTTTAAAACTTCGTTCAAGTTTGTTCTATTGCTTTTAATTTTTGTTGTTCTTTGTATTTACACTTTTATAACTTGTTTTCTCTAGAAATTTTCTTAGCTATGATTAAAATTCTGGAAAATCCGGCAACTGGCCGGATTTCGGAAACAAATCCGGCTGGAACAGGATTTTCAAAAAATCAGCGATCCGGCGGCGGATTATCCGGCCTACCGGATATCCGGTAAATACCTAAGCTGGACCTTCTAACTTTGCTCAAAACTTACTCGACAAGGGTGTGGGTCGACTCCATACAGATCCATTTCCTTAGCTTTATCTAAAAACTTTTCCTCTGCCAGCACGGGCGTCGTTCCACTGCAAATTAAAAAAACATTTCACATTTAATCATTGTACAGTAAGCCTGCGAATTTGCCCACTGGGGGCTTGCTAATTAAAGCAGTATTCATATAGGGGATTATGCGAGAGGGCTAAAACATCATTATCTTATTGCCACAAATAGCTCATTTTGTAGCTTTTTCAAGTTCAATTTGTTTGAAAATGATAAATAAATATAGAGTATAGTTATAAATAAATGTAAGTAACACCCTCTTTGGAAAATGTCAAACCAAAGTATTATTTAAAGCACAAAAGATATCTTAGTTCAAAATATTGACAAGTTCATTGTAAATCGGCGATCTCTTCATTTGACGGGCAACGTCTCGTTAATTTTGGTTCTTTATTCGCCGCTAAATGCTTCATCAATCATGTTGTATCTTTGAATTGTACGCGCAAAAACTAGCATTTTGGCGGGGGGCGGGGTCTTATGCCTGGATAGGGGTTATCAAAAATGTTCACTTCCAGGGGTGGGCGTTATTCTTAGGGGGGAGCTTTTACGAGGGGGGGGGGCAAGATAAAAAGTAATCCAAGGAAATGATAAAAATGTGAAGACAACTCAATTTGAACCCTGTTTACAAACACTACCGTGGAAACTAGAAATACGACAAATCAATATGAAAGCAAATCATTGCCAATGAAAGTATCTGGTTGGAGAAAACCAAGTAGCAGCATATATTATCTCATAGCTTATGTTTTGATGCATTTCAAACATTCAAATATTCGAAGAAAATTAGCATTTCTGTAGCCGCTTCAGACAATATTGTTTTCTATTCATTGCAATTTTAGCAACATTTAAAAACGTGAATAGCACATTAACTTGACAAAATTTGACAGAAATATGGAAGTAATTAAGAACAACGATTAATTGGAGAAGAAGAATTATTTGAAACAAGTTTTAACTAGCTGAAAGGATTTTAAATGGCTTGAATATAAAATTCAGTTTGATAAGATTTGATTTTTTCAATTTAATATTATGCAGACAAATAAACAAACAAACAAACAAACAAACAAACAAACAAACAAACAAACAAACAAATATAAATAAACAAACAAACTCGGAGCTGAGCAAACTAAAGTTACCTCAAGGCTTTGTGGATTTCTGCTATTCTATCTTCTAGTTTTTCCGTCTAAAATAAGATCGTCGCACTGAACATATTTGGGTGACTTGGACAATATAAATCACGAGATAGTTGTTCTCTTTCTAGAAAAATTTTGCGTTTATTGCGCTCCTACCAGTCAACAAAGTCTATCAAAGGGCGCGCAACTCAATGAGAACTGCCAGCTTGCATTTTTAGAATCAGAAAATCCCCAAGGTAAGCATGTTAACGTCGCAGAAATGAAGACTTAGTCGAAAATATTATTGAAACATAAAGTTTATAAGATTGAGTGAAACATTAAGTACTCATACAGGGCAATAGTAGAATCATTAGGCAAGGTCATCTTTTCAAAAAATACAAATTTCTGTCAATAGAAAGAGTTCATTTTTCGCTTAGGCTCACCTCTTTGTGAGGGTTAAAAGACAAGCATGTTATTATTTCAATTCATTTATTGTCTCAAGTCACTGTCAATCCCACACCGGATAGAAACTCATATTCACAATTTTTACCAAAGTAATAACTTTTCATCAAAATCTGTAATTTAGACGACCAGAAAACGTCTCTTTAAGTTTCATCAGTCGGGATCGGCAAAGTCTTTGATTAGGGAGATGCTCGATATTCGTAAATATCCTGCGTCAGTCATAAATGAGACTGTCGTAAAGGGAATAAAGCGAAACCTATAATTAAATATAAGCGTTTTCGGTTTAAGGGAAATGAATTCAAATGATATTATATGCATGCTAAAATATTTGGTCATTCAAAAGGCACCTTGCAAGCAACCAAACATCAAAGTTGGACCTCTAAAGAGATTGGCCAAGCTGTGACTGAAGACACCGACAAACATAGCGAAATCGACAAAAGTTCGAGCAATAACAGGTGCAAGCACAACGGGATCACGATTGAATATGAATTGACGCGAGCAGTGTTGACAAACAACAGATGAAAAGAGACTTGAAAAGAACACAGGAAAGGTCTAAGAAATAATCATCTACGCAGGATCTTGCTTGTAAACAATGTTGGATGTCAGACAATACAATCAACAATATTATAAAATTAAGTTTCACTGATTAATAATTAAACCTGAATCAAATTTTTAAGGATTTAGCATCCTTTTTCTTGGTTCTGTAAAGACCTAGTATATACGCTATAACTAAAAGAATGATTGACCAAAATAATCAGTGATAAATTCAGTCCAGTTGCTGATGTATTCAAGAGACATCCATTTAAGACTATTCGTGAGACAAAATGGTCTCCACATTTGATGATACAAAATATGGTCTTAAAAGGCTGTAGACTGAGAGATCTGCTTCCAAAAAGAAATGCTAATTAATCTTTGTTGCTAGACTAGGAATGACTAATTAATCGGCCAATTACAGTTTAATTGCAAACAGCCAAATTCGCACAGCATAACTTTTCGTAAAGCATGGATAGCTTCAGTAGACAACAGAAACCTGAGATATTGTTTCAATAGGAGCAAAGTATGTATGAAATAAGAGCTGATTTAAACTGGAATATAGAGACGAAATAGAAAAAGATCACATACCTGCCTTGGTAAAAGTTTTATACTACTGATGTAATTCCCTTGGTGCTCAGTTTCATCAAAATCTCCTGCTTCAGCTACAAATACAATAAGAGCAAACATTGGCCTAGGAGAAATATTTTTGGCTTGAAATTGTCAAAACAATAAATTTTTTAGTCCAAAGCTACTTACCATACTTACAGACAGAAAAAACAATGATCAGATGAAAAGAGCAAGTATCGAATACTTCTATTAAACTTTTTTTCTGTAAAAGAGTGATTTTTTTACGAATACCCAGGGTGACAATAAGGTCTGTTTGACACCATAACGAACTAGTTCTAATTCATTTGTAATAGAAACATTTTATAATACTCATTAAATGCTAGCTAGCTAATTATGAATGTAATTTACTATTTACTACATAAAAATATAAATTTCTTCTATTGGTAACCTTCAATTTCGATAATAGAAATATTTCGCTTTGAATCTATGATTGGATCATATGAATATATGCGATAGGAGCAAAATATCATTTACTGGTATACATTTTTTAAACAAATTATTTCCCTTCTTTAAACAAAGTTGAGGAATCAATCATCTAATATACAAAAATTAGTACAGTACCTTGAACAATGTGCGCAGCCAATTCCGTAATCTCAGTAAAAGGACAAAGAAGCCTAAAAAACGAAAGACATGTTTTTGCTCAATATGCTACATCATTATGCCACAGAAATTGAAAGTTGGACCCTTGAAAACAAGGCAGGGATAATTGTATATGTAGCAAATAAGAAACACCGCAATACGCTGAAAATAAACAACAATAAATACACGTAAATCAGTGAAATTTTTATCTACTTTTCGCCGCAAGAACTCCTTGGAGCCCGTCGAGCAGCCTGCTACAGTGACCTTTTCTTCATTCACACATAATTATATATACCTACAACAACCAGTACCATACTACTGTACACCTATTGACAATTGGATATTTGTCAATTTGTGCTATACATCTTTGCTCCCCCATTACTCGTGCGGAATTACCTCGAAGGCATTATAGCAGGAGAGCTATCAACATTGAACAGGGCAGTAAGCCTCAATAGTTTTTTAGAAAATTTCTGTCTTGGATGATAAGATAAAAAATCAATTATCCTATTCATGTATAAAACTTTTCGGGATGAGCTGATTGGGCATTAAAAATCGACATTTGGAAAGTTGCAAAACTGAGTGAAGGAACTGCTAGCAATAAATAAAGCACTTAGCTAACGTTAGTTTCAATTCGATATCAGGGAGAAAATATCGTTCTTGACCTTGAAAAAAATTTCCAAAACCATGTAAATTTATTTATTGTTGATTTTTATTATTGTCCATTTGGGCTACCCGATAGAAGGATCTTACTTGCAAAAACGATTTTAGCGGTCAGGGCCTACTTAAAAGATCTACAGTATATTTACATTTGGTTTTGAGATACACTGAAGTTTTTTCCATTTCAATACTTTAAAACATCACAAGCTTATGTACAAGTAGATAAGTGTTTAAGTACTTAAATATTGGTTTCTACCTTGCATCCGGCGGTAGTATTTTAGGTCACTGGGAAGCTAAGCTTATCGAGCAGCGTCCTGGTCTTTTCTCTCGATGTGATCACATTGCATGATTTCTACGCCTGGATTTGCAGAGAGCTGGCGACTCTCCTCACTAACAGTAAAAGTTTTGTTAGGTTAGGGACTCAAATCTTAGACCCTTGGATCTGTAGCCTGCTACCCTAACCACTTAGCCAACATATAATTCATGGAAAATATTATTTAGATTAATGTTTGTACAAGAGGACTCACCTTCCATGGAGAATATCTCTTTTTAATTGCAAAAACAGCTGGTACCTAAAACAGTAGGATATCCAAAATCAATATTATGATAATCTCTATTTGAGATATAAGAGAAAAGCAACAATGAAATCAAAGTTAAAAAAACCACTGAAATCTCAAACAGTCGGCTGTAGACCAGTGAAATCAATACAAAGTTTTTGCGATAAGAGATTTCTTCATTCTTTGTGAACCTTCTCAAGTTAGGAAATTTTAGTTAAACTGTGGCTGGTCTTCAAATAATTGCACTTTGTGGTACAAAGCTAAACTTCAAAAAAATTATGAAAATTTCTTGTTTTGAGTATTTGCATTCTTTAAACAATACTTTTGAGGGACTCGCTAAAAGAAACATAGGTGTTTAAACGTTTTTCAAATGCTTATGGATTTAACATCTGTGAGCAAGTTATACCGAATTTTGGGCTCCAGATAAGATAACCCTTTTACAAAAGAGAGATACAATATCTCTTTGGATCTTCTTGTGGAATGGTACTGTTCTGTTTTGCTAAATAGCTCCGAGCAATACGTGATGGCGAACAGCCTCTTAAAATTTAAAAACAGCAATATTGGATTAGGGCATTTAACAGCAACCTTAAGATTGTGCAAAAGAAAAATTTGTGTTCTATGTAGGAAGGCAACTCGGTCATTTATTTTTGGCGATATTTTCGTTGTCATCGCTTTAATTTTCATACAACCAAAGAATGTAACTTGAAAATGTTGCGTAATTTGAATACCATTTCTATTAATAGAAAGTTTGTAGGTATTTATTTTTGTGGCGTGAAAAAAGAATACATTTCGTTTTGATATCAAGACAGTGAATTTTTAGCATATATTCTAGCAATAACTCGCAAGGAGAGTCGAAACTTGTGTATATTAAATGGATTCGTACATATTTACAGTTTGTACATTTTTACCCTTAATACTAAGACATGAGTCATCTGTGTATAATAAGAGATGGCAATCAACTGCTTGCAGCATGTTGTTTTTCATACAGAAGGAATACTAATGGACCAAGAATATACACCTGTGGGGCTTTGCATAAAAGATTGCCAGGATTAGAGCATTGACCATTTATGTTAACTGAAAATGTTCGGTTTTGCAAATACGATATAAACCATCAAATACGGGTAAACATGAACAAATTTACCAAGAAATATTTCATGCTCTATAATGTCGAAGGTTTTATAGTGGTCATATAGAATTTATGCCTGTGTGCCTACTATTTTTAAATCCTTTGAGAATTTTTATCAATAGTATTTTTCAATAGCAAGCTTGATCTCTAATGTTCTCTAAATGCCATAGCAATTAAGCTAGACATTGTGAACAGAATTTATTAATAGATGTTCAGAAAAATGAACAGCTGGGGCATCCAATTTTGGGTAGACTAGGCACCTGCCGCCATTATGTTTTATTATGACTCAAAAATATCCAGCATGGCTTCAAATCATGTTATCTCAAACATACAAATTTATTTTTCAACTTAACTTTTTGCTTTTTTCTCTTTCTATTCTTTGACAAACTCAATGCAGAATGTTTATAAAATATGATTAAAGTACTGCAGTTACAACTAGCAGCTTATATAACTGCCTGGCTGCAAATTGGAAAATCTATCTGAAAGACCTGAAAGGAGATGAGGAAATTAGGAGACAAGGGTCTCTATTGAACAGGACAATGACACTGAAAACTGAATGCCTAAATTTAAGAAAATGTTTCAGTATGGAGACCGATATGGCTTGTATATTGTACAAATCTTTCTCGGGGCATTTGTTTCCTTGATATACAGTAAGGAAAACAGCTGCTAAAAACTTTTCAGAAAATAAATTTGGAAAATATTGCATTGTAGCACAAAAAACCCTATAATTGGCATTTACGAATATGCTATAATAACTATCATGAGACTATGCTGAAAGATCACAAGTGACTAAGGCCACTATGCGTTTATGGTTCACAACATAAGTTTTGTCCCAAAATGTTAAAAGCTTAGGTTGTTTTTGTGGTATGTAACTTTTTGCTGACATAAATTGACATAGCATAAAAACATTATTAAGATGCCATGGGCTTATCTAATGATGGTGGTTCTAGAGGGGGCTTAAAGGAAAGGGGTCCAAAACAGAAGGGCCTAGTATATGTGTTTACCTGAAAAAAGTCTTAAATTTAAATGCATGACTTCGGAAATCAGAAATATTACATACCATGAAAAAATCACAATCTGCTGCTAAGCCTGTCTTTACTAACCTTCACGTGGAAGATATCCAGGGGTGTTAACAGGGGGAAGTGTTAAACAGAGGTTTTTCTTTATATTTAATTTTTTTATTTTTAGACCCTATGAAAACCTCATTATTGATAAAGGTGTAGTTCTGTCTAGCTTTTTTGACCCAGAAACACCCCCAAGTATTAAGTAGAAGGTATTCCTTGATTTAATGGTGACCCACCTTGTTATCTCTTCATGAAGTTTTGAGGGATTAGTTGGGTAGAACCTTACTCTGAAGAAAAACATATATGGCTGTCTTGTATCTGCAATACAAATTAGGTAAAACATTAAAATTTCAGTTGATACATGTAAGAGAATTTTCAAAATATAAAAGCTCTTGCTTGGCAAATTATTTACACCAGTGCTTTATTGGACTTATTCTAATGTCTAAATTTCAATGTTGGTCTTCCAATAACAATTGTGATAAGAATTGTTGGATGGCAGCTGTTTGGGGCAACAAGAGTAGGGGCAATGAAGAGAAATAATTGATTCCTATGCCCATTGCAGATGATCCAAGAATAGTAAATATTTGACTGAGATGATACAGATTGATACAAGAGTACAAGGATTTCATTTGAAGCCGGCAGCCAGCTATAGTTTGCCACTTATTCACCAAACCTTCCTCACCTACTTTCACCCTCACTTCAGTATAACTGCACAAACTTTAGTAAACTTTTAGATGCCTACTGTTAAAAGCGAGCCTTCTACTTCAAGAATTACTAAAAACCCAGAGAGTATGCAATCAAAGATCTAGAAATAACTATAAATATATTCCCAAAATACTTACTTTTCAGCTGCTTTGAAAGCTCTCTGTTCAATTCAAGCCAATGCTAAAATTAACAAAAATGGGACAAGTTTAGACAGGTCCACATCTATTTTTTATAAGAAACAAATGTTGGCATAGAGTCCTCCAGTTTCGTTATGCTATGGCATATTTCTGTACTCTTTGTTTTTTAAAGGTGTTAACATAGCAATTTTAATGCATTGAAAAGTTTTCATTTCATATGAGATGCTTCTCAATTAAGAAGATGAGTTTTTAAATTTTGCTGTGAAGAAGTTGTGTTGTCTTTTTCTATGTCTTAAGTTTTATGGAAATCATCCAAGTACATTGATTTTCAATCAGCTTTTTAGCTTTGAGTACTTAAAATTCTTAATTTTTCTGAATATGCAGTTTCTTATATCAAGCTTTTTATAAAAACTGATGACTTTCAAAGGAAAGGAACTTGGCCCTTTCAATAATTTTGAAAAACCAGCTTTTTAAAGGAAACATACCCTGACAACAAAAACTTTCATGTTTTGATAGTATTTCAGACAGCAAAAAATCAAACTGTAGCCACCTAAAGACTAGCAATGCTCAACCTGCCTGTGAAACATTACACCCTATCAGACATTATATAGCTAAAATATCTTGTGTGCCTTTACAAGCACAAGATTCATAAAAGGCTGAGCAGTTGTTATTGTACAAAGTTGTCTGTGCCTAGCCATATGACCAAAGATAAATTAACAATAGATCTAGAAACATTACGCCAGAGCACTTATCAAATCCAAACAAGTAGCTGACAGGTCTATACACAACCCTTGAGAGACTTATCAAATGCAGCTTGGGTGTAAATGGCTGTAAAACTGCTAGCACATAGAATATACTTGGCCTGTCAAGATAGACCCTTGTGCAGCTTGGGCATGACAGACCAGGCGCGGATCTAGCCAAAATTTTGACCGGTTTTGGGGTGCTTCACCCCATTACAGCCCTGTGTGTTATTGCTTCATAAATATTGCTAAAAGTTTTTAATGGGGTTAGCAACTTTAAAAGGAATTAATTTGCCGACACTTTATCTGAAATATCACAATTTTACTCTGTTTAACATGGCCTTTGATCCTCTTCTTGCAACTTCGATTCTAATTTTCATGACTTTTTTTATTCTCATGGATATTGATATCGAATATGTTTTTGAGCCACTGGTTTTTTCGCAGAAGGGAAACATATGGGCACCGGTTTTCACAGGTTTTCAGAAAACAATAGCCACCGGTTTCAATATTGGTGCATAGATAGCATACCCCAGACTGTCACTTAGAGTGGCGACTGATTTCCTCAATTTTGATTTCCTCAGAAACTTTGGAATAAAAGATGAATTAGGAAGCTGGGAACTCTGTCTGAATCTTGTGGGGGTTCAGTTCAGTATGTAAACAGAAGAACTGTAGTCAGTCAGGGAGAAATGCAGCAATTGTTGCAATTGAAATTTTAGATAAAAAATTCAAGATTTACAGAGAAACATAGCTTTTGAAATTTGACCGGTTTTTTTAAACCTGTGCAACCGGTTTAGATCTGCGCCTGCAGACCATCTTTTATTGAGGTTGAAAAGTCAAATAGAATCTATCAAATTAGGCTTACAAAACATTTAGGAAAATTGTTTCCCATTATAAACTCAGGTAGGATAATTTTTGAAAAAACAGTAGAACTGGGTCCAATATCCTGCCATAAAACTTTTTCATTAAAGTATCTGAGATATTGAAAATCAGAATAAAGGATGGGAGATTTAATGTTTTTGACAGTTCAAATTAATCTCTTCTTTATCTGACAAACAACAGAATGCTTTGAAATGGGTTCTCAGCCAAAAATAGCCTGCAACTCTGAACAAAGCTTTCACTTCAAAAAGTAAGGTACATATGTGATCAACAATGTTTTTTTTCAAGTTGCCAACTGCCACGTGGCTATTAATACTAGCCAAAGCAATAAAAAAAGAACCATCTGCAAGGTAATCATTTCGATGGACAGCTGCTAGGTAGTAGCATAGCCAAGGTGGTATGATTGGGGGTGGTAAACAAAGGCGAGTTGAGAGGGGAAAATGGGGTTCCATGCCCTTCAAAGAGTTTGTTTTGTCGTTAGGGAGGCCGTCAACCCCCTATTGTCTCCTAGCCTTCCTGCCTCCTTCTAACTATGCTACTGCTGCTGGGCAAGCAAATAACTATGGATTGCTGCAAAGATTAAGCAGAGAAACAAAAATGTCCAGGTTTACATTTCAGTGAACTTACTCTTTGCTTGCTGTTATCAACATATCTGAGTCCAAAATAATCCTTTTCAATCAGGTCCATCTCTTTGCAGACAAATGAAAACACATCCTCTCCCTTTGCATCTTTCTATAAGGCAAATTAGAAGGAATCATTGTAAAACACAAACAATGTCTATGACAAGGATTTTTATACTGATGGCTTTGTGCCATCTTGATTTAGCGTTTGGACAATAGCACCGCTTGTCTCTATCATAGCCATCAACTGATATCAAATTATAATTTCTCATGCTCAAAATAATAATTTTCAGTAATTTTATAGGTATAAATATTTAGTCTATTGTGATTTACTTTGGAGCTTCATTCATGGTGATTATAGCAAAGAAGTGAAATTGTGGTTTGAAAAATTAACTGCTGCATCTGTAAAACAAAATTTATGATTCACTGTTCCATAACAAAAAGGTCACTTTTTCATGAAAAAATGAGGCACCTGAACAAAAAATATTTTTACAACTCATTAATAAGACATACTGATTATATCAAGAGAAAACAAGCTTTCATATTTTTATGGAAAAACAATTTTACCAACTATTTTTAGAATTATCAAATAGCTTTGTTTTCATGGGTGGGACTTCAGACAATGGATTCCTGAAGAGATTCAAAAATTGTCTTACAATTCAGAAGAAATTGTGCACAAATGGGACTTCAAAAGCTTTTGGCTATGAATTCCTAATTACAGGCAAATTCATGGGCGTACTTTTTCTCTAGCAATTTCATCATCATTAAAAACCATGCCCGTGTCCAATAGAATCAACTGACAGGTAAGAGGTAGGGAATATTTCTTACAGTTCAGTCATCGTCTCGGCCTTCTTTGAAGAAATTAAAGTGAAGTTCAAGCTTATTTCACTAATTAAATATACTTTTGCACAGAGTGAAGAGAGCGTAGCGTAGGCCTAATATCAGAAGTGTTCGATCCAAAAGTGTAATCGTATTTCTTCTTTCCAACACAAAGTACTGATGTTTCTTCCTTGAACGGTTCTTGTTCCATATTTAACTATAATTTATGTACAGAAAATTTTGTACTGTCAGCGAAATAAGGGCATGCCTCATGATTCTCATTTACTGCATCAATGTTGGTAATCTAACAAGGTAAAGAATCGAAACGGAAATTGTTCATCATACCTTAAAATCGCACGATAGTTCCGAGTCATCTAACAATCGAATCTTGCAGCAATATTCCGCATCAAGCTCTTTAGATCTACTTCGCCGCATCTTAAAACTAAGAGATATATGCAAAAGTTCCCCAATGAGAGTTCTCAGCTGCAACGGTACGGTCTGGTCATTAGCTTTTTCTGCAAGTTCACAGCAAAGTGAGGAAGCAGATGCACTACAGATGAACAGAACCGCTATTGTACTTCAACAGGTTAGAGAGTTCACCTGCATATTACACGCGGGCAATCCGCGTTTAATATTTACCTCGGCAAGATGTTCTCCACACAACAAACACAGTGTTGCTAATCTTGCATCCTTTGAAACTTGCCCAGTTGCAAAACAAAAATTCATCAAAAATTAGACAATAAGTTTAAAATATTTACAATGTGATTAATTTTCGTGTCTATTTAAGAGTTTTATATGCAATAAATTTTTCGCATTTGCGCCGCTTTTTTACAGAATGCTGCAAATTGCCTAGATTAATGTTGTTAAAAATATATTATGTTTTGCCAGCTTTTCCTTAAAAGGACAGTATTAAACGTATTTATCGATTGAAACATTTTTAAGCAAAAATTAAATTTAAACTCCTTGCTTTATTACCAGTAATCAAACTAGTGTCCGTTCATTTTTTCCTAATAAATAACTATCTTTGGTGGTATAAAAATTAAAAATCGTTTTGAAAAACAATTATATAACTTAATAATGATGAAATTTGATGCAGCTTCTTCTGAAGCAAAAACTTTTTCTATTAGATGCTGAAAATAATAACAAAAGAGCAATTTATACAGGACAAACACTTCAACGGCTACAATTGCTGTTAGCACTGTCTTATTTCCCAGACTTAAGCAAAACTATCAGAAATCTATTACAATTAAAAACTCAGAAAACAATCTAATATGAATAAAATTTATACAACCTATTTTACATCGAGATGAAATGTTTATTATGTATTAACATTATATCATTCAAAGTGATTTTTGAGTTCCTTTGACACATTCCTTGTGCATCTCAACCCGAAGTGTGTGTGTAAAGGTACACTTTAGCACCCGTATATAAAAACGACTTTTGTGCAGGCATGAAGCCAGCACTGAAAAAGTAGACGCGGGCAACAGGGGCGAAGCCAAAAAGCTTCTTCGAAGGGGTGAGTGCTTCCACTTTTTGCTCAACTGATTTCCCGAAAAAATCCTTATATTTACGCAAAATCCCTTCAAAAATGCACAACAAATTCCTTCCAATTTCCCTTTTACTTGACTTATAAAAATTAGCGACCTTCGTCTGTTATATTCGCTTTCAACTAACTCAAGAAATTGTTCCTAGAGTTGCCTTGAGCACACGAGGTTTGATTAAGTTATTTTCTTTAGCCTAGTTTCGAAACTCTTCCCTTGTCTAGTTTTGAAATTTTTTGAACTTTTGACACCTTTAGGAATGGCGGGTAACGACATCAGAGTTCTTAAATATGACATCTTAAAAATATTTTTGGAGATTTCAACTTTGGACAACATATCCTTATAGAACACCATGAATTACCTCTAAAAATGCAAAATCAGTTCAATATGTTCCAATTTGGGCGAGGTATAACCAATAAACGATATTAAGTTCTGCAAGTTTGCTATATATTTCTGCTGTTTTGGCATGGTTCATCAATTTTAGAGCAGATACAAAATTACAGTGATTTGATGGGAATAGAGCTTGTGCTCATGTTGCCATACACAGCCAGTTTTTAATACATTAAATTGATTTTACATCTCTACGAAAGTTATAGATTATGCGAAGGAGATTCCTTTGTCATTTTTTAATTTCTTTATTTTAAGTTGGTGTTTCCAAATAGCTACAAAAGGCTAATAAAAACCAACGAACTAAACTAAAACAATAACGCAATTCAAATTTGACAAGTCAGTTTACGAGACAAAGTTTGCATAATTTTCAAACGCATTTCAACTATTCCCTCTCAGTTTCTTAGAAAATCCTTCCAAATTCCTTCCAATTCAAATTCCTTCTTCTTTTCCTTCCAATCAGCAGAAATTCTCCAAAAAAGATAAATCCTCCCAAGGGGAAGCACTGAGGTACAGTATTGCTTTTTGCCGACAAAAAAGGGGGTGACTCACTCTTTTTAGGTGTGGTCATAAGATAAGTAATTTTATATGCTGCTTTTATGTATTTTAATTTCAATATTTAGAATTCTAAAATTTCAATTTGAAGAATTTTTAGTGTCATACTTTGAAAGTTGAGCTACTACAGAAATATTTTAATAAGCTGCAATATGATTATAATTAAACTACAGGGTGAGAAAAAATTATGTGCTTACGGACAAAGTATGGGGGGAAAGTGCCCTCCTTTAGCGACGTCCCTGGCGGGCCGAGGTAAAGACGGCTTGTCAACTGAACGAAGTGAAGGAGCTCGTTGCTTGTTAATCAAAGGCAACAACATAAGTAACGGTGTCCTCAAATATTTAATAACTGGAAATTGATGCAAAGGTTGATGCAGATTTATCATCTTGCACCGGATAAAGAATTTTTGTAACGTAATGAAATTTTTCTAGAGTCTTCGTAATCTTCCTTCACTGGCGATTAGAAACGCAAACATCTTGTTTTCATGGAAGCATCTACTTTGCTCAGTGCCCAAATAAGCATTCAACGCAGGCTGAAGCATATCAGCAGCTGGATCGATTAGATATAGCACTGTGTGGACTGGTGCACAGTCGATATTGGTTTTCATCATGAATAGAAAACTGATGTAAAGTCTTTATATTGTAAAGATGTAAAGACTTTGTTGGGAGTGAGTTTTTTCAACAGGGAGACGCTGTTTTCTAAGTTTTTAGGCATAAAATGTTTTCATCCTAAAATTTTTCGACGGGCAGAGAGGGGCAAAAATCTCTAGTTGGGCAGGAAATGCCCCCCTCCCAGTGCCCCCCCCCTCCCAATGCCCACCTTGGCTTCGTGCCTGCTTTTGTGCGTATTATATTTCTATACATGGAAATCACAGCAAGCAGTTTTTATTTCTCATTTCTTTTCATGCTTTATCAAGGTAAAATAATTCTGAAAACGATCACAGATATTTTCCAGGCATTTTCTCACAAGTTTTTCTGTGCTTTCCCAAAAATAGTCGACTCTCCCTTGCCCTTTCAGATATGAGTTCATCTCAGCCAAGCAACTCTGAGACATTTTTCATTCATATCTTCCCATTGTTTGGTTTCAATTGAATCAACATCTTTATATGCTCCATGACTTCAAGAACATCATTAAAAGGGATAAGAAACAATAGAAGAGCAAGTATTGAGCCTTGTGGAACTTCTATCACACATTCTCCTTATCCGAGAGACAAATGTAGAATGCTTTTACTGCTTTTTGATTGGATAGATATACAGTAGTCGTAGAGTAATTAACGCAACCCTCTATTATTCTATACATTGCAAGCTTGTCAAGCAGTATGCCGTGGCTTGTCGTAGTAAGTGCCTTACGAAGCTTAAAGGAAGGCTGCTCCAACGAGCTGATCCTTGTTGAATACATTCAAAATTATAATGCAGGTGTTGAATTTCAAGAACATTCAATACATGTTGTCATTCTGAGGCTTATTTTGCTGTTTTATCAAACTTTCAGTTGATAAACGTCAATATGTTTTTTCTAGCTACCGCATTTAAGAAACTCTTTAAAGGAAAATAACTTCAAAACCCTTGCGGTTTCTTCTTTAGACCGAGTTAATCATGGCAACCTTCATGTGAGGTTTATTGTTAGAATCGCTTTTATAAACAACTGCAGTTTGCTGCTTATGGCTTTGAAAAACAAACAATGTAAGCACTGTTTTTAACTTTCTATGGTGCTCCTCAAGCATCAGTCCTTGTCAGTGATTACAAATGAACCGTATCCCGCGTTTTCTCTAAAAAAACATGAAATGAGCAGAATAAATGAAAAAAGAATATATTTTCTTTGGATATGAGAGAAAGGTATAAGTAAAGGAGATAACAGCCATTGCATGCTTGATCGTAAAAGAAAGAACAAAAGAAAAACATTTTGAAAAAAACCTTAAAAAGATGAATAATTCCATTTTGATAAATCTTTGTTTGTCAACCAAATCCCAAAAAACTTTCGTCAACTTTTCATAGATTATAACGTATATAGCTTTGGCAAAATCTGGCTTCCTTAGAGATGAACATACTACTAAGACGAAGAAGCTAAAAATTATATAACACGACTGCAAAATAACACGAGACTAGAATATGAGGAGAAAGTCTGCTTTGAAAACCAGTTTATGAACTGTTTGCGTAAACAAAGAATCAGTTGGGTAAACAATGCTCAAATTGGATGCAACCAAAAGCAAAATTCCAATGTTTTAAGACTCTAACTTTGATGTTATTCCGATTAATTTATAATTGGCCATTTAACACAACCAGGCGTACAACGTTCTTTGTGCTACAACAACTGATTAGCGTTCACTCATGACAACCTCCGTAAGACAAATTTTCTGCAGCATGCAATAGCCAAGATGAATTTGCAAACGAGTTTTGATACAAAATAGTTGCGCTACGTAGGGTGTTTACGGGTAGCGCTAGAAACTCTCTCCTACAGTGAGGAGTGACCACTAAAACGGTAGGAAGTTCATTTTTCAAGTCAAATCCATGCTCCAATTCAAATGAATAATTAAAAATTTGTACAGAGCCACATGCAGAGGTAATGGATGGAAGGCTCTTGATATACAGTTCAATCTATTTGTGACTAGCATCCTTCAAGAAAAGTGGGCTATCACCCCCTAGCCACAACCTATCCCTCAAACTCAGACTATAAGACAAAACGAACATCACCCATGAGCCCTCCAGCAACTGTGCTTGTGGATCAGTTTCAACCCTGGCATTATTTCAAACTAAGGGTCTCTGTCAGCCATGCAAAGTTTCTTCTTCAGGGCCCTAATTGATCATTTTTTACTTCAGGGTCCTTATTACTTAATATAAGAACCCTAAATATTACCAGGAACTTGTTTAATCTTAAATAGCAAAATGTTAAAAGGCATCCTTTAAGGTTTATTACTTCTATTGCCTTGAACTTTATAATTTGGTTCAGAATTTCAGATTCTTTCAGAGTGGCGTGAATCTAAACCCCAAATAGAGACACCATGCATGATACAGCAGGGATAGGTACGGTACTCTTAGTTCTCAAATCTCACACAAAAAATGAAAATAAACTGAAGATAACATCATATTCCAACAAAAAGTGTTGAATGTGGAAAAGGTTCTATCTTAGCTACTCAATTAAAAACGAAAACTGGAGCTAGGCCTAGGTTCCAATTGCCTTCCACTGTTATGGATTGCTTGCTTTTGTTTATCTGATGGGATGCTTTCTTTTATATAAAAGTTTGCCTTCAAATTTGAAGCCCCACTAAAAGGATGTTCCTCACAAATAACAGTTTCACTTTTTATAGGTTTTTTGGTGTAGAACAGGAGAGCTTTAATTGGATAATCAAAAGCTTTCTGCTAACTTCAATTACCTCACTGGGCTTAACTTTCATTTAAGGCATGTATGATCTTATTAGCAGCAAGGATATGGTAGCTTTTACAAATATAAGATGGTGACCATAAATTGTGAAAAGATGTCTTTTTCATTGTAAAAAAGGTGTGAATTATCATTTTTATTTCACTTCAGTTTTCATATTTCTTTTATATGTTTATAATTATCTGTCCAAAAAATATTGGGTCAACAAGAAAAGAAAATATAAGCTGTTTATGTCAAGCAATTCAAATTTTCAAAATTTGACAACTATTAAAAAGCCAAGTATATGTTTTTGGCAAATAAGCAAAGAGAGAAAGTAAAATACAAAAATAAGCATATATCTTTATGGCGGGAGGTGAATTTCAATTTGCAATTGACTGCTGACTAACACCTGTTTGAGCCAAACAGATAAATCAATTTGAGAGAATTTTCCCATAGCTTCAATGGTGTGGTAACAACAACATAAAAAAGGATAATGTATTGTGTTTTGAGTTTCTAAGTCAAAATTAGATATTGAATATTAAATAGAAACAAATAAACAACAATTGGTAACAATACATCTATTCTTAAAAAACAAAATGGTTCTTCATTTAGAGATATCAAAGGTTATATGTTTTTACAATTCAGTACAGGGTTAACATAATTTCTACCCCCTCTTTAAAAGTCTAAGTATTAAATTCAAGGAAAATTGTAAAGTGATTCTATGATATTACTTGACAAGTCAACAGAAAACTTATTTTTCCTGTTTCCAAAAGTTAATGAAACATCTGGCACTTTTATCATGAAACTTGGATCTGATTCTGATGTGAATTTCTATTGACATGACAAGTTCTTCAATCCTATGGCTTTTGATGTTCATCTCCATCAGCCCATAAGAAGTTTCACAGCTATCACAAATGTGTTGATGCCAATCAACGGAACTGAAATGAATGAAAGTATAGACCTTAATGATATGAATATTATTATATGGAAGACTTTCATTCGATATGCAGTCCATTTGCAGCAACAAAAACAACCTTTTTGACAATAATTATTCAGAGAAAATAATAAATCAAAGACGAGTTTAGTTCTGCATACTGGACATACCAAACAATAAAGAGATATCTTTAACCCCTACTATGTGGTATGTGAGAAAAGGGACATAGGCCTATCTGGACAAATCTAATTAATGTAAACTTTGGAAGAAAACATGCTATCATAAATCTGATTAGAATTCAATCCTCAAAGGATCAGAGTTAGTAAAGCATTTGCCTGATAATCGCATCAAGAATAAAATTCAAAGTTGCAACTTAGAACAATCCTGCTCCATATTCCAAAGCGTGCATAGCACTGCCTATGTAGCACCCACACTTTAAGACACACCACAAAACAAACTATATGACTCTGTTGAAAAGAAATTTAGTTGTTAAGGAACTTACTTCTCATAACTGTCCTGACAGATCGAACCAAATTAAGAAATTGTTGTTTTATTCCTGGTTCCTCTCCAAACCCAGCAACTTGGTTAGTTCCCCATCCAACTAAAAAAAGTTCATAAAATGTAGAATAGCAATAGAAAATGATCTTACAAAGTAAAGTAACAATCAGTACCATTGCCTCAATTCTAAAGTTGAAAATTGAAAATTCTTTAATAATGCCAAGGCCTGAAAGCAATACTATACAGAGTTGAACTTCCACCTTTCAGATGCTTACTTCTTGACTCAATGTTACAATTTCCAATTTTCATGTCACCCGTTCCTCAAAGAAATATTGATTTTTTATCAACCGTTAACTATGACCTAGTTTTTTATATTTCTCCTTAGCATTTATTATGTATTTATTTCTTATTTGTTCCTGAAGGTATGTGAAATAATTGTTGGGGTGTTGCATGACTGCATGTAGACTTGATGGAGCACTTCAAATAAAGGCTCAAATTGGAAGCTATTTTTCAATTTCCAAGAACACTTATCTTTGGTTCAAAAGAAAACAAGGTAAAATTTGTGTTTCTTTTACACAGAATAGGGCTGGGCCTGTAGGCCAACTGGATGGAAGAAGCCATGTAAGTCATGAAATTTATGACATAGATTCCTGTCAAAGATTTCAGGTCGTGCTGGAAATCTCTGGTGACTGGTGAAACAAAAACAGTGGTTTTGGCAGATATAAAATCGGTTTCATGGTTAGCCATTAACTTGTAGTGATGATACAATAAAAATAAATGAAAAACTGAGAAGTTTTTTAAGTTCTAACTTGATATAAGATTTCTTCATCATTCTAAATCGTGCCTAGGGTAGCTTCATATAAAATCTGCATGTACATTGAACACATACAAATGATGAATGTATCATCAATAGGCTAGGCTACTTAACTTTGGATGTCTTTCTTGCACAATTCAAATTCATGCAAGTCCAGGGGGCGTCATGGCCAGGGTGCAACAGGGGGCCATGGCATCCTCCACTTTCAAAATTTGACGGGTTTTCCGAAAAATCATTGTTTTGGCTTTCTTCAAAGGATATGAACCTTTTTACCCCGACCCTTACACTCACATGAAATGCTTCTATTTGAGTAAAATAAATCAAAGAATTTTTGTCGGAAAATATTTTTTTCCTGCCCCCTCTAGAATTCATTTGCCAAGACGCCCCTGTGTAAGTCAGCACCATTTTTACATTTTTTCGAATACAAGGTAACCAATGATATAATGAAAGAAGAAACAAAGTTAAAGATCGATGGACACAATACGCTCTATCTGATACAACTTTATTAAATTGCCCGGGCAATTTAATACCAAGTGCCATGATATTTAGGTTACGATTGGTATTTGGTGCAGATGAATATAAACAAAAAGGGCATTGTTCGTCTAAAACGTTTCCTTACTTTTCGATAAAAACCTCTCTTCGTTAAGAACTGCCATAGCATTGACAACCAAGAGACAAGCTTCGAGCAAACTGTAAAGTCCGAACGCCATCTTTGTTTCCACGAATGAGTCGTTAAAACGAGGTCGTCCCCGCATCACAATATACGTCACATCCGCTATTTGGCCGAAAATTTAACTTGTTTCTTTCGTGGTATATAAGCATAAGTTATTTCAAGAAATAGCATTCAGAAACCCAAAAATAAGAAAATGTTTGCTTTCATTAAGCAGGCCAGCCGAAAATTAGTCCCATCAATCAAATTTAGTTCAATCAAATTCTTTTCATCGAAATCAAACGCAAAGAAAATTTCTAAATTTTCGTCCGAGACTTTCAAAATAATAAACATGTTCTCTTTGGTATTTCAAAGATGCCAGAGAATGTACAGGATTTCTACTTGTAAATTCGGCCATCACAAAGCAAAGCACAAAGCATCAATAACTTTTTTACAGATATTGTTTAACCAATCTATTCATCAAATATGTACAAATAGCCACTTTCAGCTTCCCACTCTCCTTATTTATCTTTTGTTTCCACTACAAGAAATTTAAGTTGTATATTGGCAGAGCTTTGCTTTTACTGGCTTTTCATAATTTCTATCAAGAATTTCTTTCAATTGCATCAGTGGTTTCAATTTTGATGCCTAATTTTTAGCTCCCAGTTGATCAGAAATTCTTTTCTTTTTCTTTAATTTGCAATAGAAATTATTATGAACTATATGCACTTCCAATTAACTTTTCTCCATGAATTATGAAGAATGAAATACAAAAAGACCTCTCTAAATAAAGGTTTGTGACATCTTAGCTCTTCAGTTCCATTTCAGTTCCAACTTTTTATTATTGCTTTCCAGACAGATTTATGTTGAAAATGGCAACAAAATACAGAAGGTAGAAAAAAGCAATAAAATTTTACCGAAACTTTGGTATTAAATTTGGGATACGTATTTATGAATAACTCCTACTTCAGAGAAGAAAAGTTGTAATTGATAGGTGTCATGATGAGGAAAACTCTTTTGAAAAATTAAATATTGCAAAAGTGTTACATGTTTTGTGTCCTTATAGACCATTTTATTACTTTTATGTTAATAATGAACATTGAAAATTTTCACGAAAAGTACTCCGGAATGTAAGAAAGTGTAAACAAACAAAAAATATCTATTTGCATTGTTTTTTCAATTACATATTGATGTTGAATGAGGGTGGCAGAAGGATATAACTTGTTGAAATTACAAGACGGGTGACAAAAAAATTTGGGGACTGAAAATTTCGAAACAGTTGATACTCCTTGTGAAATTGACATTTCTTGTTGACATTTCTTGCCCAAATTGGCCTTAAATTTAGCATATTTACAAACATGCCATAAAAGCATAATCATAAGTCTTTTGCCTCTTTGTAATACCTAGCACAATTATTCACTACTAAGTACAACTTAGGTGCCACTCATCAAATCAAATTTCCCCAAAAAATGATCGAGAGGCAGTCAATAAAACAAAATTCAAGGCTCTGCAATAAGCTAACCATGTGAAGATAAATGTGTGGTTGAAAACAAAATTTTAAGTCAAAACGGAAATTAAACTAGTAGATTGTCTTTACGTGGATTCCAAAGGAAACAAGCTAGGATGATTAGGTTTATGAATTTATCATATGGTTGTAGCCACTTTGAGTAGAAAATCCTGTTTCATCCTAGGTTTGACAAGGGGTTTGACAAGGTTATAAATGAAAATATCAGCTTCAATATGAACAGACAAGAAATTTAACTGATTAAGAAGAATGGATTATCTTTGTGTCCTATACAGACTAATCCATTGTTCAATTTGATTAAGATTCTCTTCAAAATCCTCAGGAGTGTTACTTTTGAGTTCATGTACAATTTCTGGTTTATAACTGTCCTTTGCCTCTTCGAGTATTGTCTGAAATATTTCACATTCAATATTTTCAGTTAATTTTTTCTGGCTGTAACCCCTAGAAATAGAAAGTTTTGAAAATCATTTATAACTACAGAATCAAGTAGAAAAAACAAATAGTATATGGCTTAAAGAAATAGAGGCAATGCTAAAAATTAATTTGGAAAAATACAATAATAGACACTTGATGAGTTTACATAACTTATTTTTTATTCCTTTTCAAGGTACCTAGGCCTTCCTGGCCCCATAACTTCATTTCAATTTATTTTTCTTTTTATAGGGGGTCAAACAGAGAGTTAAAACCTGTGCCAATCAGCTCATAGTGGTTAGAGGCACAAAACCCTGCAAACATCTGGTGTAGGGTGTGTAACCCATACAGCCGGTGCTGTATATCTCTATTACCAAACAAAACCCAAACTGCTTATGTTTCTGTAGATATCTACAGGGAATCTTTGTTTCTGGATTTTACTATTTATGTGTTTGTTCTTTACGTCAAGGAAAATTCTGCTTCCTACTTCAGGGTAACTTCACAGTGTTTTCCTTCAATATTAGTGGGCACACTCACAGGAATTTCTATATGGGTGAAAACCATTGTTATTAAACAAATGTTGACTGTAAGGCATCCCACAATTTTAACATGCAATTGCATGCTGTTAATAAGCAGCTACTGTCCTTCAGTTTGTTGTGTTGTTTGAAACGAGGTAGGGTAGAAAAAAGGGTAGAAGATTTTTGAAAATGCAGTCATAACCCCATGCAAATAAGTGTTGGCGCCATTGCAAATGGGGATGAGGGATAACAAAATTTAAGAGAAAGCAAGTAAGTAACATGCCTTTTTTGAAGCCTGTCATATAGGACTGTGTTGTCAGTTCTTAGCACAAATACTATCTCAAACCATCTTTCTGGAAAATAGTCACAACCATGATAGTCAATTATGTATCCGCCTTCAGAGATGTAGCCATCAATTTCATCTACCACCTTGAAACAAGAATAAGTTGTTTGCAGTCTTTTAACAGAGTATATAAGAAATTAAATATATAAGAAATTAAAAAAGGTAAGAAAGGAGGAACAAAGGGAGGGAAGATAGGTGAATGGAATGGATGCTCATCATAGGCAATCAAGCAAAATGAAGGGAAGGCAAGTTAAAGAAGGGAAAGAACCAAATATATGTCAAAGTTACTGGGTTTCAGGCTAACTAATTGTTAATTCAGTGAGCAATTTCAAATTTTGATTTGCAAGAATAGACAACCTTGTGCATGCTCTGCAGCCTGCAACAGGGCCAGACTAGAAACTTTGCTTCTTGCGCGGGCAAGTTTATTTTGAAAATTTGAGACTGCATGCCTGAAATCATGCACTCTTAGAAATTTTTATTGTTAATAATGTTAAATGCTATTGTCTAGGGATCTAGGGGATTTTGCGCGGCCAATATGCAAAAGCGCGCAGATGTGTGCGCAGGCAATATATTGTGTGCGCGCAGCAAAGTTTCCAGTCTGGCAACAGGGGTGCTTCTGAGGGGGGGGCTTGACTAGGAGAATGATGGGGTGCACAAAAACTTTTTTGCACCTTGACCCTGTCCTATAAAAAAATTGCCAAAAGCACACCCCGCCCCATAAAAAGTATGCCAAAAATACCGCAAATTATGCCAAAATAATTACCAGATAATTATCTGAAAACAATACACTGATCTGTGTTGCTATCCCATCATTTCAATTATGGGAGTGCCCCCCCCTCCCAATGAGGTGCTTCTCCTCAAATAGAAGCCTCAGTAATAACTTTTCTAGCTACACTAGACTTACAAAATTCTTCTTCATACTGTTAGACTTACTTTCCTGTAAAATATTTTTGCAATTATTGTCTTTTATTATGTTCGTTCATTGTTGCGTATCTATTGACCAAGAATTTATATAAAGGGATATTTGTTTGAGGTATTGAGCTGGTATTTCACTGTTTTCCAGTTAATAATTAGCAAGTAGCTGTAAGAGGCTACTTTAGTTTTTAGTTCAATAGTGTAGAAAATGTTTTTGCAAGGTATCACACGAGAAACAAGTTTATAAACAAACGTGTAGAAAAAATGGCCTCAAATACAAACCCTATCTTCATCAAGAATATGACATTGTAATTCTTCGTCCCAGCCATCGTAAAGTTGTTCCTTTTCTGCCAGTTCACCAACATTAATAAATTTCATACCAGTTCTGTCGGCTAATTCCTTTGCCAGAAGGGTTTTTCCTGTGCCAGGCGTCCCGGTTATTAAGATGTTAGGAAAATCACGTTGGCCTGGGCCAGCCATGTTGAAAAGAACGGTTTACAGGGATCCAAGAGATTTATCGTCTTGAGAATATTTTCGCAAAAAGCCTCTCACCCAGGCACGCCTGGGCCAGACTGGAAACTTTGCTTCTTGCGCGGGCAAGTTTATTTTGAAAATTTGAGACTGCGCGCCTGAAATAATGCACTCTTAGTTATTTTTATTGTTAATAATGTTAAATCCTATTGTCAAGGGATCTAGGGGATTTTGCGCGGCCAATATGCAAAAGCGCGCAGAGGTGTGCGCGGGCAATATATTGCGGGCGCGCAGCAAAGTTTCCAGTCTGGCGCCTGGGGGGCCAAATTGGTACAACCTTAAAACAAATTGAATCCCCTAGTTTTTGTTTTTGAGCTGATAAGCAAGGAAGTTTGTATCGCACTAACTAAAAACAAGATTCCGTACACGTAATGTTTATTCAGCTTTGAACATCTGGTCGGATTGGCATAAAAGGGGGAACCGTGTCCCGAAATCCCCCGTAGGTCCGGATCTTTTAATTTGATATTTTCCTGCTACATATAGTTACACTTAGTACTTATCGTATCATTTAGCAAGAGGATGCCTGTTTTGACCCAATCTAAATAAAATTCTATTTGAAACTGGCTAATGTCTTCTTATGTTCTAAATAAAAAACTTTTTAGCTATTTGCTTGACTTTTTGATGAGCAGGTTTAGGGACCAACCGAGGAAGAGGATGGTTGAATTGCCTGTTTTGCTTTTCGAAGAAAGTTTTGTTTTGTGGGCAAAAGTTGAAGCTAAGCTCTTTCGAATTGCCCCCCCCCCCCTCTCGAAGAAGCCCATCTCGAATAAGCTCCCACCCTAGAACTATAAATTTTCAATAAGCCCCCCCTCTCGAATAAGCCTCCACTGCTACCATAAATCCTCGAATTGGTCCCTCTCAATTTGATGATTTTTGCCATCTGAGGTTGTCTTTGACGTTTTATTGAATTACCTCAAATGAAAGGCTCATAAAAATCCTACTAAAATCTATGAATACGAGGTCTTTTATTCATGTCTTCTTAATGTCTACAATAATTTTATAAGCTCCCTCGTATAAGCCCCCCTCCTCGAATAAGCCCCCATCCAAAAGTATCAAAAATAAATGAGCCCCAGGGGGCTAATTCGATGATTTATGGTATATATCAGTAAATTTTGACTAGTTATCGTTGTTATTCGTTTTGCGATTAAGATACTACATTGATGCAAAAAGTTTCAAACGCGCATTTTCAAATATATGTTATCGATCAAAAGGTTTCAGTATAAATATTCTTTGCTGCATCTCGTAGCAATTCTTCGCCACGCTACAATACAAGGAAACCTCAAGTTTGAGTCGGTAGACCATCATTTTAGATTCACGATATACAAGCTCTCTAGTCTTCAAATTTAGTGCATTGGTGAGATGGCAGCTGATAACAGAGAATAAAAAAATCGTTGATAATGTTAAGAGGGCTCCATACTTCAAGAAGATTCTTCATTTCCTCATTTTCCTTGCAGGTGTTTAACTAAAACTCTATATTCTGTATGGTTGCAGTGAAACACAAATTGCTAAAATCAACACGATAACTACTGGTGATGGATGGGAAAGAAACTGAAAATCTAATGAGAAAGAAAGACCAGAAAAATGTCTTTTCTAGAAAACTGAGCAAATTTGCACGTATTATTTGCAATAACTAAACGTCAAATAGACTACACGTTGACTTAACTTAATGGTCAAAAAAATATTATCTCTCTACCATTTGGTGTTTAAGAAACTTCAGAAAACTTTCAGCACTGAAATCAACAGCAAAAATAAGAAACTGAATTCCAATCACGAGCACAGATTCTAATTTATAAATCCATGTACTTGAATTAACAATAGTGATTCATATATTGGAAACAGCGCGGGAATCCCATTTGAATCTAAATCACAGATTTCGGGGATGGATACTTCTGTGACGACTTTCTTGCTTACCTCAACTTCATAAAAAAGTCAATGAGCAAGTTATTGTTCCACTTTCAGACCAGACACAAAACAGAAAAAATACAGAATCGTATCTACATTAGATCAGAATAAACTGAATAACAAATCAAACCAGAAACAAAAATTAATTTCCCACCAAAACTATTCTCTAATTATCATAAATAAATTCTATTCTTAATAAATATATAATTTTCTACTGGAAAATCTTTTGTTTTCCTTTAAAGCAACAAACATAAAAGTGGACTGATGTCGTAAACACGTCACTTGCTATTTATCTACAAAGAAGTTTCAACTTTATCAATCTGCTTACTAAAAACATTTAAATTCTAAACCGCTCTTGCAATCCTCTGGTCCTCTGATTTAAGTAAAGATAAATTATCCGGATTGTGAAAATCAAAATGGAACTTCTCAATGAAGGGTGAAGTATGTTAATATGGGCAAGTGGGGAAGACATCTAGAGATCCCTTTTATCCTATATTTCCCTTCTTTGGCAGTTTGAGATTCCACCGAGATTTTAACTGGCAACAAAAAGTTTTTTTTGTTGCTTCTAACCGTTTCTTTCATTGTTTTCTACTTAAAAGTTCATACAAAATTTTTATCACATTACAAAAACTAACATTACATTACAAACCTACAAAGGAAACAATTATTTTACATCCAATGATTTGAGTTACATCTCAATTACCTATTTCCAACCAACCTTGACAAAGAAAGAATTTAATAGAAACTTCTATCAATCTTTGGATTACTTCTTCTTTCAAAGCATCAATAGATGTTCTATCATTCATGGTCATACTGAATGTTTCTTTGCAAAACATAAAAAATCTAAAAAAAACTCACAGAAGCTTTGGGCTTTCTTTCCTCAAGCCAGACATTAAGGGAAAAATCTTATATCTCAGTCTTAATTAAAAGCTCACAAGATTATATTTAATTGTTGAATTTGAAGCCTAGGTTGTGTCCACTTTTTTTTTAATGCAGAATGTTTGACAACAAAGTCAAGATATAGATTAGGTTTTAAATGTATCATAGAGCTATTTGATAAAGGTAATTTGAAATACTCTTGTTTTTAAGAAATAAAGAGTTAAAGTATGCCACAGGCAATTATCTAAGGGCTTGTACCCCTCAAAATGTATAAATAACATATTAAGAAGTTTGAGGAGCAACATGGTGATTACCCATTAGGCTCTTTTATAAATACAGGGCATTAGGCCCTTCCTGCAAAACTTGAAGAAATCAAATTTTATATGTGGTCAAGCTTCCCAGTCATTTGCTCTCTACACTGAAGCACTTACTTATCACAATTACAAAATGATATTACTTCCTACTTTGCAAAGCCCATAACCAAGGAATTCATCATAGACCGATTTTGGTCTTTTTTTCAGAGCCGTGTCGGGAAAGCCTTGATGCAGCTCGACTTGGTGGTCTAGAAGCCCCTGATACTTCATTGTGAAGCAGGTCTTTGTTAATGAAATGATTGATTACATGGGAATCTGTGTCTTTCTCTGGACTGTCTACTCCTGGGAAATCTTTGACAAGGCCAGTAGCTGAGGCTTGGGAAAGATCAACCATTGACCTTGTTGTTGCGTCCCGGTTCAAGAATTTCAGGATCATTTGGTTAACCCTGGAAAACAATGACATAGCATTTCATCAGTTTAGTGAATCATTTGTAATAGGGAAATGAGAGGGAGATCAAACTACAACAAAAACAAAGACAAAATATCAAAAATTAGATCGAAAATGGCAAAATCCATCAGGTGATTGACATGTTGTAAGGATATTTGAATAGAGCACTATCTAATATCATGAGATTTTGCTGTGGGAACAACGATGTTGTCTTTGTGCAAGGCTTTCAGTGTCTATAGGACCAAAATATCTAACAGTAGCCAAGGTGTTCTCCATTTATTTCATATGAAAATATATTTTGTATGGTTATGAAAGCTACAAGTGGCATTAAAAGCTTTGAAACTAGTGGGACAGAGTTTTATAGCCCTATTTTGATATCTCATATATTTCAGTGCTTTGATGCAGCTATTTAGGATGAATCCACTTGTTTGCATCTTATTATTACAATCTAGTCTGAAGATTGAAAAATACTTTACAGAGACTTACAGTTTTTAATTTTACACTTCTCTAAAAGCACAATCTCTTACTGGGAGAAAAATGCTAGACAGTTCCGGTAAGTCAGGTTACCAAGGGTAAAAAATAAAATAGGCACTCCTTTTGGTTGCTAATCATATCTGCTATCTATCGTTCTTAGGCCTATCTGCACATCACAAATGCTAATTATCTTCCCTTTTTTAGGACACGAAAATTCAAAATCAATCAAATTTCAGTCATGAACAAAACTGCTAAATAGAAGAGAAAGATAAGCAGTGGTGGATTGAGTTAAAATCCAAAAATACTGACACAGTTTGTATTACTTCATTCTAGCCTCCTAGTAACAATTGTGTGATCAATAGATTATTGACAATTTAAAATAATTAAAGGAAAAACCAAATCTTTGATAAATGGTAAAAAGAAAAATAATTCTTACACATCTGGCTTCTCAATCATAACCATATGGCCAGCATCTTCAACTATCTCCAAATTAGAACCGTAAATCACCTAGTTATGGAAAGGGTACAGTTAGCATTTCAAAATAAAAATGATTAAGGTTTGACTTTTAACATAAAGCTATTTATGATTTGTGCAAACAGCCCGAAAGCGTTCCATATAATTTGCACAAAAAACACACATTATTCCAGTATAATATGCAATTTTATTCTACACTTGGATAGCCATCTGACAATAAAAATTGGTTATCAAAGTGTAAAATATGGCGTTTTTGATGGACAATTAAAAAAATGAAATCATTTTACAACATTAAAATTTATTCACTTAAATTATGAAAAACCAGCATTACTTAAAAAGCAGATATCTTAAATAACCCACTATAATGAAAATTTTTTACAATCTGTCAATGTTAAGATTGAATTTCAGATTCCTTGCTTGGTTAAGGATGTTTCTTTTCACAAAGCACATGTGCATGTGATAACAAAAACTCTTGGGACTTGAGGCAAATTTTCATACATTTCTTCATTTTATACAAATAAGATTTTAAACAATTTGTTATCCTTTTAATGCTGAAAATGCTTTAATTAAGCTATTTTGATCAATTCCTAGCATCACTCCACTAGACCCCACAATATGAGACATAAACAAGAAAATATATCACGAAAAATACCTCTTCAGTCCATAGCTCTTCCTCCAGTGTAACAAATTTGTCACTTCTGCCATAAATCAACAAAACAGGAACTAACAGATCACCATGATATTCTTCATTGCCTTCTGGCCAATGCTAGGTTTTATAAATGAGGTTTTTTAAAAACTGGAGAGACTAAAACTTCATCTAACATAAAGATACTGGCTTTTGGCTTGATTAAATGTATCATAACACGAAATGGCCTAAAAATCAAATGCATGTTGAGCAAAACATGGGTTTAACATTAACTGACAAACCAAGATAGAGCCAAGTTTGGCAAACTTTCAAATAAAAAAATTCAACTTGACTTCAAAAGTTCTAATGGTCTGTTCTTTTTGTGTAGATAATTTATAAATTATTACTCATAAAGTTGGAGTTAATTGTACCAATCTCAGACACATAGCAAGTTTACCTAAAAAAAACCTCCAAGGCTACAATTACAACAGAAATCACCATAAGTTAAACAAAATTAGAGTCTCAAACTTTTTTCAGTTTGACAGTATAGTGAGACATTTGCATCATTTTTTGAATGCTACTGCGTCTTGTCTTGCAATCTGTTATCATATATATGTCTAAATTGGCCTTTTATTTCCTATTGTTTCATTTACCTTCAGTTTTCTTCTATTCTATTAGGAAGCTATACTTCCAAATACTTCTAATAAAAGACCTGCAGCAATAACTCAAACCTTTATGCCCCTATCATTATTTCATGTTTACAGCAAAAAAACGAAAAGGAACTTCTTGATCAAGTTTCCCATTGCCTGTAAAGCACCCTAAATGGCCTCAGTTGAGAAGTGTTTAGTGAAGATCAGTGCAACATAAAGTCCTGTTTTGCCACCCTTGTCAACTTTTTGCAACATGACAAAACAAATGATTGGCTAAATGTTCTGATAAATGTTAAAGAGCTTAAGATGTTTCAATGGCTTAAGAGATTTACAGGTGGAAAGTTTTATAAGGACAGTGGATGTTGAGGTTAACCATATGTATCCAAAGTCCCATTGCTAAGCCTTTAGCTTCAAAATAGCCCACAGCCTTCCACAAGGCAACATTTTAACCACTGCATTTATTTCTTAAAAAACTAAAGAACCTATATATTAGGCTATACATATGAAATGATACACTAAAACATATATTTCTATCTGAGCCTGCACCTGATTAGATTATTTCTCTATAGGCTTAAAAAATTTTCTTTTATCTGTTTTACTCCTACAAACACAACATAAAGTATTTCACATTATTTCCTCAGATAAAACCTCGATAAAAATTAAAAGTAGAGGAATAAAGCCTTGTCATATTGTAATAGACCTAATGCATAGTACCTGTCCCTGCATGACAGACTTCAGAATATATGCTGGTAGTGTGAATGACATGGTTTTCTCCTTGATTGGTGAATGAAAGGCCATTCTAAAATGAGCAAAAAGGCATCAGACTAGCACTTAGATCATTAATACTAAAGTTGTATCTATGAGACCTAAGGTGAAAGCAAATGTGTGAAAATCACTTTTAAACTTTTTGAGTCATAGCATGTTAATTGATATTGCTATGAACTGATTTTAACACCAGTTTCAGTGTAACTAATGATTTGGATAATATTAAAGGCATAATATAAAAAGTGGAACATACATAAAAATGCTATTCAATGCAGTGGAAGACCATTCAAAATTGCTAAAAATATCCTCTAGTGTGAATGAGAAAAGAAAACAAGTAACAAAATAATGAAGTATGCAAAGATTCATATTAGGGAGGCTGGTGGCAGCACAAAATGTTGGTTGTCTGAAATTAATTGTTTTGTAATGAAGAAAACAGAACAAAGCTTAGAAATTATAGGTGATTGCAGTCCCTATCAAGCCTCTGCTTCTTGTTGATAGACCTGTATTTGAAAAGTAACTTACGATCTGAATCGCTTCACCACCATTGGTTTAATTGGGCTGAAGATTGGAAGTGGTAAGCAGAATACTGAAAATCTTTCTGGTTTTAATGATGTTGGTGGACCACCACTAATAAGAATGACCTTTGCAACAGAGCTGGTTCTTTCGGTAGCAATCAGAGTTGCAAATGACGCACCATAAGAATGTCCAACTAGAATGTTACGTTTTCCTTGAAAAATGTCATAGATTTTGAGCATATCTCTTCCAAGATTGTTAAAGCTATAGGCAGAAGAACGATGTGGTTTTGAGCTTTCTCCATGTCCTAACAAATCTGGTGCAACTGTCCTGTATCCTCTTATATGGAAGAAAGTCATTTGCTTTTGCCAAATTTCAGCAGACCCACCAACACCATGAAAAAAGAAAACAGTCTTGTCCTCAAATGCAGACAGCAAAGGGGTACTTGCACTTTTCAGATCTGATTGATCTGGAGATGTTTGCAAGACCCTAACGATTCTCCCTTCATCAACAGGGACTGATAATGACTTACACCAATACTCTGAAGATGACGACGGGGTCACCCTTCGTCTTTTAAAAAAACCCTTCCATGACCTGCTTGAAGCAGTTGAAAGTGTGCTGACAGGCCTGTCCTGTTTAGAATTCATTCTACAAATATGGAAAATGTCTCTTTTGCCATTCAAAGCAAACAAGTGTCCATCAGTACATGTAAAATGTAGCGGGAAATGGTGAACTCAAAATTGCTCATAATTATCGAATATCATTGATTTGCGATAGCAAAAACTACGGTCAAAGTACCAAATTCCATAATAACGATAACGCTCAGCCTGGATCAACCATTCGTTTACCCATGGATTTGCGTGTTTCTTATATTAAACACTCGTAGTCTCCGTGCTTCTTTGACAATAAGCATGGACCCTACCAGGGTGCGTTCTTCAAGGCCTTTTGCTTCAGTAATGAGGGCCTAGTCAAATAAAAAATGTCTTTTTCTTGTTAACGTTTTCTCTTCAAACGAGCAAATTTTCAACTATGGAACGAAAAGTACTTTCATCTATTGACTTAGTAATTAACAAAACCTGCTATTTCGTTGAGCTATGTTTGTTGGCTGCAAATATCAATTGTTCCTTGTGCCAGTGAAAATTTATCTTCCTACTTTGAGAATCTGTGTTCGAGACGCAGCTATGTTACCTCGATTTCATCGTTGCTAGTGTCGGAAGTGTTCAAAGAGCACATCCTAGCAACATGCCTTATAAGAATAAAGTCTATGGCTCAAAATCGCTGGAAGTTGAGAATAATTTAAGAAAATGGCAAGGTTTAAGTTTCATCAAAAAATAATATTTTTGCTTATTTGAGTTTTTTGGAAAGGTAACTACAGGGCCTCCGACGAAGGGGGGTGGTGGTCATGGCCCCCAGGCCCCCCACTTTTTTCAAAACAATAGACATTTCTTAAAATCGTTTGTTATTGGGGTTAAATTGTCCTTTGCCCCCCATATGCAAACCTGTGTCGTAGCCAATGATTTAAATTGCGAATTTCACGCTATCTCTTTTGAAATACACGTAGCCATCCTTGGAGCGCGACTAAGCTGCACCTTGTGTCGCTTAAAAATTATTTAAGAATAATCTAAGGCCCAAAATCTTAAAAATTTAAGAACATTGAAGCTCGAAAAAAACTAGATCTACCTATAAAAGAAGCGTGTAGATTAGAACGCAAAGCTTTTCATTATCAAGGGCAAATACGATATTATGGAATAAAGACGAGACAGACTCATAACTCATACTCAGTTTAGTTTGGGCAATGGTCATAAGAGAGAATTAACGTGGTAGTAACAAAATTGTAAGGATCAGATTGATATGCTACAAGGTATTTTTTTTATTTTCCTTTTGAAGGATATTTTTGTATAACTAATTTTCAAAATAATTGGCGAAGAGTTGTAAACTCTGATATCTACGAAAGTGTTAAGCTAGCAGGTGGAGTTTGTCAAAAATCAGAGTTTCGGCAGTTTGATTGAAATGTACAGAGTCATCTTTGTATTTTGATTGCTTTGCATTATTTGTTCTAATCAAAAGAACAGCCCTAGTTGAGTATTCAATAAGGTGTATGGAGTTGAATAAAAGAGCTGTATATAATGTTTGTTAGACGCATCAAGGCTTACTTGTTTTTCACCAGTGGCGTCGCCACGGGATGGACTGGGGGTGGACATGTCCACCCCAGTTTTCCCAGAAGTCGATTTTCTAATTTCCTGAAATCTGTTGAAAATCTTTGGGGGAGGGGGGGTTGGGATGTGGTTTGATCAGATCGATTTTGATTTTCGCACTTGCAAAAAAGACTCCATTACGAAAAAGCTGCTTGAGAAAGTTGCTTTCCGAAAGGTAGAAAAAAGATAAAAATTATAAAACTAAATTACGAAAAAGATAAAAAAATACCAAAAAAGATCTTTCCAAGAGGCAGAAGGGCGTGGCCGAGAAAATTTGTTTTCGTCCACCCCAGTTTTTTGAGCTGGCGACGCCACTGTTTTTCACATGTTTTTTTCCAATTTATCATTGTAGATTTTCATTGTTTATCTTCATGTGAGAGCATTTGCAGACATTTAGAGATTTTTTCACAAACATGTCACCCAGATACCTTTCCAACTTTGATGTTGATGGTTACAGCGCTTTATCATTAATAATGTCAAAACAGGATACGCAGTGGTTGGGGCAGAGGACCAGGACTTTAGCCCTCCTAGAGAGCTTTAGCCCCTCGAGAAAATTTGTCGAAAAAATTCAGAGATTCTGTTGTTCTGTCAGAATTTTCAGAGAAATGTTTCCTTTAGCACGCCCCGCTCACTAATAAGAATTCTCCCACTGCACCTCTACTTCCAACCCTTGTAAGCGTTATATCATGCGACCTTTGCAGTCAGCTAACCATTACTTATTTTTCTTTGGGACCTTAGTTTTCAATGATTCGTCACTTTCAAAAATGATGCTACAAATTATGAAAAAAGCAAAATGTGTTTAGGTGGGGCCTGTGGACGACTTTTTGTGCAGGGGTAGTCTCATTTTGATAACAAACGTCACTATTTGAAAATGAGGTTAGACTCATCTTTCTTTCATGGCCAAGCTCATAACAAGTTGCTTCCCAAGAAGTCCAAAAATAAAGAAAGCAATGAAGGTTTGTATTGGAGTGGGACTTCTGTTCGGCATCATTGTTGCAGCCCATAATGTATGGGGTGCTGAAGCTGCAAAAAAGAAGCCAAAGGGTCCAAAAGTCACAGAAGTGGTAGGTATAGGGTTTTACTGATTGATTTGGCACAGTTGAGTGTATTGTAGATTTCGTGCATTCGGTTTAAAACAGAATGAAAAGACGAAAATCTAATCTAGATTAGAATGTTAGTAATGATTTGATTAGATTATTACTCAAGATACACATATATGAAATGTCCCCTTTGTATTCCTTGCATATTTATTGTCATAATATGTCTTTTCAATATCAAAGTTTAATTTTTAATATTAAATAAGTTAAAGTAAGCAAGATGTGCAGACCTGCATTACTTTTTATTTCTATGAAGATAATAAATACCACAAATATTTGAAAAAACATCAAAAAAGTTAATTTTTCATTTAGCTCACTTAGCTTAGAAAGAGCAATGAGACATGTTTATTTGGCAAATGAAGTTTTGGAAGTGATTGTTAAGGAAGAAACAGCAAAGCTTGAGTAAAATAACAATGGAATTCTAGAAGAAATTATAAATTTTGTTACCAATTTCTTAATTGAAGCATTTGTTGCTTTATAACTTGATAATGAAAGCAAAGGATCAACCAAAAACATTTCCTCTTGCATTGCTTTTGATCATCTATATAAGTTTCTGCTAACCTTTCTTCCTTATTAAAGATTTATACTCTGATGAGTGTTGTCTAGAGAAAAATAATTCAAGTATGCTATGTTTTCACTTCTCTGTAGTATCTTCAAATACTGTAAGCTCCCAAGATATTATTACTTAATAACTTAACATTTGAGACAATAAATTGAATTATTTGTAGGTTTACTTTGATGTAGAAATTGGTGGAAAGAAAATAGGTAGAATTGAAATTGGTCTTTTTGGGAAAACTGTGCCAAAAACAGTAAAGAATTTTGTTGCACTTGCCACCCATGAGGTAAGTAATTTTTATTTTTGAAGTTTTAGGAATTTTGTGAAATATGAAAAAAGTTTATTTTTTGTCATTATTTGTTCATTGTTTATCTTTCTTTGTTAGTATATTTCAATACATTTCTCAATACAGCTCAGTAGCAATTTTGACTTCAGTTGTACAATTTCTGTATGAGAATGTTTACGGAATCATTTTTGTGGATTTTATTAGATCATCTTAAATTTTAGCATGTTTAATTTTTTAGAAAGGATTTGGTTATAAAAAGAGCAAGTTCCACAGAGTTATTAAAGAATTCATGATTCAAGGTGACAATTTTACCAACAAAATTAGTGTGTTTTCATAAATGGAGTAAAATTTGACATTTTAGTTAAATTTTTAGCATTTAACAAATTTTTAAGCCTAAAATCATACTGTTTTCAGCCATCTTTTATATTGTTAAGTCCTAATAGAAATATTGGATGTCATGCTTTTTATTTGTTCATGTGCTCAAATGAATTGCATACTTCATGTTTCATTGTGTAATTTTCATTTACTCTTTTTCAAGGTGGTGACTTTACAAACGGTGATGGCACTGGAGGTTAGTGCAGAAGTAATTTTTTTATATGCATTCAATGCATTTTGCTCAGTTTTACAATGTTTTGCCATAAAGTAACCTTAAGTTTTACCCTGTAGTGATTTCGATTGTCTAATGATGAAAGCCAGATCTACAAGAAGTTATTATAAAGGCTATCAATTGGAAAAAGTAATATTGGATGATTCAACCAAGACAAAAAGTTGCTCACCTTAGGATTTTTTTTCAGAATGCTTGATGGGCAGACCTGTCCGATCTGAACTGTCAAAAGTATTGTTAAGCCATTTTAGGCTATTTCATTTCAAGGAAATAAGCCACTGCTTTAGAATTACTAATCTTATTTTTCAGATAGAATTTAGAAGTGCATTTTGCATTGCAGGTAAAAGTATTTATGGTGATCGCTTTGAAGATGAGAACTTCAAGTTAAAGCATTTTGGTCCAGGATGGTTAAGTATGGCAAATGCAGGAAAAGATACCAACGGCTCACAATTTTTTATCACCACAGTGAAAACATCATGGCTTGATGGAAAGCATGTTGTGTTCGGAAAGATTATCAAAGGGATGGTAAGGATTGTCAAATTTTAATTGAAATTCATTGGTTTTTAATTTGGTTTTTCTTTGTAAGCCTTGTTGTCTTCAACTAAAAAGCCTTAGAAAGGCATTTATGAACAAGTACATAAAGAGTCAGCCAAAGTGCAAGCCTTTGATACATTTAAGGTTATGCTGCATAGTCTGATCATGCTTTGAGTAATAGGGATTATTTGATAGGCATTGTGCATTATGGTTTTTTGAAAGGCATTCTGCCCACATAGATTGCAGTTGTCTGTGTGTTTTTTGAACTGCTTATGAATTGTGGACACCAATTCAGTTGCTCTGTGATTTTGTTGTTTTAGGCCAAGCTACTTGTATGCTGAACCAACTATACCCTCCCCAGTGTGCCTGAGCACCTCTTTGAGCTAGTCAGATGTCTTCAAAGCTATTAATGAAGCCAAAAAAATATGGTTCTACTCCACTCAAAAAACTATTTTTAAATTATATTGGTTATCAATTTTGTAGATTTGCCACTAGCACAACCACATTAAGTAAAATTGGGTATCTAACCTGTGAAATTTTTTGTTTTTTTCAGGATGTAGTCAAGAAAGTTGAAGATACACCTGTTGAAGGTTCAACTCCCAAAAGTGACTGTGTAATTGCAGATAGTGGGGTGTTGCCCTTAGATAAACCTTTTAATGTTGAGAAGGAATAGCTTAATGAGAAGAGTAAATTAAAAGTTTTATGCAGAGGATAAAGTTCATGATATAATCTTCACCATTCTTTCAATGATGTCAAATATGAGGAGTCTGTTTACAAATTGTTGTTTTATTTATTTCTCGGTTTTTGTTCTCTTCATTATTCTTTTAAAGAGTTAACACAGGCACTGACAATACTTATAACCAAATTTAAAAAATGAGAAAGCAGGGGATTGAAGGACACTATACCACATGTAGTAAGAGAGTGTTTGTAAATTCATTTTCTGTGAATCACATCAAGAGTAATTATAATAAGGAATTATATAAAATTTGTATAAGAAATCTGAAAAGGAGGTTTTTTCAGAAGATCTAGAAAGTGTGGTCATGAAATCTGATGGGGCCTTTGCCTCAACTCTTTTTTCTAATATGGAATGTTTTATCTAATCCAAACCTTGCTCTTGAGGCTAAAATAGCTATTATAAGGCAGTGCTAAGGAGAGGGGGTCAAGGAGGTCACTGACCCTGGGGCCCTTGGCTATACGGGCCCATCTATGCTTACTCAATTTAAAAGAAAATTATAAGTAATAATCCAGCCTCTCCATTATAACAAACTGTCAATAATGGAAATAATAATGACAAAAGTATATGAATGAAGTAAGGTAGACGCACTTTGGGTCTTTGACTGCATAAGTTAAGGTTATTTTTGTTATAAGTATAAGAATTTCCCAGCTTTGTGGGCTAAAGAAGTTGAAAAGCTTCAATATTTCTGTGTCTTTCGGTAACATTTTTTCATTCGGTAAAAATAATTTATTGGTAGTCAGTAGTAACAAAGTAACGCCAATATTTTTTCTTTATTTTTTTTCCTTTCAGCATTTTTCTTCTTGTCAGTAGTGTAGCGGGGGGGGGGGGGGGGGGAGGGGGAATTTTCTGAAATGTATTTTAAGCTAATTTCAAGGGCATCATCGCGAAAACTTTCTGCTCGCTTCGCTCGCAGGAGAGCCTCAATGTTCAGTAATTTCCCCTTGTTTTGGGATTTGTTTAGAAAAGTCCCTCACGTTCTTGAGACATTCCCGATAAAATAGAAACTAAATGCTAAATCAATCCAATACTTAGAAAAAACTGGATTCTGAAATGCTTCTCGTGGATTTTGCTCCAAGGAGAACGGACTTGGTTTAAAACTTTTGAATACTGTTTATTATTTTTAGATAGTTGATAACAACTTTGGAAAATCACTTTTTACACGCAGTTCTTCCTCGCCTTACACAAGTCAGGGTATAAACGTCAGTGGAATGGTGAAGGAAATAGACAGTTGTAGAATATGGTCAGCCACAAATCGCTTCATATTGTACGACATTATATAAAGGGAAATTGCCACGTAAAAATTCTATAGCTTTTCCAAACGCATTTCCAAGATGGGTGTTTTCCCAAATTCTTAGGGGTCTGATCAGCACAAATTTTCTCCTCCCACTGCTTTTTATTATCTTTACCTTAAAGTTGAAAACCAAATTTTAATAATGGGCGTTTCCATCATTTACCAGTGACCTGAAGGGTGTGGCAGCAAAATTAGTGTCTAATACCCCCCTCCCCCAATCATTGTTGCTTCAATCCGCCCCTGATTACATGCTTGTGAAGAGGGGACTCTGTGTGAATTAGCCTGGTAATCCCGATGTTCTATATCATTGGGTACTCCCACTGATCTGAAAAAAAGTCAGTGATCAGTGAGTAATCGTCTCCTCATCAGATGTCCGTCAATGATCGATGTCCGTCCCACCAAGTTGAAACGAGGCCCTCTTCGGCCTCGTCCTTGCCTGCCTATCTACTCAAAATGGCGACTGCCTTTGGAGGTAAGATTCCGCACAAGCAAGAAATGCCACCGCGAGGTGGTTACCCTGGCATTGAATTTGCCAGGAACCTGCCAAAAAGAGGAGTTTCTGGCCTTGCAATGTTTGTTGGTTGTGGTTTGGTGATGTCTTATGGCTTCTATCGAGTTATCATGACAAATCGAAAACTAAGGTTTGTGGCGTTCGTTTTACCTGGCTTTGGCTTCTTGGTAGACCGTTGAAATTAATTTTGTACAATTTTATTTAGCTGTGTATTATATCTCATAATCGAATAAATTGATAGTAACGATAATCGATAAACCTTGCTTTTTTACCATAAATAATTACCTGTTATATTCTTTTAACGAGGACAAAAATATCATTTTTTTTAAACTGAAGGCAAGGCAGTAAACATGATTCTTATTCAATTTTTCATTTTTGAAATTTACGTCATTGACTTTTGTACTAATTCGCAAGTATTTTATCAATCTCAGGCAGTTGGAAATAGAAAGATTGGAAGGACGAATAGCCCTGCTTCCCCTTCTGCAAGCAGAACAAGATAGATCGTAAGTTACTTTTTACAAAGTGAAATGATCTATGTTTATATAGAAGACAGTTTCACTTGTGTGTCGGTTGTCAAGTTTAAGGGGTTCTGCACTACCAAAATTCAAAAGTGCAAGGATAGGAAATTTGTGCATGCAGGCAATATATTGAGGGTGCACAGCAAAGTTTCCAGTTCTGCATTTGTCTATGTTCCAGTGATTATAATTTTCATGGATTGAACTGGAAATAAAGAAACTACTAATCTCTAATGGAAAAGTTAGCCTTCCTAAGAACCCTATAAATTGTTAATTTATAAGCTGATCTATGTGTTTATGAGAAAACACATAGAGGCAGACCCTTATTAACTGTCCCAATCTACATTTCCATCCCTGTATAAAGCATTTAAACAGACCATGAAACACTGTGAAAACATTTTGCAAATTCAGAATGGAAAATATATACTGAAAAATAGATAAAAACTTCACCTTATTTTGTGGCCAACTTTTTCCAATGACAAGAGTTCATTGCATTCTTACATCAATCCACTTTTTTTTAATTTTTCTCCTGACAAAGTTAAGAAAACTTATTGTTAATTCATTAGTTTGAAACCTTTCATCGTCATCAGATTTAAGGTAAAATAAAATTTAAACCCAAATACACTTAACTCAGGCCTTGCTCTTAGTAAAATGAAGGTGCTCCATAAAAAGAGCCCCTTAGAAACTCTAGGCGCTCTATTTCGCACCTCTAAGTAAATTTCCTTGAGAGCATCCTTCGAGAGCTTTAGGAGATCGAGAGCTTCAAATCGAAAGCTTCGGAAGAATGTTAAATATGAAATTCAACGGTGATACCACAAAGCACCATAATATGAAATAACAAAACATGCAACAAACACTATGTTAATATAAATATAGAAATATAATAAAACAAAGTCGCAAAATTGTTCAGATTTTTCTAGATATGTAAGTTGCCATCATTTGATGAGCTTTTATCAGTGTCAGTATCACTACTGTTATGTTCAGCTTCACATATTGCTTCATCAAAACGCATGGCTTTAAATCGAACATTTAACTGTTTCCTTTTTCCATGTTATCCATTCTATAAGAAACGCTATAACATCTACTACTCGCAAAAGCAAATGAAAAGCAATGCGATAATTTGGACGGAAACGTGATCGCTGATTTGCACAGGCGCTTTTAAGTTATTAAAAAAACTGAAAATAATATATATATACCTCAATAGAAGATTAACGCTTGCTCGAAAATCAAATAAATCTGCCGGAGAATACGCTTGATGGCCTGTGTCCTTGATGGTTATTAGAGGGTTATTAGAAAAAAATGATATTGAAAACCCAACGTTGAAATTGCTGAATTTTTTCTCAAGGGGTAATCTTACGCAAATCACAATATTGCGGTCTGTTGGGAAGATTGTTTATGCTTGATCAAGTTGATTCAACAAATTCCAAAAATTCATTTTGCTCCGTGTTAATATTGTTTTTACGTTTTGAGGGGCTCTATAAATCGCTCTCCAAGGCTTTTTTAGGGTGCGCTCTAGGCGCGCGCGCTCGATCGAGCGCCTTTCCGGGCAAGGCCTGTTAACTGATTAAATTAGCTTAGATAAGTGTCACACTCTGGTTACCAACAACATATTTCAAACAAATTTTGATGCGACTATAACGGAAGTTTACTGTCTACTGTCTACTGTAAGTAACTTTCAATCTGAGCTACCTTTGGCTAAGTCTTCACTTAACCTTCTTTCTTGCAAATCCCTTCTTACCACTATAGCCCTTTATCATATAAAAAATGTAATAAATTAATGCTGAGAATGATTCTCAATTCAATAAATATAAGGCAAATAACTATTACTGGTCATCTAAAAATTTATTAAAAAATATTCTAAGTTGGATTGCATCTTTCTTTGGATACCATAGTCACATCGGCAGCCATGTTTGAAAAAGCAGGTTTATACATTTGAAGATAAATTATTTTATGTTATGCCAAGTTGTTAGGTTTGTTTGAATTTGGCCATCTGATGACAGAACTAGGCCAAAAGCACAACAATTTTTAACGCAGTGGGAAGGTGAAAGTTTCCAGCCTCAAAGTAATCATACTTTATTACATTTCATGTCCATGTATTATTTTTTAGTATTTGTTGGTTAGTTTTGCTATTTTATCGAATAATTTTTTTATGAAGACCTAAACATTTCAAAAATAATACACTTTGGTGGTGTGATTGCTATATCCTACTCAACATTTGTTTCTAAAAATATGTTCATTAAAGAATGTGTGACTACAATAGTGAATGATTGTGATTGGAAATACTGTTATTAAGCATCCACCTTAAAGAAGCCTCAATTAAGTCCCATGTGTTATATTTTCGTGATGCAAATGAGCCAGTTGATTAAGTTGCAGTTTCTTAAATTTTGTAACAACTTTTGCACTTTTTTTAAGCTTATAACTAAACTTTTATTTTTTCTGATAATAATTTGCTCCTTTGAATTCATAGAATTTTGAAACAATTAAAAGAGAATTATGAAGAAGAGGCACTCATCATGAAAGATGTATCAGGTTGGAAAGTTGGAGAGAGTGTATACCATACAAATAGATGGGTGCCACCAACAACAGCTGAGTTGAAAAAGCCTTAGGACTGTTCAAATTTTATTTTGGTTGTTTGTCTTGTGTTGTTTGTTGATATGTATGCATCAAAGGTTGATTCTTTTGCTTTGTATGAGTTACAGACAGTCCCATTTTTTCCTTTTAGTCTTTTCTACTTAGCTTTTAAGTATTAAGGCATACAGTGTACTTGCAAAATTGCAAACATTTGATGTTTCAGCTGACAAATTATCCTAGAACAAATATCTTTTCTTGCAAGAAACAGAAAAGTGATTGACACATCCTTTGATTGAAATGAGATAATGAATTCTTTTTAGGTAATAGTGCTTACTGAAAAAACCTTTCTTTTTATTGCCAAATTGGCGTTCTACTTTAGCATTCCAACAATGAAATCAAATTTTTCTGACCGAGAAACAAATAAAATTAACATGATTATAAAAACCTAATGAAAAACACAGAGTTTACAATATTTTTATTGATATATACAAAAATTATTTTTTAAAAGGTTGTACACAGTTTTTTCTTTGATAACTTGGTACCTTTTTTAGCAAAATTGTAAGGTACATTGCAACAGATTAAGGTGATTTTTCTGCTTGGTATAAATTTTCTGATTCTTGCTTGTCCCCTGCTGCATTTTACTACAGTTCTTAATGATATTGGCTAATTTGACAGAGTCCCCAAAGGCACAGAACTTTTTTGTAGCTTTCCTGAGTCACTTGATTTGTCTCTTGATTTTTCCTTTGGTGTGTAGGTGATTCGGTGTGTGGTGTTAAACTCTTGGAAAGATGGATCTGTGATATTTACATTTGAACGTTTCAGCTGAAAACCGGAAAATGAAAAATAGTTTTTAACAAAGTATCCAGATATAAATGATAGCAGAAAGTCATTTATAAGAGTTTATACCAAAAGGAGCTCATTGACTGTGCAATAGATTCCATGAATCTTGCAAATAACAATAAAAACAATAAAAGGCAGGCATGAACATTGCAAATTGACAAGGAAACTATATGTGCAAAAAAATTCGCAATATAGAAGCTATTTAAATGAAAACAAGGTTATATTTTTCACTTATAAAGTCCCATTAACCAAACATATTTCATATTGCTCAACTGAGCTGTAAAAAGAGATGTTTTAATTGATATATAGCTGTTTGAATAAATTCTTACCATATTTAATGCAACAGGATTCAACTCTACTTTTGAAGCTCCAACTGTTGGTGTATAGTCAGCCTTGTATGTAGGCAATGAAACAAGATTTTCTATTGGAAATAAAGAAGTGTACTCAAAATAAATGATTGATCAATTGATCTTCAAATAAGATGATGATGCCAAAATCAAATGCGAAAATTGTTTATTTAACCTGTCTGATAGAAAATAAATTTGATGTATGACTCACTGTAATAATCTGTAGGAATGCTGCTTGAGTGGACATTACCAAGTGCTTTCACGCACTTGGTCTTCACTTCCTTGAAATTTTCATCCATTGTTGTTTCATAGGAGTTTAATTGGTTGTCTCCTCCAAGATGAATATTTGATGCTGTTCGTAACTGTGATCCATCAATTTTGGGGTTACAGAAATCAGAAGGGGGCTAAAAAAGGATATTAATGTTAAATTTTATTGTTGAAAAATAATGCCATACAAAACAAGCATTAGATAGAACCTACTAAGTCAGGATGCAGTCATTCCTTTGTGCTCTTACTTTTTATCTACAATCTGAGTCCCAAACAACATTGGCCATCATCCACTATGTGGAACATTAACACACAATAGTACTGTACAAAAGATATATTTTTTCTTTTCAAAATCATCAAATGAGGCTTTCAGTTGGTAAAAAGCTTAAAAAGTAAAAAGCTTGGAACTAACTCAATTTTTATATTATGTAGAATACATTTGGTGGGAAATATCCCAAAACTTACAGGTCTAAATTGGCTTAAGTTTGTTGTTGTGCTAAATCTTTCCTGATTCTTGAAATAGTCATTATCCCCTTCAGGCAAATGACTTTTACTCATATTGACTTTGGCATTTCTTGTTCTTCCTGAAAAAATAAAAATAAAAAATAAAAGAATATATTATTTGAAAGGATTCAGATCAATTTGACAACAATAAAGATGATGATGCAGAATCTTTAGCAATTGGCTGGCAGCTTCAAAAAACCAAATAAAACAGAACAAAAAATTATATTTATTGAGCTCTACCTTCTCCTGCAAATTCTTGAAATGAATTTTGGATAGTGGTTTGAAAAGAATCAAGTCGTTTGTCACCCATCTTGAAACTTGTTGATTGCAATTTCTTCAATGCCTGGCTTCTTTCTGATGAGTTCCTTTGTTCTATTTTCTGTTCAGTGAAGTCCTCTTGTTGTGTCGATAAAGGGTAGGTACATTTTGCCCTGTCTCCTTGAGGGATATGTGTAGCAGGATACTGTGAAAAGAAGAGCAACAGGAGTTTTAAGGACACCAAACTGATTAAAAGTTGGTAAACCAAACTTTTTCTAAAGCAGTGGCATCAATCTGCTGCTTTTAAACCCCACAGTCTTCTCAATTAATAAATTTGAATAATATTTAAGCCCGATCTCGCAAAACTTTTACAACATCAAATTACCAAACTACTGCCCAGATGGAAAAAATTAATTTTGTTTTGTTGAAATTAGGGAATTTTATGCATTTAGACAAAATGTTTATAAAGCTATGTCATTGTTACATCAGGTTTTTGATAAAAAAACCTCGGAATTCATAATACCTTTTTAGTTGCTTACCCAGAAGAAAATATCCAAAACATTCCATAAGGCAATTCAAGAACCTTATCATTATGCTTTTCACATGATCCAATTGATTAACAAGGGTATTTGTGGTCAAAAAGAAGGATTACTGAAGAAATTATATGCAAATTCGATTAACAGTTATGAATTGAATAGCAACTCCACCAATTATTTGGATCAAAAACGTGGTTAAATAATCTGTTAAAACTGCTATACAATAACCAAGTAAATTATGATTTCTTACCCTTATTGATTCATCAACTCTAATCTGCTTTCCATATTTTGCTGGAAAATATTCCTTTGTAGTTGTACCATACAATAAATCATTATGAATTCTCACATCTCCCTTTATAGTTGGGGGTCCATCATTTGCTGCTTTATGTTTGATTGGTTCAAGTTTAGTACCAAATGGAATAAAGTTTGCTTTGTAACAAGACTCTCTCCATCCAACTTTTTCTTTATCACCTGAAAGTAATAAAATGACATCTAACACCATAGAAAATTATCTGTTGAAGCATTCAGAATAACGGTTTTAACTATATGCAGATATGAAACAAAATTGAGATAGAAACACACGTATGATTACATAAATTTTTAAATGCCAGTTCACATCTATGACTTTAATTTTAGGGTAAGGAGCAGTTAACTTGTGAGAAAATTTGAAAATAAATTGATAATGTGACAAAATCATAAAACCATCCAAATACCTTGTGGTATGTGGCTTTTAGTCCAGTCCTTTATTGATGAAACATTTCTTGCATCTTTGAGAGACTTTTCATAATAATAATCATCATGGGTTGTTTTAAATGATTTTATCTTTTCATCTGCATCCATTTTAAAGTTGGTTGTTGACAAAGCATAAGGCATATTCTGATAGCTTGTTTTTGAGAGCTGTTTTGGGCCATAATGATCTCTTGTCACAGATAGATGATGATCTCTTACTCTAGGGTCACTGTGCATTATTTCAGCAGGGGGCAGTTGCTTTGTTTTCTCCTTTTCGTGCAATGGCTGGGGAGGATAATCAGCTTTGAATGTGCTCTTATAAGCAGCAGCATTTCTGCTTGCAAGCCACTTGGGTTCATGGCCAATTTTGAAATGAGAATTTGCAAGAAATTCTGTACCATGCTTTGGGGTTTGTATCTTATGTTCTATATCCATTATGTGGCTTGGATCAACCAGACTGTTTTCAGTTACTCAACTCTTTTCAATGTGGTTTCTGAAAGAATAAATAAATTTTAGGAATTAAAGTCAGAGTCTACAACTCAAAATCGACTTTTACCAAAGCCAAGTTGATCTTGATACAACATGTTTAGTTTTACTGAAATTCACATTTCTATGCTTTAAAAAGTATGTGGTTTTTTAAAGACCATGTTTGTCATCTTAGGTACAGTTCAGTTCAATTCATTTTTATTTTAAAATCTATTACATACAAAGGCCATTAAAATAATACAGTAAACTAACTAGTTACAATAGATTACAAAGTTATCAGATTAATAAGGATATTTGTATGCAAGGAATTTCTTGAAGGTACTGTGTGCTGTTACCAAAATCCTAGTATCTTTATGAGCAACCAGCAAAAAACAACAACAATTATTTTATCCACAAAAAGTCCTTTTTTAAAAACTCGAATCTGTAGTGCAAGCCTTGTTTTTTTACCTAAGAAAAACTTCTTCGAGGTTCCAAAACCATAAATCTTGAAGGTTGCCGTATAAAACATACACAAAGCTTTCTGCAACTTGTTAAAAACATACCTACTATTCACAAATCCAACTGATATATTTGTCATCTTTTTGTGTTTAAAAAAGCATTATTCGATCATTCCTTCCTAAAATCGCTGTCGTCGATAACTCGTGTCTTTGAAAATAAATGTAGGCCATTATTTGGTTGCAGTGTGAGTATGGTCCCCATAGTAATGCGCCTACAGGCTGTCACAGAAAACCACGCATCGCCAATCTTTTGAAAAAAAGAAAATTTGTTTGCGGAAAATCCGACTTCTGTGGCTACACTCCTTTTTAAAGAACACTATAGAATTTTTTCCAGCCTCGAAATTCTTAAGAAATATTTGTTTCGAGTCTGCATATGTTCTATACGCCTTTTGGAAAAAATCGATGTATTTCCGTTCTGAAAGAATAAACGTTGAAAAAATAAACAACTCCTGAAAATTCGGACACAAATATGCGAGCAGTGGCTGAGCAATATTCAGGCGCGCAACTACGGGGGGGGGGTCCTGGGGGTCCAGACCCCTGCCCTTTTTCTCAAAAGGGGAAAAGTGCCCTTTTTCTTGGAAAATTGCTTGAATATTTTGATTATTACGCTAAAATGGTTGGTCATACAGTAAATGACACACTGCGGAGATGTAATGGACCTCGCAGGAATACAGATAAATTATTTAGTCAATTTTTCACGTACTTGTTGGGTCGAACGTCATAATGTTGCAGTAATAGAGTATATCTTCAAGCCCCAACTCTACAGCGTGTTTTATGATGCGTCACGCACTGGCTTTAAAGAAGAATGGTTCTGGGACTCAAAAACCAAAATAAAGGCACAAGATTTTGAACGGGATAGAGCCTCTACGACCTCTGGTAAGAGCTTGTAAGAGCTTGTTGGGTCGACCAAGACATTTTTCAAGCCTGTCACATAGTTGACAGGGTCATAGAAGACCTTTGCATGAAACGAGCGAATGCAGAGAAATATTCGCGGACTGGTATTAGAAAGCAGTAAAGATGGCACAAAAAGTTGATGTTCAGCTGTTCCGTTCCTTGTCAGTATTACAAATCAGCTGAAAGCAAGACTTGGAGACAGAAACCAGCTGAAGGCAAGCCTCGTGGAACTGTTCAACCTACTCCCACTGTAGTGCGAAGCAAAGAATTCAATAATAATATTTCAAAGAGCAAAATGTCTTCGGATATGGAAGATGATGGGCTGCCATTCAAAAGTGAGCTGGCGCTGGGAAAAGGAGATGACAGCAGGGTCGCCGAGAGGGGGACAAAGGAGCAAACTGCCCTAGGGCCTCGAGGTCTAGGGAGCCTCACAAAGCAATGAATTCCGTTTTTAAATGGAATTTATTAAAAGTAACAAAATTACAATTAAAAAGTAAAACATCTTAAACGAATTAGTGAATTTAAGCTATTTGTAAGGGTGTGGTGGCAAAATTTTTGCTCGCTTCGCTCGCAAGAGGCGTTGTTTTTTCCATTTCCCCCCTCCCTCGGGCTTCCTAAACTTCTCGGCGGCACTGTACGGCAGACAGAAAGAAGTCATATGCATAGTTAAAATTAAAAGGAAAAAATAAATCACACCTCACCACAAAATAAACCGTACACCACAACTTTTCTCTATTTATCAGTTTCCCTTGTCTGGCGTACAATATTTACAGATTTACTAACTGCTCATATTTTCGCCGTACCTAAACAAATGCCCCGGTGGACCTTTAATGAAATTTAATTAGTGCCCTTTTTGTGTCTTGGACCCCTGCCCTCTGAAATTTCTGGTTGCGCGCCTGATATTCTTATAAAATTTTTAAAAAATGGATGTTTCTGAGCCTGAATATTCTCTTAAACAATATCCTTATAAAAGTACTGTGCGTTTTACTTAGAAATCAGTGGCGGAAATGGTGAGGGTGTGGAGAGAGAAAGGGCAGTAGTCCATCAGAATTTGCCAGTTAAAGCACTGTTTTGGGCCTTTGGAGGTAATTTTGTAGATATTCTAAATTGAAAGAGTAATAACTAACTATATTAATGGAGTAATTAGAGGTTTGCTGCAGTGTGTTACCCAAATGTCAAATATTGTCACCTAACCTGTCTATCTGTAAAGGATTTTTTTGAAAAAAGAAGTAAATTTTTTGTTTGAGTTTAGAAACTATTTAAAGGGCACATGCGTTGCTATATGCATAGCACATGTTCAATGTATTTTTGAGAATTTGTTTTCATTTGCCCTTTTTATGAGCATTTTGGCCAGAGTCGCCCATTCGTTTGACCTTTTGTAAATCCAACCTGGCCATCCTGAAGAGGAGAGGAGGAATCGTGCATTTAATGGTTTCTCGTTTTCGACCAATCAGCGATCGTTTTCCTCTCATGATGTTTATCGCATGGTAATGGAGCAGTGGTGTTTTCTTTCAATGTAGACAAACTCACAAACACAGACCTATGTCGTAGTAGATCCGTAGCGTTTGTTGTAGCGTTTTTTAAAAAAAGTAACAAGACACGCTTCCAAAAGTAACAAGACACGATAAGTCATTTGATAAAATGCAAGTAATTGATTCTAGTTAAGTTAAAATGGTATCAGATTTTACAAAGTAGACGTTCTTTAAAGGCTCTTGCGCAACCGGCATGCTTTGCAACTATAACTTTAAACTGGCCTAATATCGTACTGCATGATAATACAATACACAGTCAAATTCTCTTTGCGTGAAAAGAGAGCTACTGCTAAGCATGCCGGTCGCGCGTTTAATGCAACTACTGTAACGTAAACCCAACTTAAATAACGCGTTGTCGTGCGTGGCCATGTTGTCGTTCATCATGACAGCACGTGACAGAAGGGAACAATCTAATAAAAGACGATGTAAAATCGAGCTTGCTTGCCCGATGATTTTGAAAATTTCCTCGTTAGATATTGTGGTGCATTCGATATAGGTTGCCAGTACTTGACAGAAAGTGTAATCTAGAAGATATTTAATGTGATTTTTACAGGTTCAGTGTTAGATGTGAAATCTTCATGTCAGATTTGGAGTGCAGTAAAAAGCTTATGAAACAAAATTTAAATTGTTTCAGCAAATTAAAAGAAAAAATTGCAAATTGGAGACAAAGGTGGCCAATGGATACAATTAAAAGGTGAGGTCCCCTGCAAAGAAAGGAGGCATATATTTTTTGCGACAGCGCCCTTTAGGTTGGCTCAAAATACATTTCATAAAATTTCTTGCAGTCATTCTCTTGCAGTCGTTTGATTCAATACCACAGCTGGCCCTGTCGATACATATTTCAAGTCTAGCTATAGGTGTGGGGACGACATTGAAGCGTCTGGCAGAATCTAACCACATCTATTGGAAGAGAGATAAACAAAGTCTTTAAGAAGATCCCTTGCGTAAAGCCCAGGGAATCATAAAATTATCTGTAAAATAACGGAGCCTTCTGGTTTCAAGTCGAGTTTGGACTTTTAGCTTTTCAAGACCCATGTATCCTCATTCTGCATTTCTATGCAAAGCTATTGGCTGCCATTGAATTTAAGATATAGAAAAGACCATCCTAAAAACAGAGTTAGTAATGATCTCCACAATTTGTATGCAGACTTATTTCAAGTCACAAGGATACTGGTCATTCTCCCTATGTTGTTGTTTTATGTGGATGAACACACAGTAAGGTGAAAATTGTAAAGAACTATAAAAGCTACTTTGTCATAAGAAAGACTGGAAGATCTTTTTAAAATAGCAGTGAGACTTTGCAGCCAAATTGAACTTGAGCAAGAAGCAAAATTTTCAAGGTTGCTAATTATCGTAATTTTCCTTTGTATAACCTGTTCTTTTCAAAAGTTTTGTATAATCTCTCTATCAACATTCCGACTTGTGGTCCCTTACATAAAAGTATAATTGTTTCTTTCTTTAGATCACCAGTCCTTCCAATGTTACGGTGCTGCCTGACGTCGTCTGTGGTTCAAGTTTGCAACATCTGTATATGAATTTCCATTGACCATGTGGTGGTGGGCTTCGGTATAGACTGAACTGTGAAAGTGCGTATCCATCGTCGCACATAACTCTCTGCGATGCAAGGTTAATAACGTGTAAATCTCCTTCACTTGTATATGCAGTCTCCTTTTCCAGACACTGTATCGAGGTTTTCCATTTTGGATCTGTCACATCACAACACGTGTAGGCATACCTTATTTTGCTGACAGCTGCGTCTCGCTGCAGAATGAAATCTTGTAGAAAGCCTGATTCACCACAGTCCGGGCTCTGTCTGTCCAAGAAGACGGGAAGGGCTTTTTCATATATACCCCAGGGCGTTGTCTTGCTCGTCATGTTACAAATCACATTTTGCAAATTGCAGCAAGTGAATTGGTATTTAATGTTAGACCCATCTTGCTTAAGCCGAAAGCGCTTCAAGAAAGAAATTCGGTTGCACTTCACGTGATGATCGAGTAGAGAAAACAAGTTGGTGTCGTGTGGGCTCAAAGGCGTGCTGATGTTGTTGCAACCTGCGAAACCTGATAGACAAAATTGTGAAATTTGCTGGAATATGACAAACTGCAGAAGTCTTTAGAGTTTTAGAATGAGTATAGAGTGGATATATTTATGAAATAAATACATCAGTCAATGGAGCAAGGTCCCATTGATGAAGGGGTTATTAAAGTCGAGACCAAGTCTTGTTTGACTTTTATTGGGATTTGGATACGTTTTTCAGAAAAAGAATGATTCAAATGATCTTACCTAGCTGCGAGACTCTTGCAAAAATACAGTAAAAGATACAAAAACTCAATTTCTTTGTTTAGTATGAAGTCCCTTGATATTCTTGTAAACAACAATGACTGATGAGACAGCATTACTATCCTATTTGGTTGAAGTTTATCAACTGCTTGGCACCTCTTTGCAAACGAGACAACTCTTTTTACCTCGATCTAATTGTATTTTCCGCAACTAATTTAATTGGTAACCAGATGATGTCGTATTTATGCAATCCGCATAATAAATCAAACGTTTAGTTTATCTCGGCAAAAAAATTGATTGTTACACTCTGTATAGATTGACATTGACTACGTTGTAAAGACTCACTACACTACTGGTTAAACAAGTTTACCTGGGCAACCAATATCATTACATATCTCTGTTTTGCTGCTTGCACCAGGGCAAGAACCAAATTCATCGAGGCAACGTCGCGTTCGGGTCTGCAGTCCCCCATCACATTCTTTGCTGCACACACCCTCACTCCATGCGCTCCAACCTAAGCGAAGAGAAACATAGATCACGGAACCTTTGCATAAAAAGA